CTCTACCAAGCTGAGTCCTTGGGAAGTTATTTATTATCTCTTTGCTTTAGTTTCCTTGTCTGAAAACTTAAAGATTATACTTTCTAGGGGAACTGGATGAGATTATGAGACATAAGATACACACTATATTCTCAGCACATGCTAATAGGTCTAATTCATTACACTGCTTTTTTCATCTTACTTGTTATCATCTACCTACCTGCCCCCAAGCATGAGAGTGTGCTGATGTATATGTGTACATTCATACCCTGTATCCTAGCTTCTGGTGTATCATACTACTTATGTCTCGACTATTTTCCTCGCATCCCAAACATGAATTGCACTTTCCCCTTCCACATTTTGGTTTATAGGGTCCCCTCAGCCTTGAATGTCCTCTCATCTGTTCAAAACCCTGCCCAATTTCTGAGCCCAACTCTCAAGCACTTCTTGTTAAACTTTTGTTCTCCCAACTCAATCTCTCACTACTTTCTTTCCATTTGGCTTTGAATATGTATTTTTGTTATAGTAGTTAATATATAATGTCTTATAATAGGTTACTGCTTTATATGTGACCCTTTCCAGCAGACACTGAACTTAACATGGTAGTTTAGCTTGGTGTCTTACAAATAGTAAGCACTGAAAAAAAGTCGTTAGTCTTAAAATGTTTGTTTTTAAACAAAACAAAAAAGAGGTGGGGATGTAGCTTGGTAATTAGAGTGCTTGCCTAGCATGCATGAGGCCCTGGGTTTGATTCCCCAGCACTACAAAAAACAAAACAAAAACAAAACTCCCCCCAGACTTTAAACTGACTGATCATTAAAGTCTGCTGCTAATTCTATATTTTGCTTGCAATGAGAAGGTTTTTTACCACTCATTTCTTGATTTGTGCTTCTTTCCCCATTTGCCTCATGAATCAACTGGTGTACTTTTAAGTCTTCTTGACTTACCAATTTTCTTTCTTTTTTTTTAATTAGTAAGTAGTATTTTCCTTTTTTTTTTTTTAGTACTTGGATTTGAACCCAGGGCCTTACTCTTGCTAAGTAGCTGTTCAGCTACTTGAGCCACACCCCTAGCCCTTGTCACTTTTAATTAATTATAACTTTTTTTTAAGCAAATTATTTTTAGAATTATGAATTCCCTCCTTTTTTTCTGAGCAGAAGTACTTTTAACATTTTCTTTTTAAAAAATAACAAATTTATTTGTCATAATTTTAGAGGTTAGGAACTCCGAGAACAGAGTGCTAGCATGTAAGTTCTAGTGAGGGCCCTGTTAAGGATTCGAAGACTGCTGTCTTCTCACTATGTTCTCACGTGGCGGAAGGCAGGATTCTTTCCTTTCTACCAGTTAATTGCCAGATCTCTCAGAGTCTAGTTGTTTGAACAGTTTTTTGTTCCTTGATTCCTTCCAAATAACTATTTTGATTTCTAGGCTCAAATTAAATATAGAAAGATATCTTGTGATTATTGACCATTGAGTATCCATGGTGTGTTAGATGGTTGCAATGGCAAGTTAATTTTCAATACTGTTTTAATTTCTAGTGTTTTCTTGATTTCTAAATTAACATCAAGAGCACAGTAGTTACTAGGCAAAATGTTTTCAGGAAATGAGACCTTCATCCCACTACCTGTAGTCTCATAATTTCCTGAAGGAAGGATGAGATTTAGTATAGATTTCACTGAGAACATAAAATTGACTTAGAAAATGGAATTGAACTGTTTGGTTATTAATAGAGGTGTAAAGTTCAGAGAAACACTTATGCTAGAAAAAATGGGAGTTTGAATGACTGCATAAACAATGTGGAATACTAGCAGTATAGAATATACAGCAGCTAAGAAGAATATGGTGAATCTACAAATGTGATGCTTTGAGAAAGATTTTTATTTTTTTTGACGGTACTGGGGTTTGAACTCAGGTCCTCAAGCTTGCTAGGCAGGTGCTCTACTGTTTGAGCCACTCTGCCAGCCCTTTTTTGTGTTGGATATTGTCGAGATAGTGTCTCGTGAACTATTTACCTGGAGCTGGCTTCAAATCACAATTCTCCTGATCTCTGCCTTCTGAGTAGCTAGGATTATGGGCGTGAGCCACTGGCACCTGAAAGATCTTAACAAATTATATTTTTGTGTAAACTTAGCATATACACAAAAGCATAAATAGTATGTATCTTTTAACAAGGTCTGGAAAAATACATGCCAAATTCATAACTGTAGTTACCTCTTAAAAGGAATGGGGGTTTAGGAACTGAAGAACTATGATAACAGTAGGTCTTGGGTTTTTATTGTCTTTGCCTTTGAATAGTTAAAGTTTTTAGCAGGAGAACATATTTATGTGTAGCTTATACAACTAAAAAATACTGGAAAGATAGAAACAAGTTTTTTGGGCTGTAATCCACAAAGTCTGTTCTCAGCATCCAGTTTAATTCCGTCATGCTTTTTTGGGTTTTAGGCTTTTAGCTGTTGTTGTGTAGCAAAAAAATATATGTATCTATATATATTATTTTCATCTGGCAGAAGCACAGCCATGGTTTCACTTCCAGTTCCCTTTTCAAGTTTCTATTTAGGTAGCCTGAAATAATTGATGTCTAAGAAGTTTCATGTCATTGCCTTTATACTGTTTCATTCAGGAAGCTCTGGAGGGTGAAGTACAGTGCAGGAGGGAAGATATTAAGACTGAGGGTTAGCTTATTATATATCTCTTATATTAATGTCCTTTCCCTGGGGATTTTTTCCCCTTTACATCTCTATATGAAATCAAACAACAGATACATACTCTAGGTTGGGGGCAAACCTGATGTTTGAGCATTCAACTAGTAAGGTTTGCGAATTGCTTTAACCACTGGTTAAATCTTATGCCCACATAAACTGCTCAGCAACTGCAAGTAACATTATTAACTCTAACCAACATTTTACAAATGTAAGAAAATGTATATTCAGTGAAAGAAAATTTAGGTGTCTGTCATTGCAAATCCATCACCACATTTTTATGTATTTTAAAACTCAGCTTTTCTTTCCCTGTTTTTTTTTTTTTTTTTTTTTGAGACAAGGTCTTGGCTGTATAGCCCACACTGACCTCAAACTCATGATCTTTCTGTCTTCCCCCCTCCCCAAGTGCTGCAGTTAACAGGCATGTACCATCAGCGAGCTGGGCTTTTGCATTTTTTATTTTATTTTTGTGGTGTGGGGGATCAAACCCAGGAATTTGCACATGCTAGGCAAGTACTTTGTCCCCGAGCTACATTCTTAGCCCTGTATTCCTATCTTAACAGCTGTTACTAGTTTTATTTTAAATATTTGTCATCATCTTCACACATTCAATGAAGAATATAGACAAGCAAACTGTGTGGTGATACATGCCTGTAATCCTAGCACAGGAAGCTGATGCAGTAGGATCTCAAGAGTTTGAGGTCAGCCTGGGCTCCATAGCCAAACCCTGTTTTTAAACACATACATACACACATGCAAAGTCACTCATTTGTCCTGTGTTAACTTACTGTGAACATTTAATAAAGAGAACAAAAAAAATGAATTGGCCATAAAAGAAGAAAGTGGGGAGTTCTATAGAGAATATATAGTGAATATGGAATGAACAAATTTCAGCATATGTAGAAAAAGAAGTATCTAATTTCCTTTGTGGAAAAACTTAAGAACAACTGGTATGTAAGCGTTTTAAGATCTAAAAGGTCTGATGGTTTATTCCTGTTTATATTTGAGGTAAGGTCTTACTTTGTAGCCCAGGCAGCCCTTAAACTCACAGTCGTCCTGCCTCAGCCTCCTGAGTGCTGGGTCTACAGGTGTGTGCCACCATGCCCCACAGTTTATTCTGTTTTAATGTAAATCATGAGCCAGGTGCTCTATGGGTCCATAGTCCCAGCTACTTGAAAGGCCAAGGCAGGAGGATCACTTGTGCCCTAGAGTTCAAGGCCAGCCTAGGCAACAAAGCAACCCTGTCTCTTTTTTAAAAAATAAATACCTGAGCACGGTGGTACATGCCTAAAATCCCAGCTAATGGGGAGGCAGAGATCAGGATAATCACTGTTCAAGGGCAGCCTGGGGGGAAAAAAAATTATCAAGACCCCCATCTCAACAAAAAAGCTGGGTGTGAAGGTACACATCTGTCATCCCAGTTAGTGGGAAGCATGAATAGGAGGGTCTCGGTCCAAACTGGCCAGGGTGTAAACTCTAGGCCTATCTCAAAAGTAAGAAAAGCAAAAATAGCTGGGGGAATGACTCAAGTAAGAGTGCCCGCTTACCAAGTGCGAGACCTTAAGTCCAAACCCCAGTAGTGCCCACCCCCAAAAAAACAAAGTTTAGTGGTATTTATATGAATAAAACAGAGTTCTCTAATTTTGTATTTGGAATTAGTACCTTAATCCCATAGCAATACATACTTTCCCATTCCTGTGTATTATTGGGAATTCCCTGGATTTCTTCTAAAACCAGATTTGACCTAGTATGACTCACACTTCTTATACTAAAAATATTTCTATTCCCTAGACATGAGTGGAAGGGCAAAGCAAAGTATATTCTTAAAGCCAGAAATCTAGGGAAAATAGTTGTTCTTGCTTTGCAGGCTACCATAGTACTTCTAAAGGGTTTGGGAGTTTGGGGTGTTTTTATTAGTTAGTTGGTTTGGTTTTGGGTTTTTTTTTTCCCCTCTCCTCATAAAAGCCAATGTTATATTGTTTTTGAGATAGGGTCTTGCTTCATAGCCCAGGCTGACCTCATATTCTTGATCCTTCTGCCTCTCCAGTATTGGGATTACAGCCATGTACAACCATACTGGGCTTTAAGTTTTAGCCAAAATTAAAGTATTATTTAAAAGTTCTGGGATGGAAAGATAGAAATAGTTTGTAGGGAGAAGGCAGAAAGCCAAGTTTTAAAATATGTTAGGATGATAGAGAATTTAAATCTAGTACCCTTGTAAAAAGATTCGTCTGTTGCAGTGTCTTTGACTAGAGCAGTTTTTTGTTCTGTTTTGTTTTGTTTTTTTTCAGGGAGTGAGTTCCTAATTCCTTTCTTTTCCAGATTGCAAAAGTGGAGAAACTCAAACCATTAGAGGTAGAGCTTCGTCGCCTGGAAGACCTGTCGGAATCTATCGTTAATGATTTTGCCTACATGAAGAAGCGGGAGGAGGAAATGCGAGACACCAATGGTGAGAGGAAGACAGCTTTTATTTCTCAATAAGTAAACCATGAAGGAGATCCCCATGAAATTCTGGTGTACCCATTTCTCAGTTTTGCAAAACTGGGGTATGGTGAATGGAAAGAAAATTGTTTGCTTCCATGCTGTTCCTGTGGAAAGGTAAATCAGCCTTGTTAGATTTTCAGGAGAATGGAATTTTCTCCTGTGATATGTAATTGACTGTATTCTCAGTTGGCCTATAAAGTAGCAAATTGAGAGCACTAATCTTGGTAGTTTTTAACATTTTAAGTTGGGTAATGCTTTTTGTTTTCAATGCTAGCCATCAAACCCTGGCACTGCATGTGTTAGGCAAGTACTGGGTCACTGACCTACATCCCAGGTATTGAGACAGGGTCTCTATATAGCCCAGGCTGGCCTTAAACTTGAAATTCTCCTGCCTTAGCCTTGCAAGTGCTGAACAGGCCTGCTACCACCACACTTACCATTTTTCCACCCCCAGAAAGTTTCTACTGGAAAAAAAATTTTTTTTTGTCTGAAATCCTACTTTTAGACCTAAGAACAGAATGAAGTTAGTTGCCTTTTCCCCTTAGTTATTGTTTAGCCAGTCAGCCAATAAGGCTTACTTCATTACATTTACAACTTTTTTGTTTTTTAGAGTCAACAAACACTCGGGTCCTGTACTTCAGCATCTTTTCAATGTTCTGCCTCATCGGACTAGCCACCTGGCAGGTCTTCTACCTCCGTCGCTTCTTCAAGGCCAAGAAGTTGATCGAGTAATGAGACTCAGTCTCCTCCCACTTATATCTCAGTCAGCAGAACATCACTGGAACGTGCCTGGCCTAACCCAAGGCCGTCCTACCAATAGCACCATCAGGGCACGGTGGAGCTTTCTTGTCAGAACTGATCTCTTCTGGTGTGGGAGGACATGGGGTACCACCTACACCCAACAAGTCAATGAGGGATTTCTTTTTAACTTGGTAGGGTTTGGACTGGTTTTGCAAAAATAAGACTATTATTAGAGTCACTTATGACAAAAAAAGAAGAAAACAGGGGTTACCTAGATAATGCCAAAGCCAGCATTTGTCCTGGGTTTCCCCATGTGATCTGTGGGAACCATGTTTGCTTTTCTTCCCCACTTGCTCACCAGCTTAGGCTTTCATTCTAGTTCTTTTACCAAGATTTTTATGACCATGTTGAACTTGTTTCATGCCATTTGTCCTCTTTGGGTTTCCTTGTGAAAACTCCCTGAAATTCTGCTTGGTTCTTAGCTGAAATGTTTACATAGTTTCTGGTGATACCCTTTCATAAATTTATGTATCTAAAATGGTCATGGATGTGACACCTCATAAAAGTGAGCTTTGAACTGTAGATAAAGTGGTAAAGAAAATCTCACTTTACACAATTAAAATATTTGTGCTCAACTGCTTGAACTTCGTTCTTTTCGCGTATGTGTATTTGGTTCTGTGCAGTTTTAGCGTGTGTAGATTCACGTGACCATCGCAGAATAGAGTATGGTGCTATTGCATGGATTCTTCATGCTGCCTTTTGTAGCCACAGCCACTCCTTTGCTTATCCTGTTACCTCAACCTCTGGCTATCAGTAATCTGTTCACCATTTCTACAATTTTTGTCATTTCAATAATGTTATACAGGGCTGGCGGAGTGGCTCAAGTGGTACAGCACTGCCTAGCAAACCCCAGAACCACCAAAAAAAAAGTTATATAAATGGAATCATACAGATTATAACCTTTTGAGATTGACTTTTTCACTAAGTATAATTCTCCTAAAATCCACCCAAATTCTAAATATATCAATAGTTTGTTCCTTTTTGTTTCTGAGTAATAAATACTCTGTGGTTATGGAGCACTGCATTTTATTCAACCATTCACCCCAATGGAGAACATTTGGTTATTTTCAGTTTTTAGGTCCTTGCTAATGAAACTTCTATGAACATTTGTATATAGGTTTTTATATGAACATAAATTTTGTTTCTCTGGAATAAATGCCCAGAAGGGCAATTATTGTGTGGTAAACACATTTAAGTTCTGTGAGAACCTTCCCTACTCATCCAGTTCTTCTGCATCCTCACTAGCATTTGTTGCTATTACTATTTTATTTTAGCCATTTGAATAGGTGAGTGTAAGATCTCATTATGATTTTAATTTGCATTTTCCTATTGGCTAATGATGTTGAATGTCTTTTCATGTGCTTGTTTGCTATCTGTATGTCCACTTCAGTGAAAGGTCTCTGTCCTTTGCCCATTTTCTAATTGGATCATTTGTTCTCTTCATTTCTGAGTTTTGAGTTTTATATATATTCTAGATACAAGTTCTCTATCAGATATATGATTGCTTAAATTTTTAACGTAACTGCTACCCAAAAAAAGTAAATAAAATTTACTAACTCTTCTTGCATCACTGACTTAATTCCTGTCCTAGTGCATTCTAGAGAATTAAGTCATAGGAGGTATAAAATAGGTATCTAGGAAGGTTACAGAAAGTAAATACTCGAAAATAAATACATACTGTAAAAGCAAAGCAAAGAATCACTTGTGGGAGTCTGAGGTGCTTAAAGGCCTAATGCACAGAAGAAAAAATTGTGGGACTGAGGACGTACTTAATGGTAGAATACTTGTCTTACATGCACAAGGCCCCAGGTTGATCCTCAGCGCCACAAAAAGAAAAAAAAAATGACTGATTTTGTAAATGGGAAAAATACTTATCACTTGAACTCTTTCCTGCTTCTCCCAGGAAAGTAGTTAAGAGTTTATCTTTTCTGTAATCTCTTTAACCCTGCTGACTGACTGTTAACAAGGCTTGTCTAATTGCAGTGGGAAGAATTACAGGACTAGGCCCATGTCACTTGTAATAAAGAAGTAGAATGTTGGAATTATCAGAGAATACTGTTGTGTTGATCTGGATAAAGTATAAGGGTGAATGAGGGAGTGGTTTATGTTAAAATCTCAGTCTGTTTTGTTAATGTTGCAATTTTTGAGAACCCCAAAGCCTCCTTTTTCTTTTGGTGTGTAAATCCCTCTTGTATGGATTAACGTGGCTCTCGCATTAATTTATGCAACATTGCCATCTGCTGTTGGAAAGTGATAGGTACTGCTTCTGAGAACTTGGCAGGAGATTCTTTGCCATAGGAACCACAGCTGTTAAGAAAGTGTCTGTAGTGTTACATATATTAAATGATAGAGAAGCAATTCAAGTAGGGAAAAGAATAAACAAATTTGTGGGTTAAGGTCCATCCTTAGATTTTTAAATGTGAAGTTGTAGGCTGTACCCTTAGTCGAACAAGAGACTCATATTTCTGACCTGTGCCTTTCCCCTTTTTAAGGAGCAATGAATGCTACTCTGTTAGTTATGATCTGTGCTGGAAAATATCAAAGAAGGTAGGAAAGGATAGTTTATTTTGTTGGTATTTTTGTTCCCAAGTATGACTCTAAACTTAAACTTTATGGAACTGAAATTCTTTGTCTCTTCCTTTTACTCATGCCAAAAATACCAACTTGAATATTTATGCTGTGGGTTTAAAAATTAATTAGTACTATACCCTAATTATATCTGAAATATAAGAGCATTTGCCTTTTACAACAGACTAGTACAAAAACAAATCAGCTTTAAAAACGGGGATGTTCTCTGCCTTCCTCCATTTTTCAGCATATTGTTTCAAATAATCCGTAATAGAAGTGAGAACAATATAGCTTCAGTAAGCTCAACTACACCATTGCCATGAACCCCCATTAAAGCCTATTCTCATTTCTGTTTAATGAGAATAGGCTTGTGGGATTTGTACAGATTCACTTGGAAGTGTTGAATTGGAGTTTTTTGTGTAAATTTGCTCAGATAAAGGCTAGCAGAAACTATTTTAAGTGTATTTTTATGATACTTTTGAGTACCTCTGTAGTATAACAAATGACACTTGATGAATTAGAGAAAAAAAAGTCCTTAATTTATTTCAGATGGATAAAATTTATAGGAGCTAGAAAATGCTTATTGTATATGTAATATAAGATATATATCTAATAGTTCTTAATTATATATCATCAGAAAAAGCAAGTAAGGTCCATAAGCCAGGCATTCTCAGTATTTCTTTTTTGGAAAATGCTATTGGAATTATTTCTCCAGAGAGCCTTCTCCCTAGCCTTCCATTCCTAAAATACCCCTCCCAATTTACAGTCTCTTGGGAAAGGGCTGGCAGAGTGGCTCAAGTGGTAAGAGTGCCCACCTAGTAAGTGTGCGACCCTAAAGTTCAAACCCCAGTGCTGAAAAAATAGAACACTTGGGACATGCTTTTTTTTTTGGCCCATCACACATCTATGCAAAACCCTTCCCCAGGAAGTCAATCCCATTTTCTTTCACTTAATAATTGAACATTTTTCTCAAAGCTGCTTTCCAAAAGCCAGCATGAAGTGCTTTGCACGTCACCAGCTGGACTCTTACTTACCAAAAAACAGACACAATTTGTTAGTGAATCCATAGTCTGTCTACTATGAGTCCAGTTTAATGGTGGTTCCCAATATTTGGGTACAAATATTTTAACATAAAAAATGTTTTCTCACTGATGTTTTAGAGCACATAAATAATTCAGCAAAAACTTTTTTTTTTTCCCAGCCCTTTTTGTATTAGGTTTTTTTGAGATATTTGCCCAGGCTGGCTTCAAACCGCTATCCTCCTAATCTAGCTACGATTACAGGCATGAGCCACTGGCACCCAGCTAAAACTTATAAATGAATTTAACATTCTCAATAGAATCATCGTATACTTGTTACATGTTAATACATACTTTGTAAATCATTCATATGCTACGTTGGTGTCCCATATATGAGTCACATCCATAATTTAAAATTTTCTAGTACCATGATAAAAAGAAAAATGTGAAAATATATTTAACTTTAAATACCCTAAAATAATATTGCAACATGTAGTCAATATAAAAATGATTAATTAGATATTTTAATTTTCTTCACGTAAAATGTTTGAAACCTAGTGTCCAGCTACAGCACCTCTCCATTCAGACTAGTTACAATTCAGGTGTTCAGTACTACTTGCAGCTAGCTAGTGGCTAGTATAGCAAACAGTGAAAGTATAGACTTTGCTTGGTCTTTGGTCAGTGCTTTAATCTTTATGGTAATTCTATGGCCACTGGTAGTCTGCCATTCAGACAATTTGGAAACTTGCAAAAGAGCATACTAACCATTTGTTAAGCTAAAGCATGGGAATAGTCTGTTTTGATCAAAGGCACTTTAAAATTAGTTTGCCTTCAGGATAAATGCATTTCTCAACTGATGAATATTCAAAGTTAGTCTTAATTTATATCCAACACAATGAAAAATTCAGCATAAGTGTTCTAAATTCTCTAAGATGTTACGCTTAATGATATCTTGGCATCACAACTAGAACAATTCACAATTTTAGCCCAGTCAAGTTGTTAGAAACTATTTTGTTCCATAGTGCTGGAAAGATGAAGTTTTAAGCTTCAGATACTTTTAAGCTTCTTGGAATGAAAGCCTATATATATATAAATATAAATACTGAGCACCTATCCTATTAAACATTAACAGTTAATAGAATTAACAGAGTTAAGCCAAGTTAATCTAGAGTATATCCAGATAAATAAGAGATAATACCTATTTTCATACTGCCTTCGATGCCTTTTTTTTTTTTCCAAACTGGGGTTTGAACCCAAGGCTTGGAGTTGGAGGCAGGCACTCTACTAGTTAAGTCACACCTCCAGTCTTCATAGTGCTTTCTAATAGAAGTACATAAAATGGTTCTACCTAGAATGATTCTACCTAGAATCATCTCCCTACTTTGTTCAGCTATCACTGACTTTGGATATTTCTCTGGGATTCCTTCATATTTCCAGCAAGTTTGACTCAGAAAGTTGCCTTTCCTACACACCTTCCGAGAATCTTTAATAGTGGGGCAGGCTAAAATTAGGGTAAATTCGGGACTCATAAAAAATATTACATCTCAGATTAACCATGCTTTGTCTCAGGGACCACCCTCATCTGGCCTGGGAACTACCCATTCCCCTCCCCACTCATTGATTATTGGATGGGAATCACCTGGTTCTGCCCTTTCCATGGGTTAGCATAGGTTTTAAAAGCACCGGAAAAAGAGAAGCACGCTCTTTCGGCTGGCATACTCCACCTGTGATCACCATGCTCCCTCTTGTATTTCCCTTCCCTAACTTTTAATAAACTCTCTTTATACCCACGTATCCTGCCATGGATTCTTGCACATGGGAAAAAGAATTTGAGAATCTTCTGATCACAGTTTGAACTGGAGCTGTTAACTTATATAAACTTTGTTATTTTTTGGTTATTTTCTGTTGTGTGGACTGAGCTCCACAGAGTAGGAACCATGTTTATTTATTTACATCTCAGCTTCTGACACATGTTGGTACTCAGTGTTTATTAAACGAGAGTTCCAAATTTAAAAGTACCTATACAATCTAGAGCCGTGAAATAAAACCAACAAAATTAAACAGGAGTTATCAGTCAGGCAATCTTACAGTTTTTTTTTTAAAAATGTTCCTTACTTATGGGATAATGGTATCCATTCAACTAATTTTTGAGCCTGTACTATAATAATGCTAAGCACATTTCTAGGCGCTGATGACAAAACCGTAAGAGCAAAACCCCAGCTCTCATGGAGCTTTTGACCTAATGAGTGGAGATAATAAGACATAAACAAAACATTAAACATTTTATAGGTAAGCAATCTGAAAAATAGATGAAAGTGATAGGTTATGTTATTTTGGATTGATTGGATGTGAAAAAGAAATTTAGTTAAGTATAAGTATCATATAATTTAGACCACTGTTACGAAAGCTAGTACACTGGTTCCAGATAAAGGAAGACAAACCCCTTTGTACTTCTATTCAGATCCAGTGTAGAGTGTTACTGCAGAGTGCAATATCACATTCTACCAATTCTTTCTTCTTCCTATATTTGCTATCCCTATTTAGTTAAAAACCTAGACTGAATCTACCAACCGTATCCTAACTGTTCACAAAGTTCTGAGTGCCCTTCAGTGAGTGCCTCCTCACTGATATGCTCTCAGCACCTTAGAATATAAATTGCCTAACTGATCTCCTATCCTCCAGCCTTTGTCTTCCACGTAATTATCAGAGTTCTTCGTAACATATAATTTTGGTTTCATGTAAGGTGACCAAATGTATTATCTGAAGGGGCACTTGAGCAAAAGAGTGCTTTGGTAATTATGCTGGGGGAAGAAGGCATTAACTGGAACTTCCCAGAAAATTGAGAAATATAGGCCGAGTCATGTACCCTGCTTAAAAATCTTCAATAATTTTCCATTGCCCACAGTAAACACCAAAATCCTTTAAAATAGCTAAGGCTGTATCTTCTGCTTCCACCTCACGTGCACCCTGGGCTCCAGCCACATGACCATCTCTTAGCCCATCACATCCTGCTGTTGCCTGGCTCTGGAGCCAGATTGCATGATTTGACTTCATAGCTCTCCTCCCTAGTTGTATCACATTGAGCAAGCTATGAGGGCAGGGAGCATCTTACTGTAGATTCTACATTCCCAAAAATAGGCGAGGAGCCTAGTCTGACGCCTAGGGCTCCAAGAATGTTTCATGAGATCAAATGGTCAAATACCTGGAAAACCCAGGATAATGTTGCGTATGGGGAAAAAAATGGGGGAAAGGGAAGTGTCAACAGGGTTAACATATTTTAGATTTGTAAGGAAGACGAGGGGCCTAGGGTGGTCCTAGGATAAAGAACAACCCACTGACTGAGATGACAAGGAGGCAAGTGTTTTGGCTTACTATAATATCTTTACTGTAGGGGTGGGGTTGTGGCTCAAGTAATAGAGCTACCGCCTAGGAAGCGCCAGGCCCTGGATTCAAATCCCAGTACTACGGAAAAAAAAACCCGCACTTTACTATAGCTACTACATCTCATTAAACCAGAGCACTGTCCAGCGCTGCAAAGGACTGCTTCCCCAGTCACAGCTCTTGCGACAAGCCTGATGAGACGGACGCCCTCTGGACCTTGAGCAGTATGAGGACTTGGCTAGGGATGCAGACCTCGGATCGCATCCCATCGGTGACTTCCTGGTCCCTGCAGGGGCCCTTCGGCTCCACGAAGCTCTGGGGCGCCCAGAGCGCCCGCCCACCTTAGCCCGAGGCTACTCTTTCCCCACGGGCCCGGGAGACGGGAAGCCTTGGCAGCTGTACTACTCAAGTGGGTGAGCGAAGACGGAGGAAAACCTCGCCGGGCCGGAAACACCAAGAACTGCTTCCGGGTTAGGGGGCAGGAGCCACCATGGAGTCTCGCGGGCTTGCGAGGCCGACGGAACCGCTGGCGGGCGTCTAAAGCGAGCCAGGCGCTGCACGGCCAGCGCCATCGGGAACACGCAGGCCGGTCCCCGAGAGCCGCGGCCGCCGCCATGTCGGTGCTGGGAGAGTACGAGCGACACTGCGATTCCATCAACTCGGACTTTGGGAGCGAGTCCGGGGGTGGCGGGGACTCGGGCCCGGGCCCCAGTGCAGGTCCGGGGCCGCGAGCCGGCGGCGGCGCGGCGGAGCAGGAGGAGCTGCACTATATCCCCATCCGCGTCCTGGGTCGCGGCGCCTTTGGGGAGGCCACACTGTACCGCCGCACCGAGGTAGCTAGCGGCCCCCCTGTCCCCCCAGCCCTTCCTGGCCAGCCCCGGCCGGCTCCGGTTCTACGCGCGACCTGAGCCTCCCCGCTTAGGGTGTCACGTTTATCCCGGGGTCTTCGCGGCTCTTCCCTGTCACCTGCGCTTGCACTCACCCGTTACTTGTGTGAACAAACCACCGAACTGTCCACCGAGTTTTTGTTTCCTTTTTGTAAACTGGGCTAAGGAATAACCACCTTAAAAATCATTTTTATTTTTAATAGCTATTTTGCGAATCAAATGAAGATGCTTTGCAAGCTGTAAATTGGTAGACCAATGTAAGGTATTGCCAAAGCTTCCCTCCTCTCATGTTGTGTGGTTCTCCCGGGTCGGGTAGGGAGGAGGGGCATAATTTCAAAATACCCCCACCAGCAGCAAGTCTGGTAAGTCTGTAAGTTCAGAAGAGATCCCTCAGTTGGACGTTCTTCTTGAACATCTCTTGGAAGATTGTCGTGTGTTGGTTTCTTTATCAGTGTTTAACCTGTAGCGTTTATGCGTGGGAAATGCTTTATTGGTTTATTCTGAGCCATTAGTTCTTACGTTGGGGGAACGACAGTACCTTTGAGGACCCAGTATAAGCGAGGTGACCCGACCTTCCCCTTTCCGTCCACACGTGTACATATGCACATCCTTTGGGGACACCTCAAATTAAGAACGTGTACAGATTTAAAGCCCTGCGGTGCTGATTCTACTTACAAAAAACAACCATAAGTTGAAATTGAGCACTAGAATCTTAAAACTCTAGCTGTAGGGTAAATATTTAATGAGAACTTGCTGAGGTGGCTAAAGGTGATTCATCCATCAGTGATCCATCTACAGTTGTGGCGCCTGTTCCAGGCCAGCATATGTTGTTTTGTTTTGTTTTGTTTTGTTTTTGTTTTTTCTGTACTGTGGTTAAACCCAGGGCTTTGTGGATGCTAGGGAAATGCCTACCACTGAGCCACACCGCAGCCCCCAGCATATGTTTAAGGCTGAAAGATGGAGGAGAGGTGGCTTACAAGATAGTATCTTTAAATGTTCTTTTTTAGCCTAATGCCACATTAATGTATATTGTTAGAGTTACTGTCATTCTTCGTAGTCTCTTTATTTGCATGCAATGTATGAAAGGAGGTGAGCATTGGTATTTCTATTTTCTAGAGAAACCACGACTGTATATTTAAGTTATTTGCCCACTTAAAGTTTAGAAGTAAATCTTAAACTAGAGCTAGACTTTCACATCTTTTTACCCATCCCATTCCACTTTTATGTTAAACTTGATTACTAGGTTTCAGTTAGATTTGATTATACTTCCTCAGAACTAGCATTACCCCTGTGTGAACTTAGAAAGTTTAATTACAAGCAACCCTTTCCATAAAGGAGGTTATATACTTCAGTGCGAAGACAAATTGGTCATGTTAGTAAACAAACAGCATTTTAGTTGTGAATGTGTATAAATGAAAAAGAATGGACAAATACCATTTCAGTGTATGAGTTCTGAAAATTAAGGGAATTGTTGCATTAAATAAGTGCGGTAAACAGCTTATCAAAGTTTTTTCAAAAAATTTTAAAGGCATGGCAGAGGTGTTCAGAAGGAACGTTCTGTAGGTGGGATGTTCATGGGTTGGGATGCAGTTTCATGAATAGAGGAAAACATGATACCTAAGTGTGACAGGAGATTGATTATAAGGGTGAAAAATTGGGTATGAGTTACTCTTATCCAAAAGGGCAAGTAAAAATCACTAGGGACGTCTAAATAAAATCAGAGGCAATTTAGTATTTTCATTTTACGAGAGTGGTGGTCAGCTATTGATACTGTTGTGCACATCTCTTGAGTATTCTAGCCTTGCTGAGAGCCTCATGATCAGCAGTCTTGCAGCCTCCTTCAGCACAATCTTTGAGATCTTCCCCCATCCCCTATTTTTTTCCTGGAATTTGACATGGTGCAGATTAAGTGTAGCAACAAAGTGACAATGTCTTAATGTTTTATTTCCTCCAGTTCTGCAGTGAATTATAATGCTCAGTTGTATACAGAACCTTTAAAGTCTGGCTAAATGAAAAAGTGAAAGTTAATCTTGGCCCCTGTAGGAAGTTTTCTTTCTAGGCTTAGGGATATGGGATGGATTCGCCCACTGCCAGGCATAAGGGAAGTATAATACCCCTGTTACTGTATTATAGGATGACTCACTGGTTGTGTGGAAGGAAGTTGATTTGACCCGACTGTCTGAGAAGGAGCGTCGTGATGCCTTGAATGAGATTGTTATTCTGGCGCTGCTGCAGCACGACAACATTATTGCCTACTACAATCACTTCATGGACAATACCACCCTGCTGATTGAGCTGGAATATTGTAATGGTAAGGAGGACTTCTGCCAGGCATTCCCGTGCCCGTACTTACCTTGAAGGAAAGAGTACAAGAAAAGATATACAGTGAAAAACTTCAAATGGATTTCTAGAGTTTAAGAGACATGGTTCAGTTTTCAAGTGCTGTACAAAATAGGGGGAGGAGTTTTTCCCTGCATATTCAAATTCTTTCTTGTGATTGTAGTTCCATTTTCAAATTATTTTTTCAGTTGGATTTTACATTGATTTTTCTCATGGCTTTTCCTCATGAAATGATATTTGCTAACCATTAGAAATGTAGTGTGGTTTGATACCACATTATATAATATTTAATGAACTCTTATAGGTCGTATTTATTAACCTCAGCTATAGCTATCGTATTGAAAAATGGTCCAAAGATCATAACTGAATGAAAATAATTTCTTTGGACATTTTTGAGACAGGATCTTGCTATGTAGCCCAGGATGGCCTGGCACTTGTGATCCTTCTGCCTCAGCCTCTCAAGTGCTGGACTTAGGAATGTGGGTCACCATGCCTAGCTTCACGTTTCTTGTAAGATAGCAGTATTGATTAGTTGTTTAATAGACTGAGCTGGGCTCTGGTGGCTCATGTCTGTAATCCTAGCTATTCGGGAGGGAAAAATCAGAAGGATCACAGTTCAAAGCCAACCCAGGACAAATGTTCCTGAGACCTTATCTTGAAAAATCCCATCACAAAAAAGAAAAGGGGGTTGGGAGAGTGGCTCAGGCAGTGAGAGTACCTGCCTAGGAAGCATGTCACCCAAAAAAAAAAAGAAAGAAAGAAACTGATACCACATCTCAACTTCCACTACTTTCTAGCTCTGTAACCCTGGGCAAGAAACTTAACTTCTATTTGCTTTAATTTCCTCATCTTAAAATGAGTTTGTTGATTATATTACCTACTTTCTAAGGGACATAGTAAATGAATTTGTAAAACCCACAGCGTAGGACATTGGTATATAGCAAGCATTTGACACATAGTGTATTATCTGTTACCTTTATTATAAAGAGAACTCCCAAAACCCTTTCCTAAAGAGGTACCAGCATATTCTTCACTTACAATCTTCTTGTCTAGACTTGTGTTTCATGATTGTTTCTGGTTCTGATATGTTCAAGATTGAGTTCAAAATTTTTGAAATAGCAGAAAATAAGTAAATTTCCTTTGTGGTTAAGAAGATGTAGAACAAATGATACATTCGTTGGAATTCTGAGCTACTAAATTGCAATGAGAAAGAAGTTATAAAAGTTTAGCCAGGGTTAAAGTATAAATTGTAGCTGTAGGAGGAAATAAGATGAACCATGATCATTTGCTGCCTTTATTACTTGACAAGGAAGAAAAGCAAATTCACACTATTTCACAGGAAGAAATTAATAAATGGTGTAATGATTGGAACAGTCTAGGGATAGCCCCTAAATTTTAGGTAACCTTTTCAGTGGGAAGTAGGAAGAAAAATTTGATACGTACCCTGTATATATAAAATATTTCATCACAGATGTAACCCTTATGTTCTAGTAGTCTCACTGGGAAAATTATTAGAAAAAATATTGCAGGTTCCTTAAAAGGGAGTTCTGGAAAAGCAAATTATCCTACTTTGAAGCTATTTCACTAATTGGAGTACTACACGAATGCTTTTTACTCTCATTTTTTCTAAAAATGTCATTCTTAAGCATCACAGTACATGCCTGTGATCCCAGCTACTCAGGAGGCAGAGGCAAGAGAATCTCAAGGTCAAAACCAGCCCAGGCAAAGTTAGCAAGACCATATCTCAAAAATAAAAGGGCTGAGAATGTAGCTCAAGTGGTAGAGTGATTGCCTAACAAGTATGAGGTCTTGGGTTCAATACCCAATACCACAAAGTAAATAAAAATTTCATACTTCCTATTTTTATATTGAACCTCGTGTGTTGGGGAAGGGAATTTTTCAGCACTGTTTCTGACACAGAGATGGGAAGAGTTTTGTACATATGTGCAAAAAAAACCAAGAAGGAAGAAGTCATTTCCTTTGAAAAGGAAGCAGAATCCTGCCTTTTCTCACGTCACTTGTTAAAACCCTAATGGATTCAGGATTCAAGCTTTGATCTCTATAAAGCAATTCAAATCTGTTTCTTGTTTAATTGCAGGAGGGAACCTGTATGACAAAATCCTTCGTCAGAAGGACAAGTTGTTTGAGGAAGAGGTAATTCATGTGTCTGTGGAAGGAAGCTAGAATTATAATGCTTAATTCTTGAATTCTGGTTCTGTATTTACTCTTCCAACAATGAAGAGTGTTTTTTTCCTTTTGTTCAGACTCCTTCCAGGCTCTGATATTCATGAGAAAGGAAACTTCTAACAAGGAAGCTGTCTATAGCTGCTTCCTAAACGTTTTACCTCCACATCATGATTCACTATGAGCTTTCTTTCCTGGTTCTATTACTGCATACTGGTATGCCCAGTTTTCTATACCTTTGCATTCTTCCTGGGTTTCTTTCTTCAAGTCTGCTTCATCGTACTATATTTTGTAACAACATTGGAACTATTTTATGATCACCTGCTTTTTCTTTTTACCCCTCCTACTTTTCTTTGCCTACTCAACCTACAAGCAAGAGATGTCAGTCAAATTATGTCAAATCATAACCTCTGGTTGCAGCTTCATTTTGTGTATGTTTATACGTGCGTGCGTATGTACTTAAATGGAGTTTTTTGTTTCCAACCCAAATATATTTTGTGTCTGCAGATGGTGGTGTGGTACCTTTTTCAGATTGTTTCAGCAGTGAGCTGTATCCATAAAGCTGGAATCCTTCATAGGTAATAAGTGAATAAATTTATGGGATAGATTCTTCCCTGCCAATCCAATCCTCATCCTGGGTTCCTCCCATTAGCACTTTTATGTTCTTAATAAAGGAGTCAAGCTTTTTCCACTGATAAAATTAAGACACTAAAGAGTGAGTGATGAGGGATGTGATCTTCACTGTCTGTAGTTAAGCCATGTTTATGATCTAGTAAGAATCTCAGTAGGAGTCATTTCTTTTAGAAATATCTTAGAATTTAGTTCATTAATTCATCAAGCCTAGAAGGTGCTATAAGAAAGAAATATTAAGCTGAGAGCCCCGTGGTTCACTAGAGTTTCTTTTTTGGCAGTAGGAGGATCTGAACTTGGGACTTTGTGTTTGCTTGGCAGGCACTTGAGCCATCAAGTTTCTTTCTTGGTTTGTCCATTTAGTTAACATATTTTTTCCCTTTTTTTGGTGGGACTGGGGTTTGAACTCAGGGCTTCCCTCTTGCAGGGCAGGTGCTCTACTGCTTAGGCCACACCTCCAGTCCTCTTTGCTCTGGTTGTTTTGGAGATGGGTCTCATGAACTATTTGCCTGGGCTGGCCTTGAACGTCAGTCCTCCCAATCTCAGCCTCCCAAGTCTTTCAGATTACTGGTGAGCCACCAGTGCCCGGCTAATTAACATATATTTCTTGAAAGCTATTTAATGTTGTATGTTTTCTTTTTAAAAGTAAAGAACTACATTTCTGATTTATTTGTATCTTTCAGTAAAGGAAGCCAGAGTATGAACCAGGCACAGATTATATTTTATCTTACATTATGGCCAGTTCATCTTTGTGAAAGTAACCAGTGACTTTCTTTAAATGATCTAAAACAGCCTAGTTACAGCCAGGTGCTGGGGGCTCATGTCTCAGCTGCTTGGGAGGCTGAGATTGGGAGGATTACAGTTCAAGGTCAGTCTTGGCAAATAGTTCACCAGACCCTATCTCCAGAATTAACCAGAGCAAAATGGTCTGCTCAAGCAGTTTCAAATTCCAGTCCCACCAAAAAAAAAAAATCTAGTTACATCGTTGCTGAAATATACAGCCTCTTTTCCTGCTTTAATAGATTATTTAAAACTTTGAAGCCAGCCAGGTGTTTAATTGCCTTGATATCAAAATTCAAGGCATAAGTAATAGTTGAATGGGCAAGTGTACTTTATAGGAGTTATGGTTGCCTGAAGCTCTATTTTTCTCATCTGACTTTACTTTTCCATCATTGATATGGGAGATACTCCTTTGCTGAGAAATGCTAAACAGTGACATTAATTCTCCATTCCCTAAGTCCCCTCTTCAGTGGGGAAAAATGTGTGTGAAAGTGGTAACTGCTTTTACATGGGACATTTAGGACACTGTAACAGAAACTGAACAGTGGTAACGCATTCATTTTTATTCTGTACCAATCCTGGGTAGAATGGGGGTTGAGAATTGTGATAGTGACTTAATATACAATATCTTTTTTTCAGAGATATAAAGACCTTAAATATTTTTCTGACCAAGGCAAACCTGATAAAACTTGGAGATTATGGCCTAGCAAAGAAACTTAATTCTGAGTATTCCATGGCTGAGACGGTGAGTATAAGGTGCTTTTGTCTTTTTTTTGTTGTTTTTTTCTTTCCTTTTGAGATACAACTATCCTCCCTAAATCTTGCACACTTTTCTCAATGTGCTTGCAAGTTCTCCATACTAATAATACAAGCCTTCAGAAGTCTTTTCCTGGGCTTACTGGATAAGTAGATGTTTTAGAGAGTCATTGAATATATCACAGCTTTGACCACACAGCTTTTTCCAGCACTAATTAGAGGCTTTTCTGAAAGCAACAAAATGCTTTACTTTTGTTTTCCAGCCTAAGATATTCAGTATATTTCACTTTATCTCTTATTTATTATTTGAGACCATGGTGTTGAACATCTCTTTTTGTGCTTCCTTTGAATTTGCTTCTGATTCAGAGAGAAGTTGTATAATACAAACAAAGGTTAATACCCAGAAAACAATCTCCTCTTTAATATCATACACAGTCTATATTGAAGATTCCCTGGGTTTGAGAAGGACCATTGGTTAAAAAGTATATATAAGTTGATTTGTAGGACAGTGATCTTATCCTTTTAGAATTACAAAACCCAATTTTTACTCTTCTGGTTTTACAATGGTCTGTTCATAAAAGAACTTGGAAGTGTAAGTTAATAAAACTTACTTTCTCCTAATATTTTTTGATAATGTCAAGATATTTCTGCAAGCAATTTAGACATCTAGGGTTAGGAGTCTGTTTCAGAGACTTGATTACTTATATGGTGGTAGTCAAATTGAACTACTAAGTTAGTAATTATGTCCTTGTATGGATTTTTTTCTCATCAAGAACAATCTGATATAGCCTGCACCAGTGGCTCATGCCTTTAATCCCAGCTACCCAGGAGGCAAAGATCAGAAGGATCGCAATTTGAGGCCAGTTTAGGCAAAAAGTGAGACCCTATCTCAAAAATACCCAATACAAAAAAGGGCAGGGGGCATGGCTCAGATGGTAGAATGCTTACCTAATAAGTACTGAAAAAAAAGAACAATCTGATAAAACCAAGACTTTGACTTTTTTTTTTTTAAGGTAGTTAAATGCAATGAAGGAATGATACAAAAATGTATAAATGCCATGTAAGCCATTTGAAAATTTCTTTGTTTTGCTGGCTAAAGATGGCTATTAGTTTATTGAAACTGCTGAGGTGGTATAGTATCTATACAGAATATTTTTATTTCTAGCCTCCTTTTTTTTTTTTTTAGACAAACCTGGTATGTAGCTCAGGGTGACCTTGAACTCAAGATTCTCCTTCCTTAGCCTCCCAAATACTGGGATTACAGGCATGCACCACCACATCTGGCTTCCAAATTCATTGTTAAAGTCAGAAAATCTTTTTCACATTCAAAAGAAATACTGTGTTAGTATTAAAAATGTCAAGTTGGGCTATTTAAAAAGTTTCATTGTTTGGGGCTTGGAATATAGCTCTGGTAGAAAGCTTACCTAGCATGTGTGAGTCCCTGGGTTCAATTACCAGCACCACAGAAAAGAAAAAAGAGTTTCATTACATGCATTTCAGGTAGAGCTTTTAACACCTTTATTTAGTTACCATCTCCCCCCTCTCCAGTGTTTGCCTTTTTTCCATTGGTGAGCTTTTCAGTTTTACTATCTGTTAAGTCTTTAGTAGGCCTTGAATGCCCAAGATTGTCCTTTTATAATTGGCTCACAAGATTTGATATGAATAAAATTTCTTGTCATAGTGACATTCTCTCATAAACACTATTTTGTGATCTGGTGATGAATGTTTTGTGGTTATCTTAAATTCCTGGAAAATTTAATTTAGCTGTTGAAATGTTAATTTGGTTACCTCAGAAGAGAAGTTATTCTTTGATTGTTTTCTTTGTTTAGCTTGTGGGAACCCCATATTATATGTCTCCAGAGCTCTGCCAAGGAGTAAAATACAACTTCAAGTCTGATATCTGGGCAGTAGGCTGTGTCATTTTTGAACTACTTACGCTAAAGAGAACGTTTGATGCTACTGTAAGTTGGTGTATTATCCCTGTATTGTCTTAGAGAATGGAACATGTTGATTAAGTGAATCAGCCTGGTTTCTTGAACAGAATTCACTTGTAGATAAAAACAGCCTATAATTGAGCACTGAATTAATAGCATATTATTAAAATGGTATAGGCCAGGGCTGGCAGAATGGCTCAAGTGGTGGTGTGCTTGCCTAGCCAGTACAAGGCCCTGAATTGAAACCCCAGTACTACAAAACAAATAAACCACACTAGGAAAACAAATGCTATAGGCCAGATTTATCTCCAACTTAAATTCCCCATTGAAATGACCATAATCAAGCACTTGATTTTGTTGACTATAATTTTAAAACTGGTTCTAGGGTCAATTGTATGATGTTGCAGTTTGGATGAGCCATTTTATTTCCTGAGCTTCATCTACATATTTTTTCTTTAAAAGCTAAGGCAAATTATATAATATCCATTAAAGTGTTTTGATATTTTTTAAAGCAATGTCTGTGATTTGGGTCAAGTAACTTAATATCGGTAAGCTGCATTTTTCTTGTGTACAAATTGATAATAACTTCCTTGCAGTAATTTGTAAGGATAAAGATCATCTATGTAGTATGCCTGTCTAGTGTATAGTGGTCTCTCAATAAAGTGGTGGTGGTGGTGGTATTACAATATTATAATTATCTCCTGAGGTGCCTTATCTGTTGTATTTGCCGTTTTGCCTATTCAACCACTATTCAGGCGTACGCATTAGGAGGCAAGTTAGTTAGCAAGGGAGTTACTAGAGGCCAAGAAGCATGGCTAACCATGCTTCCATTTCTCTTGAGATTCAGTTGAAGGGTCAGATTACAATATGTTCTGAGCAGCATGCTATTGGCCACAAGGTCACAGTTTTAATAATCTCCATCTCAGCCGCTAACTTCATTCCATCTGATAGCAGCACTGTATCCCCAAGCTCTTACTGATGCGTACCAATGGTTATAAAATTAAATCAGAGCTAATGTGTAACTATTTCCAGTCCTTTACACATGGTCACAGATGTCTCTGAGCCCCTGCTGGTAGATTACAATGTCATCTTTATGTAACCAGGAACAATAACAGTCATTATTTTCTCATAGAATCCACTCAACCTATGTGTGAAGATCGTGCAAGGAATCCGGGCCATGGATGTTGATTCTAGTCAGTACTCTTTAGAACTGATCCAAATGGTTCATGCATGCCTTGACCAGGTAGGTATGGCTTACTTACTGATTTCAGCTTCATGGTTTTTCCTTTCAGCCTTAGTGTTTGGGGTATGCTATAAGCTATAAACCACATTAAACTATCTCCCAATATAAAAGGTATTTGTGGTTGTACACAGCATAAGCCTTGCCAATTCATGGTAGTTGTGTACTTCACTAAGTAAATTCTTACTTTATTACATTTTGTAAATATTAATTTGTGAAATGGTTTTACCATCTAAATTATATCCCATTTTTTATGGTCAATGTTAATTTTAATGAACACACACACACACACACACACACACACACGCCCCCCCCCCCATGGGACTGGAGTTTGAATTTAGGGCTTCACACTTGCAAGACAGGCACTCTACCTCCTGAGTCACACCTCCAGTCCGTTTTGCTCTGGTTATTATAGAGATGGAGTCTCGCAAACTATTTGCCCAGGCTGACCTTGAACCTTGATCCTCCTGATCTCAGCTTCCCAAGTAGCTAGGATTATAGGCATAGGCTCTCGTCTTATAAATTGATTTTTATAAAACTGAAGTCGAAGATAATTTAGAGTTCCTAATGTGCAGAATGTATGTAGTTCTGTTATCTTAGGATTACCTTACTTCATATATAGTTTTAGCATTATTCAAAGTGTTGTCAGAGGGCTCTCTGATATCATAATCCCCAATGAGTGGGAGAGTTTTATATGTAAAAAAGAAGATTCCCTGACTTTGCCTCAGAGCACAGAATCTCTGAAAAAAGCCCAGAAATTCTTATTTGCAGTATACACCCCAGTTGATTCTTTGGTGCTGTATGTATTGGGGTTTGAGAGCTGTTTCTATAATTGAACAAGTGAAGAAGATACATTGTAAAAATCCTCGCTCATATGCAAATAATGAGAGTTAGGCATTATACACGGAATGTAAGGAGTGGCTCAAGTGGTAGAGCGCCTGCCTAGCAAGTGTGAGGGCCTGAGTTCAAACTCTAGCACCACAACAAAAAAAAAAGGAATGTGACATAAGAAATACGATTTTTGAAATAAAAGGATAATATACAGTAGTCTTTGACTATAGCCTTTTAAGAGGAAATAAAATTTTTTATTAGATCCCATATTACACATTCCCTGTAAGTGAAAACTAATCTTTCTTTTTAGGATCCTGAGCAGAGACCCACTGCAGATGAACTTCTGGATCGTCCTCTTCTCAGGAAACGAAGGAGGTAAAATACAAAGAAATCATTTGTCTTTGCAGAGATGGTTGAGAATACCACAACTAACTTGACTATGTTAGTGCTATTTTCTACCCATACCTCTATTTTCATTGCTTAAGGGTGCCTCCTAATTTTCACCTTCTTGGCTGTTTTATTCTAAATTTGTATTCGTGACACCCAAGAGCCCCCAATCTGTGGGGTTTTTGTTCTAGAGTTGAGACATTGATGTCCTTAACTAAGTTTTGGTTTTGGTGGTTTTGTTTTGGATTTGAACTCAGGGCCTCAAGCTTGCTAGGCCAGTGCTTTACCACTGAGCCATGCCCTTAGTCCTTTTGCTTTTAGTTCATTTTTCAGATAGGTCCCTCACTTTTTCCCTAGTTGTACCCTGATCCTCCTTCCTCTGCCTTCTGGGTAGCTGGGATTATAGCCATGCACTACCACATCCAGGTTTTTTGGGGGGAGTGGGATTGTTTGTTTTTATTGTTGTTGTTTTTGCAGCCCTGGAGTTTGAACTCAGGGCCTCATGCTTGCAAAGCAGTTGCTCTTACTGCTTGAGCCACTCTGCCAGCCCTTTTTTGTGATAGATTTTTTAAAGATAGGGTCTCTTGAACTATTTGCCCAGGGCTGCCTCCTGAATAGCTAGGATTACAGGCATGAGTTTTTTGTTTTTTAATTTTGTACAGTACTGGGGTTTGATTTCAGGGCTTCACAATTGATAGAGAAGTACTCAGTTACTTGGACCACACTGCCAATCCTTTTTGCTTAGTTTATTTTCAAGTAGAATCTCTTGATCTTGCCTGGGGCCAGCCTAAAACCATGATCCTCCCTTCTCCACCTCCCACATAGCTGAAATTACAGGTGTATACCACCACACCCAGCTTGTTTGGTTTTTGTTGGTAGTACTGGGGTTTGAACTCAGAGCCTTGCGTTTATTAGGCAAGCATTCTACCATTTGACCCTTACCTCTATCCCTTTTCTGTTCTAGTTATTTTCAAGATAGGGTCTTGGTTTTTGCTAGGAGCTGGCCTCAGTCAGTCAGAGATCCTTCTACTTATGCCTCTCATATAGCTGGGGCCTCAGGCACATCCCACCACACCTGATTTACTTATTGAGATGAGGTCTTGCTAACTTCTTGGCTGGATTGACCTTGAGTTTTTATCCTCCTGAGATTATAGGTTTGAGCCACCACACCCAGCCTCCAGCAATGTTTGTCTTCCCAGTAGAGGGATTGCCAGGTGATAGGCAGTTCTGTTTTACAGGGATTTTTTTGGTTTTTGATTTAATTTATTTATTTTTTATTTTTATTTTTGTGGTACTGGAGTTTGAACTCAGAGCTTCATGCTTGAAAAGTAGGCATTCTACCAATCTCCCAGTCCATTTTTGTTTTTGAGAAGGAGTCTCATACAGTGCAGGCTGGGCTAGAACTTGCTTTGTGGCCCTGGGTAGCCTCAAATTCAAAATCCTCCTTCCTTGGCCTCTCAAGAACTGGGATTACTGATACATGCCACATTGCCCAGCCTATTTTTAGTTTTTGAGGAACCTCCATACTATTTTCCTTAATGACTATACTATTTTACATTCTCTTCAGCAGTGTATGAGAAGTTCCCCACACCCTTACCGGCATTTATTATTTTTGTCTTTTTTTTTTTTTAATAATGGCCATTTAAACAGAGATTAGGTGATACCTCATTGTGGTTTTGATTGACTTTTCTCTGATGCTTAGTGATGTTTAGCACTTTTTCATATAATTGTTGGTCATTTGTATGTCTTCTTTTGAAATACATCTATTCAGATATCATTCACCCATTTTTGAAATCAGATTCTTTGTGGGTATTTTTGTTTTGTTTTGCTATTGAGTGGCCTGAGTTCCTTATATAATTATAAGAAACTGGTATGAAAATAAGTTAATTCCTTATCAGATGAAGAGTTTGCCAATATTTTCTCCTATTCTGTAGATTTTCTCTTCATTCTTTCTTTTTCTTCAGTACTAGGGTTTGAACTCAGGGCCTACACCCTGCATCACTCCACCAGCCCTTTTTTGTGATAGGTTTTTTTTCAAAATAGGGTCTTGTGAACTATTTGCCCAGGCTGGCTTCAAACCATGATCCTCTCAATCTCTGCCTCCTGAATCTAGGATTACAGGTGTGAGCCACTAGTGCCCGGCTCTCTTCACTTTTTTTTTTTTTTTTCTCTTCACTCTTGATTGTTTCTTTTGTTGTACAGAAGCAATTTGATTAATTGTTTGATTAATCCCATTTGTCAGTTTTTGCTTTTATTGTGTATGCTTTTGAGGACATATCCAAAAAAATCTTTGCCTAGGCCATGTCCTAAAGCATTTTCCCTACATTTTCTTCTAGGTAGTTTCATAGTTTTAGGGCTTAACATTTAAGTGCTGATCCATAATCAGTCTTTTCTGGTTTCCAGTTGTTCTCTAATCAGTGTTTTGGTGCCTAGAATTATATGTTACACTCCAGATACAGCATTATGACCTTCTATTCATGTTCTATGAGTATTCAGGCAATATCATATTCTGGGGCTGGTTATTTAAACATACTTAAGCTTTTTATCTAGCATATATTCCAACAATATAATCACTTTTAATCTCTTACTGAAATATTCTAATTGAGAGTTTGTGAAATTTTTACTAAAAATTACAGACTTACATGTACTTTGTTAGAACTTTGTATTTTGATGGAAAAACATAAGATAATTTTCTAGACAGAAAATAACAAAAGCAAAAGCATAGATACAAGAAGTTGTGGGAAACACCTGTTTGGCTGGATTCATGGTTCTAGTCCTGGGGCTCTCAATGCAAAGTCTTAGGAATTGAGCTTTCAAAACTTACTGATGCTTAGGGTTCAGTGGTTTAGTGTTTGCCTGGTATACACAAGGCCCTGTGTTCAGGGCCTCCAGTACTACCAAAAGAACCAAAAAAAATTACTGATGCCTGAGCGTTATGCAGAAGATAAGCTATAATAGATTTATGAAGAATGACAGCCCTTGCTAGAGCTTGGGTTGTAAGTAAAGGAGTAGGGGATCTTCTATGTCAGACTTGACACAAAAGAGAGTGTACAAGTAAGTACTGGGCGTTTGTGAGGGGGTCGTTCATGTGATGAGAGGCATGCCCAAACAAGAGTCATTTGGCAGTACTAGGATCAGTGTTAGTTTAGTATAGGACCCATCAAAGTAGTGTAGAACTGTAGTGAGGCTGCCTAGGAGGCCCTACCACAGTACAGGTGGGAAGTGAAGCTGCCCAGAGCTGAGAAAGTAAAACTAGGCAAGAAATGTTGAATATAAAAACACTGTGGCCAGGTGTGGTGGCACATGCCTGTAATCCTTATTTTTAGGAGGCTGAAGCAAGAAGATCATGAGTCCAAGAGCAGCACTGGGACACATAGCAAATTTGAGGCCAGCCTAGGATACATAGTGAGATGCCATTTCAAAAACAGCAACAACAAAGAGGGGCAGATTCTGTATATGTTAAATCTATAGAAAGGAAATATTAAAGAAAGAGGGAGAAGTTTGAGATGCCTAAAGTTGATTGGGAGAGAATGGGGGAGGGGTATGTTGCCAGTTACAAACACAGGAGAGTCAGAAAGAAAAGCTGATTTGGGAGAAAGATAAGTCCAGGCTTGGAGATACTACATTTGGGGAGTCAGTGGGCAGAGCACATAGAGGTGTCCATCATGTGCCTCAGAGGCTCTCCAGGCTCTCTGTTCCAGCCTTGTCTGTTTCTTAGAGATTGAAAACAAACACTATCTGAAAAAGAGGGGAAGAGAGGGACTAAGGGAATATAATAGAGAGGGCAAACTTGTTCAGAGTACACTGTATGCTTATATAGAAATATCACAATGAAGTCCCTTGTACTGCTAAAGTATGCTGATTGTTAAAAAAAAAAAAGTTTAAAGAAAAAGAGAGAGAGAATAGAAAGAAAAGAAAAGAAAAAAAAGAGGGAAGCAAATGGTCCAAAACTGTTGGCCCTCTTATAGTTAATGAATTGTCTAATGCCAGACCTGTGTAAGTTGTATAGAGATTATCTTCCTTAAAGAATTGTAATGTTGCAGGGTACACACCATTAATAAGAGGATTAAATCTGAAATGTATTAGAGACACAATTGCAGTGTAAGAACCTGTAATTTCACTCACGTATCTTTGTTTTTGTTTTGGTAGAGAGATGGAGGAAAAAGTCACTCTACTTAATGCACCTACAAAGAGACCAAGGTAATATTCAAAAGACTCTTGAAAATTAATACTGTACATCCTCAGTGCCCACACCATAAGGGTCTTACATGGGCCCAGTAGCCTTCCAAATCCTTTCAGGACCCAATATCCGCTTAAATGCCAAATAGTCATTCTGAGAAGAAAGCTGTAATATTAACCCTCACACTAAAATGGACATTACCATGATGAATGTTGAAAGTGTAGGAGTTATGGATTCCACTGGAATCTGGTCTGCCCAGGCTATGATGAAGCCCTGAGGCAGGCTTTGCAAAACCTGCTATGAGAGAGGGTTGAAAGAACATACTTTCTCTTACCATAATTGGCAGTTCTGAGGGAAGGGACTAGAAGCCGCCTTCTTTGATACTGTTTGTATGCTAAATATGCCTTTGTTCTGGGGGTTACTGCAGGTCAAGCACTGTGACTGAAGCACCCATTGCAGTGGTGACATCACGAACCAGTGAAGTCTATGTTTGGGGTGGTGGGAAATCCACCCCCCAGAAATTGGATGTTATCAAGAGTGGTTGTAGTGCCCGGCAGGTATGCGCAGGGAACACCCACTTTGCCGTGGTCACAGTGGAGAAGGAACTGTACACCTGGGTGGTAAGTGACTCAGTGCTATGAGCCTGGTTGCTTACTAGGCCCAGGCTGTCTATACATTTTATTAGTTGAATCTCTCCTGCAGGACTGTAACATGGAGATGGAATGTTAGCTCTTATGAGAGCGGGGATTTGGTCTGTTCAGTTCATGATAAATTCCTATGCCTGATATATACTAGGATACCTCTGAGTATTTTTTGAATGAATGAATGGGAAAGAGAAAATTAAAAAGCCTCAGGTTTTGAATCAGGGCACTGGGCTGCCATTTACAGCTGAATGATTTCAGACAAGTTTCTTACTCTGCTCTGTTACTATGAGGGTCAGAGTAGCTAGTATCTTTGAAAAAAAATTGTAAACAAATGAAGCACATACCATATCGGGCAGTCTCCAAGTCCTTCACCTGTGATTGAAAATGGCTAGGTATATCTTGCATAAAATGTCCTTTTGTTGCCTTCTGGATTCTGCCCTGTCTCTCTCACCTTCTAAACACATTGTGTTTGCTACCTGTTTCCTTAACTCCCACTCCTCACTCTATCTACAATACAGCTTCCATCCCTGCCACTCAGTTGAAACGACTCTTAACCAAATTGCCCATAAATTGCTAAAACAAAACAGATGCCTTTTAATCTTTACCTAACTGTAGCTCCCAGCAGCATTTGATATACTTGATCATTCCCTCTTTTTGGCGGTACTAAGACCTCATACTTTCTAAGAGCCTCTCTGCCAAGCCATTCCCGCCTCCTTGAAGCTTTGCTATCTATAACTTGGCTTCCATAATAGCATGCTCTCTTGGTTTCTTCCTGTCTCTTTAGCTGTGCGTTCTCAGACTCATTTCAGGCCGTTTTTCCTTTACCCAAACTTGTCTTAGGCCCTTGGATCCTCTCTCTGAGGGAGCTTATTTTTTTCAGTGCTTTCAGTTATTTTCTCCTTTGGTATAGGGACATTGTCTTATTCACTGTTTATCCATAATATGTGAAAAAGTAGATACTCAACTATTAAGTGATTGAAAGAGAGAATGAATGAGTTGGCCTCTGTTGTAAAGTGGTGACTTTCTGTTATTTCCTAACCCCATATCCCTTAAAGAATTAGCCCCTTTGCCAGGCACTGGTGGCTCACGCCTGTAATCCTAGCTACTAAGGAGGTGGAGATCAGGAGGATCATGGCTCAAAGCAAGCCTGAGTAAATAGTCCAAGAGAGCCTGTCTTGAAAAAAACCCATCACAAAAAAGGGCTGGTAGAGTGGCTCAAGGTGTAGGCCCTGAGTTCAAGCTTCAGTACCACCTAAAAAAAAAAAGAAAGGAATTAGCCCCTTGGCAGCTACCAGAAGTAGAGTGAAATTAGTACTTTAAAAAACATTTATAGGGCTAGAGGTATGGTTCAATCAGTAGAGTACTTGCCTAGCAAGCACAAAGCTCTGAGTAAAAAACCCCAGTCCCACCAGAAGAAAAAAAAAAAATATATATATATATATATATGTATGTATGTATGTATATGGACTTGTAGTTGAGTCATTGAATAGAATTACTTATCTCTGTAAAACTATTGAAAAGTCATGAAGATTATTCTTAGTACTGTATAGCACCTTCTTTAATATAACCAGATTCTTCATAGCTATTCTGTGTTTCAGGGAAAGTGACCAAAATATATAAAACTTCTATAGGATAGGTAGATTTTGCTAGACTTCTGTAGAAAGCAGTCAAATTATATGATTTTTTTTTAGCATTACCCATGATTACCTTATTCTTGAAGAACAAAGACAAAATTGGGAATGTGTCCTGTTGAAGCCTGATGGATACAAATCTGGGTGCTTCAAAATCTTTACCTGTTAGCAGAGATTTTATATTACCTATTAAAAAGTTTAACTCCCTTACCCACTTTTTTCTTTAATTTTCTAGCTGCTTTTTCTTACTAATTTTCTTCATAAGTTATATTAAAGATTAGCTTTTAGCATGAAAAGTTTAAACATCACAAGACCTCTTTATTTCACAGAATATGCAAGGGGGTACTAAACTCCATGGTCAGCTAGGCCATGGAGACAAAGCTTCCTATCGGCAGCCAAAGCATGTGGAAAAGTTGCAAGGCAAAGCTATCCATCAGGTGTCATGTGGTGATGATTTCACTGTATGTGTGACAGGTAAGCCATTAGCAGAAACATTTCTGCAGTTAATGTGGGGTATGGTGCTGAATGCTGTGCAGTTTTAGTTGGGATTTTACAACAAAAGACCATTTTCAAAGAACCAAAAGACATTAAACAAATATACTCATTAATCACAGCATTCCCAATCTGCTGTATTAGAGAATGGTGAACAAGTAGAGGGCAAGTGGATAATAGAGAAGAGGTAGGATTAGGAAAAATGTGTTGTATGTCCCACATGGTAAATAGTAGGAAAATTATTTCACCACTCTTCAGGCTATGCATAACACACAATCAGGATCAAGAGCTAAATTAAGATTTGGTCTTGTCATTATTTACTTTATTCCTTGGTACTTCTCTTTAACTATTATTTTTTAAATTTTATTTTATGTTTGAATTAACATACATTAATAATAAGAGAGGAGCATGCTCCTTGAACACGCTCACCCCCTCCGATGTACTTCTGTTCCTCCCCCTTTCTCCCACCAGTACTTTTCTTTTTATCTATAAAATTGAGAAGCTCCCAATAAATTTTAAGACCTTTTTACATACTACTACTACTTTTTAAACTGTTCATTACAGTAATACTACATGTAACTCTCTTAACTACTAACAGCTATACTTTGGATTTCTTTGATGGAATCATCTCCTGTGAGAGCACTGGTTGGGGTAGTTCTCATTGCAGCACTGCCCAGCTTTCTGATTAGACAAAATAAGTCATTCCTATAATAAACTGTTTTCCTTTCTTTTGCAGATGAAGGTCAGCTCTATGCCTTTGGATCAGATTATTATGGCTGTATGGGAGTAGACAAGGTTGCTGGCCCTGAAGTTCTAGAACCCATGCAGCTCAACTTCTTCCTCAGCAATCCAGTGGAGCAGGTCTCCTGTGGGGATAATCATGTGGTGGTTCTGACAAGAAACAAGGAAGTCTATTCTTGGGGCTGTGGTGAATATGGTAAGGTGAAGCCTTGTCTCTGTCCACTTCTTCCAAGGTGCACAACTTGACTTCAGGCTTGTGTGCATCTGAACACATCACATAGTCACTGTTGGAGAAATGTTAATTCAGTAAGAGAATCTTACAGAACATCTTCATTGGGAAGAAGGTCCTCATCATAATGATTTTCTTCTTATGTGTGTTTCAGGACGGCTGGGTTTAGATTCAGAAGAGGATTACTATACACCACAAAGGGTAAAATAAAAAGCAACTTCTTTCTAAAGCTTACCTAAGTTACCCAAATTCCAAAAGTATACCCTCTTCCCCTGAATTCTTATATCAAGATGTTTCTTTCTGAAGTTTTTCCTGTTTGGGAGACTGACAATCTAGGATTCCTAATTTAGTACTATATGAGCTTGTCATCTGACTAAATCATAAAAAGTTGAGACAGTGGATACAGTTACTGTGCACATTGGCATCACATCTTAGGCAGTAGAGCCAAAATCAATATGTATAGCAGAAAAAAATCATGTATAGTTAAATATGCCCTAAAAAACTCAGTGAGATATTAGAAAGGAATATATTGTCTCTCAAACCATCACAGCCATTTTCCCTTCCTATTTCGAGAGTTGAACACCACATGAAATAGTTGGTTTTACTTAGGGAACATGTGGTGTGAAATATCATATCTGATTACTCTCAGGACTGCCAAAGCTGGCTCTTGGAGAGGCTCACAGGAACCGAAGCCAGCTGGGGAAAAGCACAGCCACATCTCTCTTACACCCCCAGACTACATCAACTATACCATTTGCTGTTACCAGTTTTTATTCACATTGTAAACATTAAATGATGTTTATGGGGACCACCCTTGATGGGATTCATAGCTGTTCTCCTAAAGAGACTGTAGTAGAAACTCAGGCCTGAGGTTTTACACGTGGCTATCATAGCCACAGTTGTCACCCCCTCATTCTCCAACCCTGTGTAGGATGTGAGCATTTGGAAATCCTAGTTACGACCTAAGTACTATGTCACCTTTCTTACTTAAAAAAAAAAAAAAAGCCAGACTAGGACCCACAGGGTCACTGAACATCTATAACTGTCAAGGAGCCCTGAATCTTAGAGGACACAGCCAGCAAGAGTTCGAAGCTGTCCTTTCCAACTCTTGCCTCCCTTGTTCAGAAGTGTCCTGTGTTGCTAAAACAGATCTACAAGGGCTGTCTGTTTAGTTGTCCTAGAACTGCCACCTTTTCCTTTGTATTTAAAACTTGAGCTCTTTGTTAAAAAGAGTGGCCTCCAAGCTGCTGTGCATCTTAAGAGAACAAAGCAACCTTTCTTCTCCTGTGGTCTTTGTGTGTGTTTGTGGCAGTACTGGGTTTTGAACTCAGGGCCTCATGCTTGCTAGGCAGGCCCTCTACCTCCTGTAGTAATTCTGCTAAGTGCAGCATGTCACTTTTGAAACAATCTTGAGGGTTTTTTTTAATACAAATTATAAATTTGGTTTTTGTTTTTTTTTCTGACTTTTACTTTTTCCTTTCAGGTGGATGTTCCCAAGGCCTTAATTATTGTTGCAGTTCAGTGTGGCTGTGATGGGACTTTTCTGCTCACCCAGTCAGGCAAAGTGCTGGCCTGTGGACTCAATGAGTTCAACAAACTGGGTCTGAATCAGTGCATGTCTGGAATCATCAACCATGAAGTGAGTGTTCCCATGGTGCCCCAGTCACATGGGAAAAACTTCTTTAGGTTGGAATTTCTTTGGGATGCTATTACTGGCCAGTGAGTATGGAATTTGACTTAAGGACAAACTGATGATTTCACATGCATTGTGTTCAGCAAAAGAAGTCAGCCATGTACTATACGTTTACAATTATGTGAGGTTCAAGAACAGACAAAATTAACTTAGGATGACACAAGCAAAATAAATGTTACCTCTGGAAGAAGAGGTATAGTTCTTAACCAAAGAAGTAGGAGGAGCATCTGTTACCTCTCGTAATAGGATTATTCTCCATCTGGGAGGTTTTCTAGGTATATGTACAGAAAAATACATCAAACTGTGAATTTTTTTTTTTTTTGTCTTTTCTTTTTTGGTGCTGGGATCGAACCCAGGGCCTCACGCATGCTAGGCAAGCGCTGTACCACCGAGCTACATCCCAGCCCTATGTGGAATTTTTTAGTATTCTAGTTATGCCTCAATAACATTGATTACACTGAAGGGGGAGGGGAGGACAGGCTGGGGAGGGGGTAGAGGGGAGAAATGACCCAAACAATGTATGCACATGTGAATAAATGAATAATTTAAAAAGATAAATAAATAAAACTGATTATAAAGAATAAAATGATAGAATTTGGGTTCTACCTTATCACTGAAATAGGGACAAAAAAATTACCATAAAAAGGAACAGTCTCGTGTATCACTTCCCTAGAAAGATTTTTAGATTTATTGCTCCCAAAACTGATCCTGTATGAGCTTATTAAATGTAATTACTTTTCTCCCCCTTCAAGAGCGTCATGAAATTACCACTGATAGTTTTAGTTTGGGTTTTCTCTTTGCGTTAGTGTACTAAGTTTTTGTCATTTCTAAAAAAATGTGGCTCAAGTGGTAGAGTACCTGCCTAGCAAGCACAAAACCCTGAGTTCAAACCGTAGAACTGGGGAAAAAGAAAAAGAAAAAAATCAAGAGACACAAGTTTCCTGACTCAGTAAAAAGGTAAGAGTTAATTTTTAAACAGTCTCTGAAGAATTGAGTTTCAGGAGAACATAAACTCAGGACAGGGTCGGAAGGAGTATATGTGTAGTTTGAAAAGCACAGTCAGAATTACTGCTTGACTTTGTGCTTTGTTAAAACACCAGTTTTAGGAATGGCAAAGTAGCTCAAATGGTAGTGCGCATGCCTCTTAAGTGTGAGGCCCTGAGTTTAACCCCTGGTACCACAAAAAAAATAAAAAACCTACCAGGTTTGTTTAAAAAAAAAAAATTGAAAACAGCAGGTTTGTTATGAAACTATAAACTTACATGAGAGAATTTTTTTTTTCAACATAAACTCAAAAGGGATCATGGATTTTAAAAAGTTATGAAACACTATCCTATGAGTAAAATTAGACCACAGTAAATGATTGCTTTGTAGGCTGAGTCTTCAGATTTTAATTCTTTGCCCTTCCCTTGTTAGGTATGCAGAGTGTATAACCAAGACAAATATCAGTGATTCTATCCTTATAATAGTGTATTCTGGGATGGTGTTCATATATTGCATACTTTAATTCAGAATGTAAAAATGTGTTGTCAGAAAGTCCTGATTCATATGCCAAATTCTCAGTTTACATATTCTTATATCCTACTGAAGATGGAAAGCTACCTGGCACTATCTCTTAGTAACATGTTTTGTTTAAAAGACCTTTTGGTCACCATGACCCTTTTCCATTCGGTTTGTTACTTCATGAATTTTTGCTTTGTGTTTTACTTGTTTCAGGCATACCATGAAGTTCCCTACACAACCTCCTTTACTTTGGCCAAACAGTTGTCCTTTTATAAGGTCCGTACTGTTGCCCCAGGCAAGACTCACACAGCTGCTATTGATGGTGAGTTGACTTTCAGCTGTATCTAAGTAGCTCAGGCTCATTATGCTGTGAAGTGTTAGCTTTTCTCAACAATATATGCATCGTTCTGACTTTTCCCTTATATCTGGTATTATTTCACTAACAAATTAGGCATTCAAGCACATATTTTTGTTGATAATCACTTTGGTTTTGTTTGTTTGGCAGTACTGGGGTTTGAATTCAGGGCTTCACACTTGCTAGGCAGGCATTCTACTACTTGAGCCACTCTGCCAACCCTGTTTTGTGTCGGGGGTAGAGGTAGGGTCTCAAGAATTATTTGCCCAGGACTGGCTTCCAGCTGATTATCCTCGTGATCTCTGCCTCCCAAGTAGCTAGGATTACAAGCATGAGACACTGTCACTGGGTTGATGATTACTTCTTTACCTACAAGTTATACATACTGTTTAATGAGAACACCACACCTATTAACTTGTGACTTCTGTTGTCTCTAACTAGTATGTCTAAGTATTCTAATTAGGTAGTACCCATTATCCACATTAAAAATGTAATATTGGAGAGAATATACAATAGTATTGAGTGGGTCTAACTGGTCACAGTGCTTAGGTACCCTAGCAACCAGAGGTCCAGAACTTACCTCATGGAAATCTGCATAGGCTGTGTCTTCCTTCTGTTCCTTGACCTGTTTTGCTTGATTATTTATTTGTGCTTCTCTCTCAGAACGAGGCCGTCTGCTGACCTTTGGTTGCAATAAGTGTGGGCAGCTGGGTGTTGGGAATTACAAGAAGCGCCTGGGAATCAATTTGTTGGGTGGACCCCTTGGTGGGAAGCAAGTGATCAGGGTGTCCTGCGGTGATGAGTTCACCATTGCTGCCACTGATGGTGAGTCTATACATGTCATTTTATGCTTTCTGGACAGAGGCTGTTTTATTGAGTGGGAAAGAGGTGGGCTAGTTTTTGTATAGCTGGAGCATGGTTTTACTTTTTCCTTTGTATTAAATTGGGACCAGTTGTTATGCATAATGAGCTTCATTAATTTTTCATATGTCCAAATAGTGATTGTTTTTTAAAAGTCAGTTTTTAAAAAGACAAGTTGGTATTCCAAAGTTGTCCCTTTTTAAGTTTTCATTTTAACTTTTTTGATAAAATGTTTGTGGAATCATTAAGACCTTCTGTCTGTATTTTATCCAGCATGATGTTTATTCCAATAAACATTCACAACTCCTCCCAGAGCTCAGTCCTCTCTCCAGAGTGAGTGCATTCCCTTAAATCCCCCGATGCCTTACAGCTTTATATTACCACCCTTGACCTCCAGACATGTATTCAACAGCCCCTCAACCTGGATGTCTAAAGATAGGGTAGCTGTATAGCCCAGTTATCCTAGGTGAATCCTGATTCATGCCTATTGTCCTACCATGATCATTAATAGCACCGTCTTTAACTTAAAAAAAAAAGCCTATTCGGGATAAGAATCGGGATTCTGGTTTTGGCATCTCAGACAAACTTAGTATATTCTGGTTTTCTGCCCAAGACTTATTCCTCTGCAGCTTTTCTATCTCAGTAAGTGGCAGCTCCATCCTATATCCTATATCTTATCCACCAGCAAATCCTACTCATTACTTTCACAATGTATCCAACAACTTCTTGCCATTATCACTACTACAGCTGGTCTCTGCTTCTACCCTTGTTTCCCTACAGTTGGTTCTCCTCATCTTAGTCTCAGGGATCCTTTTAAATACTACTGCTCAGACCTCTACTGTTTTCCTACATTAGTCAGGAAAAGCTAATCATGGTGGCCACATGACTAAGACTGCAGCCACTCCTGACCTCTCCTACCACTACTGCCTCTTCCTTTACTTTCCTCTAGCTGCATGCACCTCCTCCTTCCTGTTCATATTGCTGACATTGCACTTGGTGTTCTGTCAACTCAGAAACCCTCTCTCACTTCAATCAGATATCTACTCAAGTGTCAGTACTTCTCTAAACACCTTCTGTAGAATAATCCCATCTCACTTTTATTCATTTCACGTATTTTTATCTTCTTTCATAGCATTTATTTATGCTGTCAGACTCCCCCACTGGAATGTCAGTATCATAGGAGCATGTTCAGTCCTGCCATGAAGTAGATTCCCAATACATATTTGGATGAATGGCCAGTTTAAAAAAAAAAAAAAAAGGTGTTAAGGAAAGCAATGCAAGTCAACTCCCTGTATAGCTATCCTTATCTCAACTAGCAAAAACCCTTGTTCCTTCCTATTATTGCTTCTACTCTCTCTTCAACAAAACTAGAGATAAGGGCAAAATAGTTTCTGCCTGGTAGTGAGGGGTTGGGGAGGTAATTGGGGGAAGGGGCAGGGGAAAAGGGGGAGAAATGACCCAAACATCATATGCACATATGAATATAATTTAAAAAAAAAAAGAAAAAAAATGTTGAATGAGTAAACAGATGGATAAATGACACTACATAGGTTCCTATGTAAAATGACCATGGGTCATTTTTACCTAGGTGAGATCAGGAAGGGTTTATTCTTTAGGGGAATAATCAGCTTTCCCTCATTTAGTGCAGAATGGGACATCTTTCTAGCTATGGGGCATAAAAATGAGCCAAAAGAGTTGGAAATCCAGTATTCTGTTAAATGATCTGTTGTTTAATTTTTTGTAGACAATCATATTTTTGCCTGGGGCAATGGTGGTAATGGCCGCCTGGCGATGACCCCCACTGAGAGACCACATGGCTCTGATATCTGTACCTCATGGCCTCGGCCTATTTTTGGATCTCTGCACCATGTCCCAGACCTATCTTGCCGTGGGTGGCACACCATTCTCATTGTTGGTAAGGGTTTCATATGTGTGGGATTGGGATGACTTTGACAGGACTGACTCACATCTAAGGTACTGATGGTCACATTCTCGGAAACAGAAATGTTCCTGCAGCAGAGGCTACTTGTATTAAGTTTTATAATGGTCAGGGATATGACACCTAATGATAGGAGCAGACATTCATTTCCTGAACTTTGTCATCTGCCATCTCTTGATTGCTTGGCTTTTTCTTTTTTTTTTTTTTCTTTTTTTTTTTTGGTGGCTCTGGGGTTTGAACTCAGGACCTACACCTTGATATACTCCACCAGCCCTTTTTTTGTTGGGATTTTTCAAGATAGGGTTTCTCAGATAATAATAATAATTATAATAATTATTATTATAATAATAATAATTTGCCCAGGCTCGCTTTGAATTTTGATCTTCCTGATTTCTGCCTCCTGAGCAGCTAGGATTACAGGCATGAGCCACCAGCTTTGGCCTTTACTCTGAGAGGCGGGAAGGCTGTACTGGAGTTTGAACTAAAAGTTTCATGCTTTCTAGACAGGCACTCTACTGCTTGAACTATGCCTCCAGCCCTTTTTGATGTGGTTATTTTAGAGATAGGGTCTCACTTTTTTTTTGCTCGGGCCTGACTAGACGCTGATCTTCTATTTTTTGCTTCCCACCATTGCTAGGATGATAGGCATGTGCCATTTCTGTTGCGATGGAGGCTCACAAACTTTTTTGTTTTTTGCCTGAGCTGGCCTGGACTGCAGTCTTCCCAATCTCAGCCTACCAAGTAGGTTGGAATGATAGGCGCATGCCACTGCTGTTGGTTGAAATAGAGTTTAGTTAACTTTGCTCAGCTAGCCTCAAACCATAATCCTCCTGATCTCAGCCTCCCAAGTAGCTAGAGTTACAGGAGGTGAGCCATCAGCACCCAACTTCTTGGCCATTTTTTTAATATGATAACTTTAGGCTCTGCACTCTACCACTATACACTATAGAATTTGTTACTTTTAATTATCCACTAATTAATGTGTTATTTGTGGTTGTACTTTCTTGAGAAACACTCAGTACATGTTTTAAAAGAAACTTTTAAGTCATAAATGTGTTTTGCATAAAGATTACTTTTTTGAACTAAATTATAAAAGCCTTGCCTGTACATAAGAATCATCCTGGGGAACTTTTACAAAGTCTAATCCTGACCATATCCCTAGCCAATTAAATCAGAATTTCTGGGATTGGACCTAGGCACTGTTATTTTCTAAAGCTTCCCAGGTGACTGATGAACAGCAAAGGTGGAGAATTGCCACTATGGTAATGAATATAGTTACAGTAACTAGTGGTGTGTGTTTGGCTTATGAGATCCGTTACTAAGCAGTAAGTAATCATGAAATTATCTAGAGTGAGGGGTAGCGATAATCTCCCTATTCTAGTCTCCCCTTACTTTTCCTGCCCATCTGCACAAAATGCTTACCTGCTAATATTTTTTCTCAGAGAAAGTATTGAATTCTAAGACCATCCGTTCTAATAGCAGCGGTCTCTCCATCGGAACTGGTAAGTAGTAATACCTCAGGTGTCAGTGGTTTTCTTGCATGGGGTCTTTGGGTTAGATTCCACACTTTCCCCAAAATTGAAAGGAAAATAGGAAATGGGGGTGAGGGCAATGAGGAATACAGTGATTAAGAGGGAGGATTTTATTTTGTTGAGTTTCACAGTAAGTCATGATTTTTACATTGTGGTCAGAGGGAGAATACGTCTTCTTTGCTTTCAACACATATGTAAGTAAGTAAGCCACTTGCCCCACACTGTAATGTGACTTACATATTATTCCTTTCTTTACTATTCTAGATATGCCAATCTACAGAAATAGTCCTTGCCAGGCGCTGGTGGCTTATGCCTATAACCCTAGCTACTTGGGAGGGCAAAGATCAGGTGGATTGTGGTTCGAAGCCAGCCCTGGGTAAATAGTATGAGAGACCCTATATTGACAGTACCCAACACAAAACAGGACTGGCAGAGTGGCTCAAATGGTAGAGTGCCTGACTAGCAAGCTCAAGGCCCTAAGTTCAAACCCCCGTGTCAGAACCAATTTTTTTGTTTGTTTTTGGTGGTAGTAAGTTTTGAACTCAGGGCTTTGCAAGCACTGCTCTACCACTTGAACCACTCTACCAGCCCTTTTTTGTAATGAGTATTTTTGAGATAGGGTCCCAAGAACTACTTGTCCGGGCTGGCTTCAAGCCTCAATTCTCTTGATCTCTGCCTCTGGAATAGCTAGAATTATAGGCATGAATGACCAGCACCTGGCAGAACTGATTCTGATACTTTGTGGAATCAAATAAGTAAACACCCAGAATAAATGCAGATTAATCCCTCAAAAAGAAACAGTTGAAAATCTGATGAAAGCTGGTTGAACTTTTACTGTACACTACACACACCCTATTACACCATTTGCTGCTTTCCTCAAGTTGCTTAGCATCTCTGTGCATGTTAATTAATGCCTGTCACATACGAGTAAATTTTACCTTTTCTGCTAAGCTCAGTTGTTCTTTTACAACTTTGTTTTTCTGGAACAGTATTTAATGGGAAAAGATAAGATCAAAATCAAATGTCCACTGACCAAAAAATGTAAACTCCAGGGCAGCTTTTTATTATAAAATTAATGGATAAAATTAATCCACATTGCCTCAAACACTGTCTGGCAAATGGTAACTACTCAACAAGTATTTGCTTGAATGTGTTATACCCATGCTTTGGATTATGTTTTGTACAAGAATGAAAATAAACACCATCTCCAAATATCTCCATCATGTGAAGCATAGAGCAAGCTGCAGCAGCTCATGTGCCATTTCACAGCTTTAAAACAAGCCATATGAATAATGTATGGCTTAAGAATATACATATACATGATTAAAAACTTTTCAGAAGAAATGATTAAAACAATCAGAGTGGTTTCATCTGGGTAGGAGACCAGAGGTGGAAGGGATTCCCAAGACAAATACAATGATATAGGAGGAAGTATCCAATACGCATTGTGTCAGTAAATGTTCTATATCTGTGCTGTCCAGAATAGTAGCCCCTGCCCTCAAGTGGCTGTTGAGCACTCAAAAAGCAGCTAATGTGACTGAAGAACTGAATTTTTTATTTTATTTAAAAATTTACATACAACTATCCCAGTCTTTCCCATCTGGGATAGTTCTTTTAACGATAGCAATCACATGTATTCATTGTTAGGCATTAAAAATTGCACATGTTAAAAACAGCCTTGTGTAATATCTCAAATGTAATGTAGTTCTTAAAAGTTATTTAAAACAAAATAACTGAGCCACTGCAGTCAGGCCACAGTGTAGCCACAGTCCATCCTCAGGCCAGTATATCTTGAGTTGACAAGCAGTCCTTTATATTTCCCCTTACAACATAACATGCAGTTTGGTTTTGATTTGTTGGGTGAGGTTTTTTGTTTGTTTTTACTTTGGCAGATTTATATTTTTCTTTGACTCATATTAAAAATCTATTTCATTTCCTATCCACACATCAGCTAGTCTTCATGACAGTAACTTGGAATATATGTTAGAAAAGAACCAAACATATATTTTTAAAATTCACACAGTCACCAAAGAATTAAATGCTCATGAGAGTTTGAAGAATTCACCATTGGCTGTTTTCTCCAGACAGGGAGTTGCCAGTGGTAAGTTTTTCTGGCAACTTTAAGAGGTGTTTGGCTCAAACATTAAATAACTTTTTATATAAGACAGATGCTAATAGAGGATGCTTGAGTATGAACATAATCTTCTAAAGACACAGAGTAAGCGTGGGTACTAGATTTGGTGAACTATGGTTAAGGGGATCATTCAATGATGCAGATAGAATATTGGTAATCTGTTATGGATATAGGACAAGCAAGTCTGGGAAGTAGAAGTGAGTTATTATTATGAAGATCTTTATACACAAACACATTGTATTTAAATTTAGTATTAATATCTGACTTGCATTATTGCCATTCCACTTCCTGCAACTCTAGGAACCTTTCTAGGGGTACATGGGGCTGTCAGATGGTAAATCTTTCTTGCTGCATAGCAAAGCTCTCTACTTCTGTGCCGTATGTCTGCCAGTGGTTCAGAGCTATAGCCCAGGAGGTGGAGGCAGTGGTGGTGGAGAAGAGGAGGACAGTCATCAGGAATCAGAAACTCCTGATCCAAGTGGAGGCTTCCGAGGAACAATGGAAGCAGACCGAGGAATAGAAGGTTTAATCAGTCCCACGGAAGCCATGGGAAACAGTTGTGGGGCCAGCAGCTCGTGTCCTGGCTGGCTTCGAAAGGTAATTCCCTTGGAAGAGATACCTCACATAAGTCCTTTACAGGCACTAGAAAAGATCTGTCAGGATCTCTCAGTTTCCCATGTCCTATTAAAACTGTTGTGCAGCAAGAATCTAGACTTCTGGCTTCCAAGTGGAAACAAAGCACCAAAAACATCATCCTTTTTTTTTGACCTACCAAGAAGAAAAGATACAAAGTGTTCTCATACCTATATTACTTAAATGAATGTAGTTTTATATAACCTACCTGGAAGGCAGTTTTTATAGGGCATGTATACAGAGATTAAGCTCATACATTTTGTACTGTTTATAGAATTGGAATGTCAGGGCATGTGGAATGTTTTATAATAAGAATACATAATAAAAATGCTGAAATATTTATATGGAAAGTTGATTACAGTATAGCTTGTGGAAGAAGATGGAATATCTTATCAGTAAGACCTTATTCTTTCAGAAAGACCTTATTCTTTCAGAAAACATGTACCACAAGAGAATGTGGACAAGACTGTACAGTAGTCATTTTAAAAATAGTTACCTCTGAGTGATGGAATTGCTGGTGGGTTTCATTAGCTTCCTTTACCCATCTATATTTTCTACAGTGAATATTTACAACTTGTGAAATTGTAATTAAAATTCTTTACCAAAAGAGGGTCTACAGGTTTTTGTTTTTTGTTTCTTGGTTTCTTGATGGTACTGGGGTTTGAATTCAGGGCCTCAGACTTGCTAGGCAGGTGCCCTACCATTTGAGCTATTCCACCACCTGGATCTACAAATTTAAAGTTCTGTATCTAATAAGACTAAACTTGATCATTATTTGAGGACTATGATTAGAGAAAGCACAGCTTCAGCCTCAGCCTCAGGCAGGCTGGCAGTCAGCCTCACTGTCTCACATTCAAGCCTCCTACTTGAGTAGCCTTTGTAGAATAAGTGTAGTGTTCTTTGCAGTACTGGAGCTTGAACTCAGGCCTACACATTGAGCCATTCCACCAGCCCTTTTTTGTGATGGGTTTTTTCCTAAGATAGGGTCTCTCAAACTATTTTCCTGCTCTGGCTTCGAACCCAATCCTCCTGATCTGAACCTCCTGAGTAGCTAGGATTATAGGCATAAGCCACTAGCCCCCCGCCCCCGCCAACTGTGGTGGTTTTAAAATTATTTGTTCCCAGGTTGGGTGAGGAATGTTGTTAACCTTAACCACCACTGTCCTCCACTAGAGGGTGCCTATGTCACAACAGTAAAAGCTAGAGCAAAAGAAAGAAGGGAATTTGAAAGAAAATAAATTGTTGCAAACAACTGATAGATTCTCTGTTCTGTTGCTAGGAGCTGGAAAATGCAGAATTCATCCCTATGCCTGATAGCCCAACTCCTCTAAGTGCAGCATTTCCAGAATCTGAGAAAGATACCCTACCCTATGAAGAGCTACAAGAACTCAAAGTGGCCTCCGAAGTTCCTTCAGAACACAAGAGCCCAGTGGGAGCCTGGGTAACTGAGCTTTCTGCCTTTGAATCACAACTCGGTAGACAGTGGCTGTGAGCTCTGCTCAGCTCTTCTGGCCTCACTGTGGCCTCTAGCTTCTTTGATCTTCTAGTTCCCCTGCATCAATTTGTTAGACTGCCTATCCAGTAGTCCTCAAAGCCTCTCTCTACCCAAGACTAAACTTAATTGCCTTGGGACAGTGTTTGCCCCATCACATTTCTGACAGGCCAGCACCTTTCTACACCAGAGGATTCTCTTTTCTCTCTGCCTCAGAAGTACCAAAATTGAAATCCAAAATTCCAATGCAGTTTTTCATGACACTTCTATGGTAGATTGAAACTTTTGTAATAGCAGTGATGCTTGTGGTGTAGAGAAGAAGCAACATATGTGTACCTAAACTTGGTAGAATTGAAATTGTGTTAAAACCCCTCAACATCTAAACTAGAAGGCCACATAGTAATTATTTTAGACTTTGCAGACCGTATACACTGTTTTGTAATTACTCAACTCTGACATTATAAGAGCGGCTCTTTTATAAAAGAGCTTTTTATAAAAGCTACTTTTTTGTGTAGTTCTTACCCAAAATGCTCAGGGATCTAGAAATGTTTTGGATTTAGATTTTGATTTTGGAATATTTGCATATACATAATGAGGTATCTTGGGGCTGGGACCCAAGTCTAAACACAGATTCATTTATGTTTAATAGATATACAAATAACCTGAAGGAATTTTATACAGTATTTTAGTGTACCTGTTTTTTGACTGCAACCCATCTCATGAGTTCAGCAATGGGATTTTCCATGAGTCATCATGTCAGTGCTCAAAAAGTTTTGGATTTTGGAACTTTGAGGATTTTCAAATTAAGGATTATTCAACTTTAATATGTGATGAATGAGCATGTCTGTGCTTTAGTAAAACTTTATTTATAACATAAGCCAGAATTGGCCCATGGGCTGCACTTTGTTAGCCCTGGCTCTAAACAAAGAATAGAAGAGAAAAAAAAAAAATCTGGATAATTGAAAATCTTTTGAGGAGTCTTCTGAAATTGCATTGGCAGTTCTCTTTACTGAACACTTCTCAAATCTTTTTGCAGTATGACCCACCTACATTTTATGAGTCTTAACCCTTTGGGTCACAGTGTCTTCACTATGAGAAAGATTTAGTGTCCTTGCTGGGGTCAGGACTTGTTCCAAATTAAATTATGCTTGCTTGCTTGCTTTATTTATTGTGGTACTGGGGTTTGAACTCAGGGCCTACACCTTGAGCCATTCCAGCAGCCATATTTTGCAATGAGTTTTTTCAAGATACGGTCTTGCAAACTATTTGCCCAGCTTGATTTTGAACCATGATTCTCCTGACCTCTGCCTCCTGAGTAGCTAGAATTATAGGCGTGAGCCACCAGTGCCTGGTGAAATTATGCATTTTAAATGAGAACATTATCAGTGCCCTCTGGAGATTTCCACAGGGCCAGCATGGTGGTACACATCTGTATTCCCAACGCTTGGGAGGCTGAGGCAGGAAGTCTGTGAGTTCAAGGCCAGCCTGAACTGAGACCCTGTCTCAAAAAACCAAAATAAATGATTATTATTCTTAGTGGTTCAGTGCCCCATTAGGCTGAGAGTTCCCTTGCCCTGACAGCACCAGCTGCCATTGGAATCCCAGCATTTTTCTATTTCTCTTGTGTATATATGTTAGTTTAAAAGTAAAATCTGTTTGGATACGGAGCTGTGACACCCAAGCAGACCCTCCTGCAATATCTCTTCTTGTTTCTAGCCACCCCGGCTGAATCCTGCGGTACCATGTGCTGGGAAGGCAACTTCTACCTGTGCATGCAGCACTCTGCAGGTAGAAGTTGAGAGATTGCAGGGTCTGGTGTTAAAATGTCTGGCTGAACAACAGAAGCTACAGCAAGAAAATCTTCAGATTTTTACCCAGCTACAGAAGCTAAACAAGAAATTGGAAGGAGGGCAGCAGGTGAGAGCATTAAAAGAGTAATTATGAAAAAGCACAACAAAACACAAGCACTGAATAGACCTACTCCTTGCAAGTCCCACCTTTTTTATTATTATTATTATTATTATTATTATGCTGGGTAGGAGTACATTGTGGCATTTACAAAGGTTCTTACAGTGTATCAAATATATCATACTTGAATTCATCTCCTCCATCATTCACCGTCATCCCCTCTCCCCCCAAGTCCCACCTTTTGATGATAGATCTTTTGTAATTAATCCCAGCAGCCGTGGATCTTGTAGAGGCTCCTGGTTTGAATCATTTTTTACCACCTCACTTCCATTGTTTTTTGTTGCTATTTGTTTCTTTTAGTTCTTATTATGAAAAATTTTAAACATTACACCAAAAACCCACATACTCACCATCTAAATTCAATAGATAGTATGATGCTGTATTTGGTGCTATGTGTATAAAAATACATACATTTTATTTATTTTGCTGAGTCATTTTCAAGTTATAAAAGTCATGAGGTAGCCAGGTGCTGGTGGCTTAGGCCTATAATCCTAGCTACTCAGGAGGCAGAGATCAGGAGAATCGTAGTTTGAAGCCAGCCCAGGCAAATAGTTCACAGGACCCTATCTTGGAAAAAAAAAAAAAAACCTTCACAAAAGAGGGCTGATGGAGTGGCTCAAGTGGTAAGAGCACCTGCCTGGCAAGGGTGAGGCCCTGAGTTCAAGACCCAGTGCCACCAAAAAAAAAAAACAAAAAAGCATAATACACATGTATTAGGTAAGATGGGCAGTTGCAGCACGCAGGAAAACTGTTTTGCCCAGGACTGTTGAAATTTTCAAATTGAGAGTTCTCCATACTAGGAAACCCTGCAGGCCTGGGCAAATCAGAACAGTTTGTTCATGCTACCTGCAACAGATGTAAAGATAAGAGCTTTTTCCATGGTAGTGCTATGAATTTCCCACAGGAAGACTGGTACAAGTCCTTAGAGGCTGTCAATGAAAGTACAGTCCTAGACTGCCATGACTATGCAGCAGAGTCACTAATGTGGAACTGTTTTATCTGGACAGGTGGGGATGCATTCCAAAGGAACTCAGACAACAAAGGAAGAGATGGAAATGGATCCAAAGCCTGACCTAGATTCAGATTCCTGGTGCCTCCTGGGAACAGACTCCTGTCGACCCAGCCTCTAGTCTCCTGAGCCTACATAGCCCCCAGGAAACTGGGATCCAAAGAACCTCACAGCACACTTACCAAATGCAGAGAGCAGCTTTCCTGGCTTCGTTCACTTGCAGACAAGGAGCACAAGGCAGAGGCTCTGAAGCACTTTCCTTGTACATTTGGAGAGTGGCACTGCCTTTTAGATAGGATCTAGGAGTGATTTTGTTTTGGAGAATGGAAGGGCCCTGTGGCCCTGGCTTTGTCATCAGCGACTGCCATAGCAACAGCAGCTCTGTACCTTATCTGTTGATCCCACCTTTGAAGAGGAGACACAGTGCCCACCCTAATTGCACTGGTAGCAGCTTACATCCCACTTATTTTCACCATTGATTGGAAGCTGCCTTGTGAATTCAGCACCAGACATTGCACCTCTGGGTGGGGGAGGGAAAAGTGTAAGGCTGGAGTCGGCTGGGACCAGGTGTGGTCTGCCCAGGGTCCTCCAGAGAGTGGTAAAGTATCTTGAGTTCTCTCAGAAGCCCTGAATCCATGAAAATTTGGTGGAGTCAATCTAGGGTTTGTTTTCAGAAAGTTCAGTTACTTCATGCAGCTAAATGCTTTAGGAGGAAAAGTGGGCTTAGATTGCTTTTCCTCTGAAGGTTGTTTGAAATGTCTTCAGTGAGGAATTGGAGAAAGAGCAGGTCCCTCCTCATCACCAGCTAGAGTTTCAGGCTGTGGTTGGTGCAGCGTGGGATTTCCCAGCTCTGGAAAGTGCCTCCAAGGGAGGAGGTGTCTCTGAATTGAGTCAGGGGGCAGTAGATAAGGCTGTAGACGTCGGAGGAAATCATGAGGCAGAGGAGCACCTCTTTCATTGCCTGAAAAGTGCGTCTGAGTGATGCTGAGTCTAATGCCCTTAGAAAGGCTTCTTGTGCCTCTGCTGTCACAATTCTTAGGGATCTAATCTTAACATCAGCAGCCCCGGCTGCTCCCTTTCTGTGTGTCTAGTCAGTATTTTTCCCCTTTTGGTGTGTTTTGAAGCCATACCATACCCAGTGAATCCATATCATCTTTTCTACTTGGGTGGCCCAAAACTAGCACCAAAACCTGGGAGTCCTGGAAGCCTAACAGAACAGGTAGAACCTGTCATGTGAAAGGAATTTGAGTACAAACTCACTTCTGATAAGTCCTTGTAGATGGAAGCAAGCTTTGCCAAAGAGTGTTAGTGTCCTAGAAGGACCAACCTCCATATACAAAGTTCCAGGCAAGTGTTCAATAATTTCCCATAAGGATGAGCCTGGCTTTCTCCCAAGCCTTATGAAATGTCCCTATAATATTCGGGGGTCATAGGAGGTGCTTTGATGAGTCTCTCAAACCTTGCTCCCTACAAATAGCTAAATTAATTTTGTTTTATTTTATTGAAACCCAAAAGTGTTTAATATCTGTTCAATATTGCAGGAGGATCTATGCAGTGGAAATTTTGCCATTTCCCTAAAACAGGTGGTGCAAAGGCTCGTGCTCAGAGGAAACCCCAAGTGTGGGGTGTGAGCACCTCTTTCCAATGGGATCTTCTGTTTGATGTCTCATTGTTTTCTCAATTCTGAGAAGCATAGTACAGTAGTACTAATGTAGTCATTAAAGCCTTTTCTTAAAATAAGGGGTCAACCCTGAATTGAGGTTTCAAGGTCTGGGGTTCTGGGGGTTGGCTATAAGCCTAGTAAGTGGGTTTTGGTTCATCATGTAAATGCAACTTTGGTTTTCTTAAAGACTGACTAGCCTTTCCTGTTCCTGTATCCTCATGTTCACCATCTCAGCAGGCCTGAGAGGCAGGGTCAGTTTGGGTGTTCATCATGAGGATTGCTTCTGCTCTGGAGCTGAGGGACATGGGCATGTTGCTGAGACTGTGGGGTGATAGTGTTGAAGAGGAGCAAGAACCCTGTTCTTGTTCCAGAGGGGAGTCATTCCCTGTACTAGAACATGGTGATCAGTTCCTCTAGCATGCTCCCTTGGGAAGTCTAGATTTACTATTAATCTGCTGGGAATCTAAGTTCTGTGCCTTAGAGATAGTTTGCACATTCCCAAATTGTGCCTGGGACAGCCATATGATTTTCCCCACCAAACAGCTATGCAAACAGAAACCAGTTCAAAAGTGGCAGCCATGCATTGGATAGAATAAAAGGCAAGGCAGCAGAAATGCCTTTGAATGGTTTCCTGTAGCTAATTCTCTGTAAGTTTTATCTTGCTTTTCTTTATGCAGTGCTAGGTGTTTTAAGTTTTCCAAGTAGTATTGCTTTTGAGTTACAATATAACCTGCATTACTCTTTTGCTGCAGAACTAGCTTATTGTTAGCCAGATGCTGGAAAGGTTGAGGGTGGAGTGGTTTGGCATTTCTGTTTTAAATAAACATTTAAACTCTCAGTGCTGTGCTTCAGTAAGCCTGCGCACGGACCTCAGTCACTGGAGATAAAACATCCATGTTCTAGGCCTTTGTGAATCTTTGATTCCATGAGTCTATGTATAAATAAATAAATGGTCTTGTAACAGAAACAATGCAAGGGACATTATGCAGAAATAATCTCTGCTGCTTTCCAGTGTCTTATGGTTGCCAGTAAAATCATTTCTGCTGCTACAGTTTTTTTTTCCAAAAATCTTCTAAAAGTGCTGAAAGCACAGAGAGAAAAAAAAAAAAAATCATTAAAAGAAGGGTCCCTTGTACTTACCTCCTCAGTCCCAGTGGGGAACTTTTCCAAGTGATCATGCCAGTGTCTGTTTATAAAACTTTTTCTTCAGAGAAACAGCAGTATTTGGTCTCCCTGGTGTAACAACCAAGATACAACTTCTGGCTGAGCATTTCACTAACGTTTAAGCAAAAGTCTTCTAAAACTCAAATTTCGTTTGGTTTGTGATCTACTCAGAAACATTCATAATAGAGAAAACAACTCAGAAGCAAGGATGCTTTAGACATCCATTCAAATGAGATCCCTAGGCCTCCAAGGGTGTATTAGTCATAATGGTGTCAGGGCAGAGTGAGCTGTAGTCGGACTGAAATATATTCCTTCCTGCTGCAAGGCCACAAGTCATTTATTGTTTCTATGATTAACTATGGGAAGAAGTGTGCTGATCATTAAACCTCAGAGTCATGAACGTTAGGGAGGAGAGCCTAAGACATATCTCTGCTGCCTTCTATGTAGTTAAGAATAGTGATCAGTTGATGACTGAAAGCAAATGTTGACCAGAGGTGCTTTGCTCCATGAAATAGGAAGTATTATCTCAGCATGTCTGCACACGCTTATAGATGAAAAGTTTCCATGTGAGTTTTACTATGAGGTTTTTCCCATAGCTTAACTTTTTGAACTCTAAAATTTATGATGTTTACTTTCACTAAATGTTCTTGGATAAAGAAATATGAAATATGGACATTTACAAGCAGCATTTATGTATCCTCTTCCTATCCAAGAAGAGTCTTAGATAGAAATAAAAAGTTCTTACCTCTTCCCAAAAGCCAGGTCAAGCTAAATTGATGAAGAATCAAGACCCAAACATGTACTTATCAAAGGGAACTCATAAGACACTATTGTTTTATTTCTTTGGCAGCTTAAAAATGAATAGCTGCATCCTTTTGTCTATAGAAAGCCCTCCTACACAGCATTTGTTCTCTCTAGAGGGCCCCACCTTGTGACCTTAACGTCCCCAACTGAAGGAACCACTGGTTCTGGACCCCCAGTGTGTTCTCTGTATGTTGCTGGCCCAGTGACTCCAGAACCTCCAGTTTTTCAAGACATGCTCCATATCCCAATTTTTAGATGTCAGAACATACTTTTAATGCCATGAAGCCAAATAAAACACAGTGGAACAAAACTGTCCACAAACTGCCACTTTGTGAACTTGGCCCTAGCTTATTCTTGCTATCTGTCACCTATCTATTGCTTTTAACATCAAGTGTGGAACTTAATGTAACCCTTATTAAACTTGCCTAGGGTGTGTACATACTGGGTTAAACATCTAGTGTCTGTGAGCTTTCCTTAAGGACTCACTCATCTTATCCATTAATCGAGGATCTAACTTGTGCCAGGCACTATTCTGCCCAGAAAATTTAAAAAAGATACAGCCCCTTTCCCTTCAAAGTTTACTCTAAAATAGAAATGTGACTATGCTCTAATCAGCAGGGACATGTGACACTGTGCAATGTCCAGCTTGCTTTGATGGTAGATTTGCTGCCTTGTTTAAAAAAATCATTCAGCCCACCTGATTTGAAAGCAGAATGCTAGCAGCTTCTTCCTCTTTTCTTTTTTCCAACATATGAAAACCATTAGAAAAGAACAAGTAGAAATGAAATGTATTTTCTCCTCATCCCTACCCTGTAAAGTACATAAAGATGTTTCCTTTATTACACTGTACACCACAGGGAAGGTTTAGGATACACTGGTGCCCTAACATTACATACTTTTATTGGCTATTGGCCAGGATATGCCCCAGGGAGGCCAAGGATAGACTTCGATTAATAATGCCTTACAGCACAGTCTTACTACCTTGTTTTCTTGTGGTGCTGGGAATTGAACCCAGGGCCTTGCACATGCTAGGCACATGTTCTGCCACTAAGCTACATCGCAGCCCTTTATTATCTTTTATAAGAGTTAACATCTGTGTGACCATGGCCCTCTGACCCCAACTCATCCCAGCGCCCCAAATTCTTACAAGAACAAGAAGGACTAGCAAAAACCCTAGACACATGGTGACCAGGAAGCGTAACCATAGGCACTTCACTAGCACAAACCACAGTCAGGCTTGCAAGAAGAGAGCTTTAATGCAACCTGTTCACTATTCAGTCTCCTCATCCACAAGGTCTTAGGGCAAGAACATAAGGCATACCAGCCTAGGTTGTGATTGAACAGGAAGCTGGGGCTTCCTTCTATCTCTTGATGCTTACCAATGACTCTTCTCGTGGATTTTAGCCCACAGGCAGATACAGCTTCTGGAAAAGTTCTGTTTTCTTTCTGCTTTTTGTCAAGTTGTTCTACTCCTGTTTAGCACTGAAGAAAAGCAGAGCTTTCTGAACTATGTGAGGTGGTTTCTGCTATCATCTGCTCAACTATCGTGCTTCCTTGGAGGTGGAGGACGGTTCTTGATGGTCTTACACTTGGGAATGTGTCTCTCAGCCACCTTGGGAGCAAAGTGGCGACTACAGTGAGGACACTGAACATAGTCTGGGTTTTCTGCAGGCAGGATGGAAGGCAAGTCTGAAAGGTTTCCACCTTTGGCAATTACCTGTTGGACCTCTCGAGCCTGACGGAGGGTACAGATGAAAGATTCATGCTTCTGTCTCCAGTTGCTCTTCCGAGGAGGTTCAGCCTGTAACAAAAGGAACGTTATCCTTCAGCGTGGCATTTTATCTCATGTCCTTTCTGAGTCTCCATGAGAATGACAGAAGTTAAAAGAGCATTAATCCTCAAGGTCAAAGAGAACAGAAAAGGGGAAGAGTGGAGCACAGACTAAGAGCCTTCGAGAGAGAATATTACTGGGAGGCAAGTCATTTTCCCAGGGAACCCTTGGGAGGGTCAGTGCTTAGAAGCATCAGGCAGTGGAAAGCCAGGAGGTGCAGGGCTGAAAACAAGCTGGATCCCAGGGCTCCTCTCATGCCTTGCACATCCAAGTGTCCAGTTCCCTCACAGAACAGGGGCTTATTCTCTAGAGAAATTGAACTGGGTGGGTTTTTGGCTCAAATCCAGACAGGTTGGAGAACAGGGTTAATCTCCGGGTTGAAAATGGGGATTAGGTGCAAGTATACATAGCGAATTGTAGAATTTTCAGCCTCCTTCCCCCAGCTCAGCTCCCAGAGTACCAAGTACAGTGGCATTCCTTTCTAAAGAGAAGGGTTCTCTGGATGCACTGAGTAGTCCACAGATAAGCCTTCAGCCACTAACCCTGGTGGAGTCTGATTTGATTAACTTACTATAAAGGCATTTAGTCAAGGTCCACTTAAATTTAAATATGAATGGACAGTCAAGGACCTCCAGATATTTGACAAAAGCTCTAACCAGAAAAAGACCCTAAAAAGTGCACAAAGAAAAACTCAGGAAGCAGCAGCAAGAAGAAAACCTTTTTTTTAATAGAAAAACCTATCAACAAATTGAATATTAGAAGGGACTGTGTCCATAAAAGGAATATACTATAAAAGAGTAACAATCAGAGAACTTATAAATTAAAATTTTGATAGCTAGAAATTAATAGAAATGTTATAAAGTAATGTCAAGAAAATTTCACAAGATTGGAGGAGTGGCTCAAGTGGTACAGCATCTGCCTACCAAGTGCAAAGCTCTTGAGTTCAAACCCTAGTACCACTGAAAAGAAAATTTCACAAGTCTTGAAACTGAAATGGCTTACCAAGAATCCAGAACAATCATTGTAAAACTTTTAGAAGAAAGAGAATTCTATAAGCTTTTGGAAAAAGAAAAAATAAAAGTTTCCATATGTAATTAGGAATCAAAACAATTAAGATTTCCCAATAGCATTGGATGCTAAAAGCATCCAACTTTTAAAAGTTGTCTTAAAAGTTGTAATAAAATAGTTTTCCACACAGAATTCTATACCCAGCAAAATTATCAAATAGGAGGCAATTATATAGATACTTCTGTTCATTTCATGACAAAAAAACTTTCTATGCACTTTTTTTTTTTGTCCTACTGGGATTTGAACTTGGAGCCTACCTCTTGAGCCATTCCACCAGCCCTTTTTTGTGATTTTTTTTTTTTTTTTTTTTTTTGAGATAGGGTCTCACAAACTATTTGCCTGAGCTAGCTTCAAACTGATCCTCCTGATCAGGTATGATTACAGGCATGTGCCACTGGTACCTGGCCGCCTATGCACATTTCTTAGTAAGCTTCAGCAAAGCAAGGAGTGAGGCAAGAAAAAAGAAGCCACAGACGTTGGAAATGGGATCCATTATGAAAGAGAAGCAAAGACAAGTCCCAATACATTAAGTCTACCCCATGCTTTGAGAATAACCAGTCTAGATGGAGCAGGAGACACAGTAAGGAAAGGGAGGTTTCCAGAATAAAAAAAATAAAAAGCTGAAATGTTATAAGAGGTGTTTAAAGCACTTAAAAAACAGTAATATGTCTGGCATCAGCTGGATCACTTAGGAAAAATAATAAAGATAGGTATGTAGAAAAGGAAGGAAATGAAAACAAGTGGGTTATTAACTTCAGGTACACATGGGCAGGGGCAGAATGAACAAAATGTACACAGTCATGTAAAAGCTGACCATGATGGCTCAGCCCTGTAATCCTAGCACTCAGGAGACAGAGATCAAGAGTATCGAGGTTTGAAGCCAGCCCTGGGCAAATAATACTCAAGACCCTATCTCAGAAAAAAAAACATCACAAGAAAGGGCTGGCGGAGTGGCTCAAGCAGTAGGAGCACCTGCCTTGCAAGCATGAGGCCCTGAGTTCAAACTCCACTGCTTCCACAAAAATAAATAATAATTGTGATTCAACTACAATGGAAGGGAAAGGGATGGAGAAAAGCAAGGGAATATAAAAAGAAGAGAGCTTCACCTGTGGTTCCATAAGAAGTCATCAGATAATGTGGGAAATTGGCAAGTAAAGAAAATAAGATTATTCAGTAGTATACCAGAAGAACCATCTAACACAACCGGGCCCTGGAGTAGAGACCAGAGCTGGATGAAGCAGGATACTGCTGATTCATGCATTGTAGACTTAGTACTACAGGATTTTTAAATACAAGCAGATATTTAAAATAAAAAATCTTTAAAAGAAGAAAAAAAGACAGTTGGCTCTTGAAAACAGCAAGAGATGCTATCAAAGGAAAAGGAAGGCTCCATCAGGAGAATCGTACTGAAACAGAAGAAGGCAAGAGAGTCAGGGTTAGAGATGGTATCCAGGACCCTTTCAAAGAATTCAACTAGGGGAAGTTACCTCAAGTGTACCTTTAACATACTGAAGTTTTACTCAACACATTAAGTACAAAGATGTGTATGGTACCTGTTCTCAAATGCTTACCATCTAGTAGACAGGAGATATAAGTCTTCTGGAAGTTACATGACAATTAAAGAATGTCACTTATTCTTGTGAGTACACTGGAGGAATGACAGGGCACAGACTCTGGGATAAAACTTGGGAAATTCCCAGAAGAATGTGCCTTTCAATCCAGGTCCTTTTTGCCTCAGTGTCCACAATTCAACTTGAATTCCCTTTAACCTAGTTTCCACAAAGCTAGGTTGTCTGATCTCTGAAACCCAATTCTTTTGCTTCCTAGCTACTATACTTAGGAACTTAAGGAGCACAACATTTGCTGGACGTCAGTGGCTCCTGTCTGTGATTCTAGCTACTCAGGAGGCAGAGATCAGGAGGATCACAGTTCAAAGCCAGCCCTGGCAAATAGTTTGTGAGACCCTATCTCAAAAAACCCTTCACAGAAAAGGGCTGGTGGAGTGGCTCAAGGTGTAAGCCCTGAGTTCAAGCCCCAGTACTGAAAAAAAAAAAATAACATTCTTTTAGATTCTGACCAAAAATAAATCACTGTGGTAGGACCAAGGGAATCCCTAGTGGATTACTGAGCTGACCAAAAAGAAAACAGGAAAGAACAGTAACTTCCCATCCTATCATTATCTGCCAGAACTAAATGTTGACTTCTTGTTGGAAGCTACATTTTAGGGAGATTATCTCTGAGCATCACTTTCTTGTGGTGATCTTCCCAGATTATACTGAACGAAAAAAACTACATTGTAAACTACATATGCTAACAGCCATCACATCAAGGTGAGTTTTTAAAGGCCCCAGAAAATGCACACAAAAACTGTAAAGTTCTGGTGGATGAGATGTGTCAGAACAGCAGGAGTGTTAGATAGAAATGAAAATACAAGGACATGTTCTATTTTTTTTCTAGAATATTAGAGCTAGATGGGGGGCCCTTGAGAACAAATGGCCCCCATCTCCCTGACTTTGATTACTTTGTTCTCCTATTAATATTTTCCTTTAAATTCATGACCCCCAAAAACTACTAAACAAAAAAGGCTGTCAGTGCACCACTAGTTGAAAAACACTTATTTTACAAACCACATGGCATAACCTTGACAGGTTGTTTATGGGACAATTGTCTCTAGAGCTGTCTAAATCCTAGGAAGCACTCCTTATTTTTTTACAACCTGGTTTTTCTTTTTTTTTTTTTTTATGGCTATGTAGTTTTTTTTGTTTTTTCTTTTATTCATATGTGCATACAATGTTTGGGTCATTTCTCCCCCCTTCCCCCTGCCCCCTCCCTCCCACCCCCACCCCCTCGCTACCAGGCAGGAACTATTTTGGCCTTATCTCTAATTTTGTTGAGAGAGAATACAAGCAATAATAGGAAGGACCGGATTTTGGTCTTTTGGGCCAGGCTAACCTCACTCAGAATGATGTTCTCCAATTCCATCCATTTACCAGCGAATGATAACATTTCATTCTTCCTCATGGCTGCATAAAATTCCATTGTGTATAGATACCACATTTTCTTAATCCATTCATCAGTGGTGGGGCATCTTGGCTGTTTCTGTAACTTGGCTATTGTGAATAGTGCTGCAATAAACATGAGTGTGCAGGTGCCTCTGGAGTAACCTGAGTCACATTCTTTTGGGTATATCCCCAAGAGTCAACCTGGTTTTTCTAAAGTGAGGTAAGTTTTGAGAGATAACAAGAAAGTCCTTTATCCTCAAGGTGTCTATACTCTAAACAGGGAGAAAAATAATTCCAAACTTAAACTGTGCTTCATGTATTTACTAAGAAGGTATGTCAAAGCCAAGCTTATCTTCAAAGGGTGGTGGAAGCTAAAAGGCACAGTGGGAACTCATCCTAGCCTCAGGAGGTGGCAGAGTATACTGCAAAGAACAAGGAATTCTCTTAGCAAATCAAGAGAATAAACAATTTATGTATATTATAACAAACATAAAATGATCCATAGTTTTTTCTTCAGATTTTTCATGCCTTTTAAATGTTGTATGGCAAACATGTATTACTTTAGTAATCAAAAGAACATATTTTTTTAAGTCTAAGTTTTATAGTCAGTCCAATCAGGTTTAAATGCTTACCTTGCCACTTAAAACTGTGACCTCAAGAAAGTTACTTAGCCAGGTGCAAGTGGCTCACACCTGTAATCCTAGCTACTCAAGAGGCAGAGATCAGGAGGACTGCAGTTTGAAACTAACCTGGGGAAATAGTTCATGGGACCCTATCTTGAAAAAAACCAATCACAAAAAAGGCTGGTGGAGTGGCTGAAGGTGTAGGCCCTGAGTTAAAACCCCAGTACTGCAAAAACAAAAAAAAGTTGCTCAAGCCTCGATTTATGTGTGTGTATACATATATAGCTATAGATATGGATATATATACATATATATAGCATAGCTATATGTATACATATATAGATATAGATATAGATATATCATCACATGAAAAGCTCTGGTCACAGTGACTAACACACAGGAGTAATCAAGAAATGTTCATTCTCAGACTGGAGGAGTAGCTCAAGTGGTAGAAGGCCTTCCTGGCAAGTGTGAGGCCCTGAGTTCAAACCCCAGTACTGCCAAAAAAAAAAGATTAATTCTCATCTCCATCCTACATGACACGAGTTTTCCCTAAAGAAAATGTAATTGGTGAGGACCCAGCAGGCCCTTATAAGGATCCCCACACAAAGGCAAATCCAGGAGGCTCTTTATTACCTTGTCTGCAGCTGGCCCCTTCCAGTTCAAATACTGCTCTAGTTCTGTGCCCTTTGCGCGGGCCCTGAAGGAGTCAAACACTTTTCTCTTGGACCCCTGCATCCTGCCACAGACAGTGGAGTGTCTCTCCAACCTGGGCAAGAGAAACGTGCGTCCACAGTAGCTGCACTTGCCCAGCTCTGGCTCTTGAGTGGAGCAGCTGGAGCCTGAGGAGCCCGGTGTCCTGGACAGGCTAGAACTTCTGGTGGATTCCTGCAAACCACTGTTGGGCTCTTCCAAAGGCTGAGAGAACTTCTCTGCAGAGAGCCCTGATACTCGAGCTTGGATTTTGTTATTGCTTGCCACCAGCCTTTCCCTTTTGAGCCTTTGGATTCCATAATCAGAGAACCGGAGTGAAGCAGTATTCACCTGAGATCGTCCCCAAGTTTCATCCTCTTCTCTGTCTCTACTGAACACCTCCTCAGACGCGAATTCTGGGGAGAAGACAGGTTTGTATGTGATGTTGTCAGTATTACCTTTAACTCTCCTCCTGGGAAGTACTGTTCTCCATAGCTCCCTGTCTTCATTTTCCTTGGTCTGTTTCTTTTCTTTCTGGATCCTTCTGAGTCCCTCTTCTGTCTTCTTCAGCTTTTCTCTCAGGAGAATCTCCTTTTTTCGGATTTCCTCCTTTAAGCTCTCCCCTGCAGCTTCTAGTCTTTGGATCTGCATCCACTCAGTCCTGTGGAGGTTTGCCATAGACGTCTCCCCCTGCATGGCAGAAAGGTCAGATGAATTTACCCAGTTCCTCAGGCCAAAGTTGCTGTCTGAGAACTCTCTTAGCTCTGGGCTTTTGGGGTAGACATTCTGCTCCCCATCACTGCCAGCTTCACCTGTACTACAAGACTTCCGGTGGACCATGGGTTTTAGTGGGTATGCCCGGTCCACACCAACTCGCTTCTTTGTAAAGGGAATGACGTCCTGGTCATTTACTTTGGGATACCTGGATTGAGAGCTTGATGAGTAAAACAAACCCTTTCCTTGGCCCTGAGTATTACTTCCCAAGTCTTGCTGGCTGATTCCAGCACACAGGGAATAGGAGTAGCTCCCGGTTTTTGAGCAGGTGTTCCATTTGGGGTGCATGAAGACATTATCCAATGCCAGTTCTTTGTTGCTCAAAAGCTTCTGCTGGAAATTGTTCCTCAAGTGCCCCATTGAGGACTGCTGGGAAGAGTCACCTTGTTCATAAGGGTCTTGCTTGGCTGAGTGGAGCCCTGGAGCTTCTGTTTTATTATGTGGGAACATAACGCCCACAGGCAGATGTGGAGCCAACTGGAGACCAGCCATTCAGGGCCTGGACTGATGCCTAGGAGAGATTTAAACCAGATACATGTGAAGAATTTGTCTGAGGTTCACTCCCAGCTGTTAAAGTAAACTGTTTCTACAGTTGCCCTACAAAACTGTTTCTACATTTAAGGGAAATGTCCCTCAAACTTTTCTAGGGACAGTAGGGACAAGTGGTGCTGAATCTGCCCAGAACTTTCCTTTGATAAGCATTTGGTGAGTGTTGATTATGTGCTAGGCACTGTGTTACGCCCTGGGGATCACTGTGTCAGCCCAGCGCAGTGATTTGTATCTAAAATCCTAGCCACTCAGGAGGCAGAGATCAGGAAGATGGTGGTTTGAAGCCAGCTGGGGCAAATAGTTCCAGAGAAACTCAAACCATTACAAAAAAGGGCTGGCAGAGTGGTTCAAAAGGTAAGAGTACCTGCCTAGGAAGCATGAGGCTCTGAGTTCAAACCCCAGTGCCACCAAAAAAAAAAAAAAAAAAAAAAAGAATGTGACACAGGTGTTCCTGACCAGCCATATACTATTATGGAGTAAGTGAAAGAACCTTGGATTGAAGGTCAGCTTGTAGACCTGTGACACAGAACAAGCAACTTCCCTTGCTGGTCACAGTTTCTTCACCTGTAAACTGAAGGCGTGGCTTAGAGTCCAGTCCCACAATTTACAGGTGAGAAAACTGCGGCCCACAGAGACAGTGAGTGGCACAGAGCTCTCAGAGCTGTCCTCTGGCTGTAACCGTGCAGGTCTGACTCCAAAGAGCACAGGGCCTGCCAGGGCCTGAAGTAAGCTGCCTGGCTATCAAACCCTCATCCTAGGAGTCTAGGTGGCACGGAGGACGCAACACCTGTAACCTGAGATGGGGGCCACCTGGCCTGGCCGTGGCCTGCTTTAGATTCGGAACTCGGAAGTCATATTCTGTCCTCGAGAGTCAAGCGGGAGCCCTCACTGGGGACTCGGCCTTTGGGGACAAGCACTCGCTCTCCTGCCCCTGGAACCCTCAGGAGGTCGAGATATTGACCCCGTGACTCCCCGCCCTTCCGCGTACCTGAGGCTCTCGTAGGGGTGCTGCTGCCGCTACGGGGAAACCTCAGAACCTAGTTTTCCAGGCCTGACCCCGCTAACCGACGACGGCGCAGGCGCTCTCAACCCGCCTCTGTTATCTCCGTTGCCAGGAGACGGAAGCGCGGCGCGCGCCGAGCCCCGCCTCGGCCGCGAACGCCCGGGTGGGGGGGAAGCGGAGTGGGGCAGGCGCGCGCAGGCGCAGTCCGCACCCGTTCAGGGCAAACCGGGCGGGGGTGTGGTCAGCCCGAGTGTCACTTGACGTGGAGTTCAGCCAACTCTGCAATTTAGCTCAGCCCTTAGGGTACGGGGGAGGGGCGGAGAGGCTTGTTTCTGGGGCTCCATCAAAGAAGAGCTGGTATTTTTTCTGAGAACAGTGCTCCCAGACCTTGGGGTGTGCCCTTGTCTGGCTAAGGGCGGGACCGTTAGAGGTGCCGTGGAGACACCCCGCCGCAGGATGCCGGTGTCCGCCCGGCTAGCGGGAGTGGGCCTACTGACGGCCTTTCTTACCACCCTCGGATGCTCTACACTGGCCTCAGGTATGGCTGTAAGCTTTCTTCCCTCGCCAATACTTTGGAGTTTAATATCAGATTTTTTACTACACATTATATTTACAGGGTGGTTTTTGTGGCCAATCTAATTATTTTACTATTACAATGTTTTACTCTCACGTGGTAAATCTGGCCCAGGAATGACTCAGCCAAATGTAATGATAATAAAAGTTAACTACCAGATCAACAATAATCAGCATAACTTGGTTTCAACACTAAATGATACACTGTAACTTTTTGACTTCAGAAGAGAGTTTGTCTTCTTCAAGCTTCAGTTCACTTGGGTAAGCTGTTTGGAACAGGCAGCTCACTTTTTCCTCTAACTACTCAAAGGAATCGGGCACGTGGAAAATATGTAGGCAACAGCAGGTCGTGTTAATACTTAACCATATCAGAATATAGCTTTTAAGGGTTATAAAGATAATTCCTTGGTGGGTCCTCCAGGGCAATTTTTTTCGATCCTTTTTTTTTTTTTTTGGGTACTGGGACTTGAACTCAGGACCTTCACCTTGAGTCACACTGCCAGCCCTATTTTTGTGAAGGGTTTTTCGACATAGGGTCTCAGCGGCTGGCTTCAAATCGCCATCCTCCTGATCTCTGCCTCCTGAGTAGCTAGGATTACAGGCGTGAGCCACCCGCGCCGGCTCAGTCCTTGTTTTTATTCCTGGTTGACTCTTCTGCCTTCTCCACTTCTGCAGTTCCAGATATTTCCCACTGACTGGTAGCCCCAGTTATCTCAGCTTCTCTTGCCTGTCAACTCCCACAGCTTCCCTGGAGTGCAGAGGAATTTCCCAGAGGGCCTCCCTTGCCCTGACTTCCTTCCCTCTGGTTTGTGAGAAAGAAGACTCTCTCTTTCCATGCATTCACTTGAACTAGTTTCTCTCAGTGCTCTCTCTCCATCTTGTTAATCTCTACTGCTCTTTCTCTTTGGTTCTAAAAATATGCATAACTTCGCACTAAAAAACAAACCTCATTTCCCTGGACCTGCCTCCTCTGTGTTAGGGTCTTACTCCATTCCTCCTCTTCTCTACAAGACTTCTTGATAGACAACTACATTTGCTGGCATGGCTTCTTCATCCCCACTCATTGTCCAGGCCACTGTGGTCTGACTCTTGCCTTCTCCCATTTATTTAACTGCACAACTACCAGTGACCTTCCCATGACCAAAGATAGGCTTGTATTTCTTCAGCCTACTCACTTGACATTGCTGATTATTTGTCCCATGAGCTCTCTCTTCTCACTTGCTTCTGTGCCCTCCTGGATTCTTCTTTCATGCCTTTGTTCCATCTTCCATCCACGTCATTTCCCCACCTGCAACATAAATTTAGGTGTTTGAAGCCCTCTTATTTTTCGGATAGATGTGATTCCAAACACTTTTTGTTTCTTAATAACTTTTACCAAATGCTGAAATTTCAGATGTCAACCAATATTGAACTGATATCCAGCTTAGCTGTAGTCTCTTCTCCTTAGTTACAAATTTTCAACTGCCTATTTAACACACCACATGACTTCTCAGGATCCTCAAACTCAGTGTGACAGAATATAAGCTCACTATCATCTCCCCACTCCCCACTGTGCTGCGTCTCCACGTTCCTCCTCAGCTCGAGGCACCAGTCATCTCCCACTCCTCCATCTTTATTACCCCTTCCTTCTAACTGACCTGCAGGTTCTATTGAGTTTACTTTCACAATGTCTGTCTTATACAACCCATCCTTTACGTTTCTACTGCTCTGTGTGAGTTTTTCCTCACTTCTCATTGGGTTGGCCTCACTCTCTTCACTACCATACCTGTCTTCAACATCAGCTCCCCAAACCCATGCTTCTTGCTGCTGCCAGACTAATAATGATCCTAAATACTTCTTTTCTACCTTCATTGAGATACAATAGTCAGGGACGGGAGTATCATTCAGTGATGGAACCTGTGCTTAGAATGAAATCTAGTACATAGTTTTGTTTGTTTTTGGTGGTGCTGGGGTTTGAACTCAAGGTCTCATGCTTGCTAGGCAGGCATCTACCTCCTGAGGCACCCTGCCAACCCTGAACATGTGTTTAGAATGCATGAGGACCTGAGTTGGAGTCCCACACAACAGACACACATGCACACATAAAGATAAAATTCATATGTAAAAATTGTATATATTTGCAGTATACAATGTGATATTTTGATATATGTATATATTGTGAAATGATTAAATCTAGCTAATAACTAAATACTTTCCATCCTGTCATTGCCTTCAATGACTTCTTATTTGTAAAGTTGAAATACAGAATTTAGCATGGCATTTCTAACTCCCAGATTAGGTCCAGCCTATCTTTCCAGCCCTGCCTTCCCTTAATAAAATAGAGAGTCTAGTTCAGTAGGTCTCAATCTTGGCTGTGCATTAAGAAAGCAATATCGTGGAGGTGAGGACTGGACATCCATGTTTTTAAAACCTTCCTCAGAGGGTGTAGCCAGGATTGAGAGCCCCTGACCAAGCCACAACTGACTACATGTACTTTCTCTCCTTGGTGGTACTACCTTACCCCAAGCTCCATGTTCAGGGAAGTGGTAAACACACCCAAACTCTGTTACCTACTCAACTGGCTTACCAGTTGAGCCACTCTACCAGCCCTTTTTTGTGATGAGTTTTTCGAGATAGGGTCTTCTGAACTATTTGCCTGGGTCTGGCTTTGAACCGAAATCCTCCTGATCTCTGCCTCCTGAGTAGCTAGGATTTTACAGGCAGGAGCCACCAGTGCCTGGCTCTGAATTCTATGAACTTTTTTTTTCCCACATACACAGTCTGGTTTATTGTCTCATCATACACACACCAAATATGTACACAAACATAAATATTCCAATGTACAAATTTTACATAGGACTCATATTCTCTTTCATCCAGCACCCCCACCCTGTGCCCTTTCCTTCTCTACTGTAGGATGAAAGCTTGTGAGGGCTGATGAATTCTATAAACTTTTTAAAAATGAATTTTAGAGAATGAAATTGCATCAGCCAAATACACAGTTTAGTGTTCTTTTCAAATATTGCCAAAGACATTTCATCCAACTCTCTCCACATCCCAGCGCTAAAGTTTTATGATTCTCCAAGATCTGGATCTTTTCTCTGTAGAGAGGAACTCTTGGAATGATGGATTTCCATAGTTACTACTAGAACTGGGTGTGGGGGGGTACCTGTCTAGCGTGAGAATCAACTAAAGTTAGGTCTTCTCTGTCAAAGGAGTTAATGTATAACTGTCATTGTGTAGATGCTGACTAACCTCCCCGAATTGCTGCCTAAATGCTTTGTGAAATGTTGCTTGACCTTGCAAGGTCCTTGAGATCAGACAAAGAGCTGTTGATGCCAGATGCCCTAATCTCAAACTGCTTGACCTGTCTTTTCTGTAGCTCAATCAAGCCACTATCATCTTTTTTTGAGCTTCATATTCCTAAAACTGTGAGTAAAAATGTCAGCCCCCATCCCTTGTCTGCAGGGGACCTTGAGAAATCACTCCCTCACTGAGCTGTAAACCAAGAGTAATTACTCTCTCATTAAATTGTAAAATGTTACTGCGTAGGAAAACCTTGCCCTTACCCCAAACAATAGCTAGCCTTGAAGTGCTGTGAGCCCAAGCATGGACCAACCCTCCTGAGGGACAAGGAATCACGTCAAGAATATAATCTGGGTGGATATCCTACCCATGTGTGTTCTGCCTATCAGAATGTGGTCTGTGGCTGCACCCTTCTGCAGAAGTAAAGCTTTTCTTTTTTGCCTTGCCGAGCAACTTCCAAGTGTTTCTTTCATCACCATCTGGGAACAACACTTCTAAAACTAGCAAGCACAAGGCTCTGACTTCAAACTCCAGAACCACCAAAATAATCTGTGGCTACCATTGCAAACCCATCTCACCTTGCCAAATCTGCCAAACTGGCATATTCACAAATGGAGACTTATGCTATAAAGGTATATAATGTGTACAAGCAATCCAATAAGGAACAATAAACACCACAGTATTCCTTTATACACTTTCTTAATCATACGGATATTGGATTCGAATGTGTATAAATCAAATCTGATTTTAACAATCCTCACCCACAACCCTCCTTGACAATTCCCTTTTTCCAAAAATAAATTCATGGGCTGGAGGCGTGGTTCAGGCAGTAGAACACCTGACTAGCAACTGCAAAGCCCCGAGTTCAAACCCCAGTACAGCCAAAAATAAATTCATGAAACTTAGTTGTTTGGCTTAGATTGATTCCAATGAGATTCTGGAGCCATGCGTTATTTGTTTGTGCTTTATTTATTTAGGTAGTCAGTTCGTTAGTTATGCAAACATTTTCTTAGTAAGATAGACTCTGGTGGACGATACCAGATGTCCAGGAGAAATGGCCCCCACCGAGGTGTCTTGTACATTGAGCTCCTCTGCTACTGAGTGCAGGGTAGACATGACTCAAAATTAGAAGAAAACTGAAGGAAAAAAAGCAAGACAGAAAAGTTATGGTGCTTAATGTTTATTGTCTGTCTCCCATCTCCAGAATTTAAGCTCCTCCAGGCCAAGATTCTACCCTGTTCACTGTGCACGCCAATCACCTAGAAGGGTGCCTGGCTCACCGTAGGCTGTCAGTAGGTATTAATTGAATGACTGAATTAACGTATCCCTAGTGCTTCTTCGTCTATGTCTTTCTCGCCCACGAGAAAGTGAGAAGAGATGTGCGCCTAGTGACCGAGGTGGGGTGCGAGCTTGGTGGGTGGAGAAAGCCAGTCTCTGGACACATCCCCAACCCAAGGCTCTCAAGGTTTTTGAGCATCAGCTTCTGAAGCCGCACTCTCTAGGGCGGGCTCGAGGCCGAGGCTTCATCTCTGGTTGGTCAGACATAAGTGATGGGCTTGTGAGGCAGCGAAAGAGGAGCAACACTCACAACTTCCGGGAGCGGCGGTTTGCACGACTGGGGGCCGTTGGTCCGGTGGTCGCGCGTGTGGTTTGGTTCCCTGTGGGGAAGACTAGGAGGGTGAGCCAGGGAGGGGAGCCCGGGGCGTGCCCGCCAGTTCCAAGGTCCCTAAAATGCTAGCGGAAGGGCGTCCTGGCGACCACGTAGGAAGAGAAATGGATGGGAGTGGGCGGGACCTGCGTGACTGAGAGGAGGTGATGGGTAAGCAGGTGATGGGCCTCAAAGAGCCTTTCTAAGCAATTGCCGAGCTCCTCCAGGTGTCTTCCGTTCCTCCTTTTACACCAGACACTCTCGAGTAGAGGACCTTGAGGTCGGGAAGGTGTCAAGTGGTGATGGATGAAGTGCAAGTGTGGCCTTTATCTGCCTCAGGATTGGGGGCCTTTCTTTCTTTGCTTTCCCTGGTCTCTGAAGTTTCAGCATGGCAAGAAGGGGACACTTGGTTTCAGGGTGGATTACGAAATTTTTGGGAAGGTGCAAGGGGTGTTTTCCGAAAATACACCAATTGCCGGCCGCAGCTCCCCTCCCAGGTGTCTTCCCGTTACCTCCCTTTTACACACAGACACTCTTCCGAGTAGGAGGACCTTGAGGTCGGGAGAGGTGTCAGTGGTGATGGATGAAGTGCAGGTGTGGCCTTTATCTGCCTCAGGATTGGGGGCCTTTACTTCTTTGCTTTCCTGGTCTCTGACAGGTTTCAGCATGGCAGAAGGGGACACCTTGGTTTCAGTGGATTACGAAATTTTTGGGAAGGTGCAAGGGGTGTTTTTCCGAAAATACACTCAGGTATGTGGTCTACAAGGCCTTGGGGATGTACCCAAGGTTATGAGCACGGGGACATACAGACCTGTTTCTGGCAAATGTGCACTGGAAGCACCTATTTGGTAGGTGCTTGACAAAAAGGCGGTTAGTAGAGTAGTGGTTATGAAAATGCTTTACCGTGGGTTAGACACAATGTAAATGGAAGATTCGCATTATTGGTCTTTTTCTTATGGTGGTAACTGAGCATCTAGACACACATACTAGTGACCTTTTCTCTTCCAAAAGAGAATATTCCTAGTTCACTCTGTTGTGTTAAGCCAAGTCACATTTCTTATAAGAAAGCTACCATTGATCAAAGAAATGACATTTAAATTAATATATATTCTGTACTGGGGCTTGAACTCAGGGCCTTTACCTTGAACCACTCCACCACACTCTTTTTGTGATGGGTTTTTTCAAGATAGGGTCTCAAGACCTATTTGCCTGGGATGGCTTCAAACTTCAATCCTCCTGATCTCTGCCTCCTAAGTAGCTAGGATTACAGATGTGAGCCACCGGTGCCTGGCTTGAACTGATCATGTTGATGTAAGTTATAAATTACATAGCTTCCATCATACTGCCACATTTTCCTGAGACCTGTTTCATTCCTCCAACCTCCCTTCCTGTTCTTGACATTGAAAGAAATGTTCACCTTTTCCAGGTGAAGTTTTTCTAGTTAAAAATATTTTATGCATTTTAGAGTAGATAATGGTAACACTGAATGTGTAGTCTTCTTCTAGAGTAACAGGCAGTCTCTGAGGGTATAAACAAACTCTTGGCAGCTTCTGCCTCTGCTTTAGTGTCATTAATCTTCTCTTAACATGCACACAAGGGCAATCTCGTTTTCCCTTCTGCCTTCTGTAGGGGAATATCAGGCAGTTGCCTGCCCCATGTGTGTCCAACCCCACAGATGATGAATTAGACCTGATTCTCTGAAATATGAATGTTAGTTGTTAATACTTTTTTTTTTTCAGTACTGGGGATTGAATTCAAGGGCCTACACCTTGAGCCACTCCACCAGCCCTTTTTGTGTATGTGTGTGTGTTGGGTTTTTTGAGATAGAGTCTCTCCTGATCTCTGCCTCCTGAGTAGCTAGAGTTACAGGTGAGAGCCACCAGCACCGGGCTGTTAATACTTCTTTTTTTTTTTTTTTTAATTTTCTTTTTTCTTTTTTTTTTTTAGGAGGGAGAGGAATGGGAGAGAGATGGCGAGAGAGAGAGAGAGAGAGAGAGAGAGAGAGAGAGAGAGATGGGAGAAAGGGAAGAAACGGATGGAGAGAGGGATGGAGATGGGTGAGGGCAGGACGGATGGATCCTGTTAATACTTCTTATTCTAATTATTCATATATCATTTCTTCATGTTTCATACTCATGTGAAGTGCCTGTTGAAAAAAGAATTTGCTGGAGGACAGCAAGAGCTGCTACCAGTTATGCAGGGCAAGGTTCTGTGATTTAGTAAATAGAGGTGACAGCTTCAAAGATGAGTCTAAGTTGTTGAGGGAATCTGACTCCACCCTTCCTCCCCAGTTTAGAGAGAATAAAATACAGAAAAACAAATATTGTTGTGGAAAACTAGCACCCGGGCTTTACTATTTTGTAATCATTTAAAATATGTATTCCTAGCCAGGTGCTGGTGGCTCACACCTATAATCCTAAATACTCAGGAGGCAGAGATCAGGAGGATCGAAGTTTGAAGCCAGCCCCAGGCAAATAGACCCTATCTTGAAAATATCCAACACAAAACAGGGCTGGTGGAGTGTCTCAAGTGACAAGAGCACCTGCCTAGCAAGCATGAGGCCCTGAGTTCAACCTCCAGTAGCACCAAAAATAAAAATATGTATTCCTTTTTAAAAGTTGTTTTGTTTTGCTATTGACAGTTTGGCTGTTGATGTAATCTAGCCTTTTAATTCCATCACTCCTAGAGGAATAGGGAGTGAAAACACAGAAAAGGACTTCTTTTTTTAAGTTGAAATGTAATTCACATTCCATAAAATTCACCTTTAAAGTATAAGTCAGTGGTTTTAGTATATGTCCAAAGTTGTACACTAATTACAAGACATTTTCATCTATCTCAAAGAGGAAAAAACCTTACCTTGTTAACACTTCTAATCCTCCCAGCCCCTGACACCCAGTAACCTGCTAACCTCCTTTCTGTCTCTTATGAATTTCTGTATTCTGGATATTTAATATAAATGAGCTCATACATATATGGTCATTCATATCTGACTTCCTTCACTTCATATGTTTCCAAGGTTCATCTACATTATAGCATGTATCTATACTTTCTTACTTTTTATAGTTGAGGGTTTTTCTTTTTTGGTACTAGGGATTGAACCAGGGCTTTGTGCATGCTAGGCAAACACTTAACCACTGAGCTATATCCCCAGCCCCATGTTTTTGGTGGGACTAGGTTTGAACTCAGAGATTTGCACTTGCTAAACAAACGCTCGCAAAGCGGGTACTCTACTGCTTGAGCCACATCTCCAGTCCTACCATTTTGTTTATTATAGTCATCCTACTCGGTATAAAGTAATACCTCATTGAGAATTTTTGTTTTCAGGTATCAATGAATATAAAAGGATTTAAATCATATATGGAATGTTTTACAACCACAGTGGAACTGTAACATAAATCTATAACAAAAAGATAATTAGAAAATCCCAAACTACTTAGAAACTTTATAACACATTTTTTTTTTTTTACACTACTGAGGTTTGAATTTGGGACTTAATGCTTACTAGGCAAGCGCTCTACTGTTTGAGCCACACCTCTAGCCCAATAACACAAATTTTTTTCAAATTGTGGTAGAATAATCATAATGGAAAATTCACCATTTTAACCTATATAATTCAGTGACCTTAGTAAGTACAGTGATGTGCTACCATCACCAAGGTCCATCCACAGAACTGTTTTTATCTTGCAGATCTGAAACTCTACCAGTAACACCTGCCCCCCCCACCCCATTTTATGTACCCAGCACCTGGCAATCATGATTCTACTTTTCATCTTTATAAATTTGGTTACCCTAGATAACTTATAAATAGGACCTATAGCTTTTTTTTTTTTTTTTTGTGGTACTGGGGTTTTCCAGATAGGGTCTCTCAAACTATTTGCCCAGATGACTTCAAACTGCAGTCCTGCTGATCTCTCTCTGCCTTCTGAGTAGCTAGGATTACAGGCGTGAGCCACTGGCGCCCGGCAGCCAGCGTATTGACTTACTTCACTTAGCATCATGTCTTCCAGGTTCATCCATGTTATATCATGAGTCAGAATTTCCTTCTTTTTTAAGGCTGAGTAATACTGTGTGATACTTGTATCCTCTCTAAGTGGTTTTGATTTGCCTTTTCCTGATGACTAATGATGTTGAGCATCTTTTCATGTGTTTATTGGCATGTGAAAGAAGATATTATGTATCTTCTCTGGAGAAGAAATCCCAAACCCTTTGCCTATTTTTAATTGAGTTGTTTTTCTTCTTGTTGAGTTACAAGAATTTCTTATATATTCTAGCGCTACAGGTACTATTCAAGTGATAGAGCGCCTGTCTAGCAAGCACAAGGCCCTGAGTGCAACCCCAATACTGCAAAATAAAATAAAATAAAAATTCTTACATTTAAATTTTATTATTTATTTTTATTGGTATGATTTGCAAGTATTTTTCCTGTGAGTTATTTTACTTTACTGATAGTGTCCTTGGCAAAGTCTAATTTAGCTATTCTTTTCTTTGTTTTTTGCCTTGGCTGGCCTCAAACCTTGATCCTCTGGACTTTTCTTTGTGGGGAGTTTTTTGATTACTAATTCAGTCTCTTGCGGTCTCCTATAGATTTTCGGCTTATTTTTCTATTCTTTATTAACTTACGTTCTACTCTATTATTTCCTTCGTTCTGCTGCTTGCTTTGGGTTTAGTTTGCTCTTCTTTTTCCTGTGTCTAAGGTGGAATTCTAGGTTACTAATTTGAGGAGATTTTATTTTTAAATTGAAAACTAGAATTGGTAGCAGGTGCCCTTGGCTCCTAGCTTCTTGGGAGGCCAAAGATCAAGAAGATTGCTAGCCCAGGGAAAAAGAGAGTAAGATTCCATTTCAACAGGAAAAAAACTGGTCATGGGGGCACACACCTATCATCTCAGTGACAGTAGGAGCCTGAAATAGGAGGATCACCATCCAGGCTGTCCTGGGAAAAAAGTGAGACCCTATCTCCAAAATAATCAAAGCAAAAATGGTCTGGAGGTGTGACCCAAATGGTAGAGTGCTTGCTTAGCAATCTCAAAACCCTGAGTTCAAACCTCAGTACTGCCAAAAAAAACTAGAGTTAGTGATTATATTCCTTTAAATGTTACCAGAGGGGCAGGCATGGTGGTGTACATCTGTCATCCCAGCACTTGAAAGGCTGAGTCTGCTGAGGCAGTTTGAGGCTGTCTAGACTACATATCAAGACCCTTGTCTCCAAAAAAGAAGAAAAATGTTACTAGAAAAAAAAAGTCAGATGACTATGTTCATTAGAAATATGGTTATGAAGTAAATTTAGCTTTTTCGAATTTTCTTTGATTAAAAAAAAAAAGTGTTGGGCTGAGGTGTGGCTCAAGCGATAGTGCCTGCCTCACAAGCATGAGACCCTAAGTCCAAATCCCAGTACCACAAAAAAAACAAAACAAAACCCTACAGTATTTGTTTATTTAGATATTTAAAACTGAACATGAATCAGCAACATTATGATGTCATTTAAAAAACAGAAACAGAATTGAGTGCACAAATAAAATTTTGAAAATTCCCATTCTCAACATCGGTCAAATTTTGGCGTGTTTTGTTCACTGTGAGTAGTTCAGATAAATCACATTGTAAGTTAAAGATTTTTTTGACTGTTACAACCTCCTGCTCAGAACTGCATGGTCACACTGATAGTTATTTACCAAATATGGTAACTTTAACAACTAGAGAGGCAACTCCTTTCTGTTAATTTGAAGCAGAAGAGTACAGTTGTTATACGTGGTCAGTTGGATGTGGTGTCTTTCTCAAAATCCATTCTCAGCATTCTTCTTTTATGTTTTTGTCTCTGGCACTTAACAATGCATGCTGTAGGTATCTCCTGTTTTTCTTTATTGCTTAATTTCTTCTATCCCTTAAACTTATTTATTTGACTGGTATATCTTTTATTCATTATGCAAACATGCCTTTCGTTTGAACATAACTGATTTGATGATTGCTTCAGTACCTCATCAAACATTTTTTTGCTGTACATAACGTTTTCTTTGGCAAACTCCAGCATTTTCCCACATTTCCTAGGACACCACTCTGGCATTTGGTCATGCAACCATGTTAACCCATTTTCTTTTGTAATCCAACCCCTTCAGTTATAGATTACTTTATCAATTAGTGACTTTTATGTTAATACCATGATAAAATTATTATTATTATTGTCTCTAAAATAGTGCTACCTTTACTAAATGTTCAGTTTTGCAGCCACTTAACAACTTGAACCCTGAAAAGGCTAAAAACAAAGCCACTATTGTGATTAGATGGTCTTCATAAGTTCATTCGACTTTAAAGACATTGTGATTATTTAGACAGAAGAAAAGAAGTCAAGTGAAAACCTAATAGTTTCATAGTCTCATAAGTTCAGAGGCCACTTACAGCTGCTTTCCTTCTCCAGGGGGATGACAGAAAGTGGGCTTTGGATGTAACATAAACATGTTGGGTTAGACAGTTTTTCTACAGTAAAAACAATGTATGAGTTGCCCAAGAAATTGTGAAATACTCTTTAATGATCTTTAAAGATATAAAGGACACCAATCTGGATTTGTTTAGGTGTGGTCCTGTTTGAAGACAAAGGATCAGATAACTTCACGCTTTTTCCATTTAAACATACCCAATAAATTCTTGATTAAGAGATCAAGGTACAGCCCAATATCCTAAGAACAGTCAGCCTTAGGGAATCATTTTGAAAGCATCTGTTTTGGACTTACATCTTTAGTACTTAACCAAATTTACTACATGGTGAAAAATTCTTTTAAAAAAATTCAAGTGCCTGGGTTTTACAGCATAGAAGTAGGAAAAAAAATAGAAGGAAATGGAGTCAAGTGGGCAACACTTGATGTTAAGATCAGCAATAAGATCCTCTTGCTGTCTTTCTGTTTTCACTTTTCTGGACAATGTCAAATTAGTTTCAGTGGCTTGATTCTAGGCCAATGTTCTGGCAACACATTGTAGTCTTACTTTGTGTTGTTCAATCTCACTGTTCTCTTTCTTTTTTCTCCTCAGGCTGAAGGCAAAAAGCTAGGATTGGTAGGCTGGGTCCAGAACACTGACCAGGGCACAGTGCAGGGACAACTTCAAGGTCCCATCTCCAAGGTGCGTCATATGCAGGAATGGCTTGAGACCAGAGGAAGTCCCAAATCGCACATTGACAGAGCAAACTTCAACAATGAAAAAGTCATTTCAAAGTTGGATTACTCAGACTTCCAAATTGTGAAGTAATAGCCTGAATTTTAATTTTCTAAGATACCTCAGAAGTTTGGGTTTTTTTTAATTAATAGAGATAGAAATAGTCTGGGTTTGATATTAGAGTTTGTCAGTATCAGATATGTGAATGTTTCATATATTACATATATGATGAATTACAACTGTGTACAGTTCTCAATAAAAACACATTGGAACCTCTGCTTACTTTTTAAATCTTCAATGAACCTCCTTCTGGGCAAAACAAGGAATTTATTCAGTAAACATTTATGGAAGGAAGATTTTGAGGCAATTTAAAGAGATCTGAAAGAAAAAACAATTACTTTGAATCATTTCTTTTTTTTTTCTTTTATTCATATGTGCATACAATGTTTGGGTCATTTCTCCCCCCTTCCTTGAATTATTTCTTTAAACAGTTCCACAAAGTTTTCTTCAGGAAATTGCATGCATAAATACTACCAGTTCAATTTGTAAGCTATTCAAATGATCTTTTGGACTAATTACTTTTAGTTTTCTGGAACATCTGTTACTCCTTTCCTCTGAGTAAGAAATTCACAGAAAGTAATGTTATGGGATGAATTGTCATTGTCTCCTTCCCCCCCACCCCCCACCCAATTCATATGCTGAGTCCTGACCCTGGTACTACTGAAAGTGACTGGAAATAGGTAGAGCCTTTAAAGAGATAATGAAATGAAGATGCTAGGGTGGTTCCTGATCCAGTCTAACTGGTCTCCTTACAAAGAGGAAATCTGGACAGATATGTGTGCACACAGACAAAAGGCCACATAAGACAGCCATCTACAAGCCAGAGAGGCCTTAAGAAATCATCCCTGCCAACACCTGATCTCAGACTTCTCTCCAGAACTGAGGGGAAATAAGCTTCTACTGGTTAAGCCACCCACTCTGTGGCACTTTGTCATGGAGCCCTAGCAAACTAATACAAGTAATACAGTAATCAGAATTTTGCTTCATCAGCCCCATAAATCTGATTTGGTTTGATTAGTCATTAAATAGGTATACAGTAAACACTTCCAGGGTTTAAATTTTTGTCAGAAGTTTTTTTTTTTTTTAAGATATCAATGAAATTTAGACAGCAAACACTGAGGATTAACAATTTCCAAAACATTTATTCTCACTGTGTTCTTAGAATTCTGTTCTCCTTCAGTTAGGAAAAAGCTGTGGTGGCACTGGGAAGATACCAAAAAGTCAGTGAAGGGATCCTGGTGTTATTTGTAAATTAAGGGTTGGGCTAGTGCTCAGACCTTTCCAGCTCTGTAAAGCATTAATGCTAAAATGGAAGGCTCTGAATTTATTCACTGAGTGCCCACATAGACCAGGCACTGTCACTGGCCACCAGGAACGGCAATAAACAAAGCAGCCAAAATCCACCTTCACGTGGCTTCCTTCTCAGTGGAGGAGACAAGAAGGAAACAAGTACAATGTATGTTGAATTAAACATTATTATGTGCAATGGAGAAAAAACAAGAAAAGAAAAGCAAATGTGAAAATAACTAGAAACGGCCGTTCACACGATGCCCAAACCGGGAGGCTCGAGAACTGGAAGTGCGGGGTGAACGGGTGCGGGCCAGAACGCCCAGTCGGGTCACACCGGGAGCGCGGACGCAGGGAAGCGGAGCACGGGAGCGCGCTCGCGGCGAGGCCCCTCGGAAGCGCATGCGCGCGGGCGCACGAGCGTCTCTCCGAGGAGCGCGCGCCTGTAGTCGGAGGCGGTTGACGCTTGAGGGTCGGTGAAGGAGACTCGAGGTGATTTGGGGAGAAGCACGCCACGAAAGGATGACTTCCGGGCTCTCCTGACAGCGGAAGGGCCCTGGTCCCGCGGCAGGCAGCTCTCCGGATCCAGACCGAGGCTTCGGGCCCCTGGAGGCCGCCGCGGCTGCAGGCTGGCGTGTCGCGAGGCGGGGCGGGGATCGGGAGGAGCCCGAGCCCGGAAGGTCCCCTCGCGGCCAGGCCTGCTCCGGACGCGGACAGACCTGTCCCGCCTGTGCGGGCACCGCGGCCCTGAACGGACTGGGGTATAATCAGGGAGACCTTGTGGGGTTCATTGTTGCTCGCCGCTAAGCTCATTTCCGTAGAAAGCATCCGAAGTTATGCCCTGAGGTTCCAGGTTTGGAAAGCCAGCCCTACCACATGAGAGAGGTCCAGGATGCTGCTCCCTCACTTACGAAGCCGGGGGAACCTTTAATGGCCCAAGAGTCTTAAACTTTTTTTTTTTTCCTGTACTGGCTTTGAACTCAGGACCTACACTTTAAGCCACTGCACCAGTCCTTTTTTGTAAAGGGTTTTTTAAGATAGGGCCTTGCGAACTATTTGCCCGGGCTGGCTTTGAACCTTGATCCTCCTGATCTTGCCTCCTAAGTAGCTAGGATGACAGGGGTGAGCCACTAGCGCCTGACACTTTTTTTCTCTTTACCTGTAAGAAAACTTAAAATCAAGTTCAGATAAACCCATACCATCATTATTACTGCCTTGGTATAGTTTGTGCCCATATATAAAGGCCAAGAGTATTAATGTAAAAGAGTATCAATAATAAGGACCTTCCTAGCCAGGCACAGCGGCTCAAGCCTATAATCCTAGCTATTTAGGAGATTGAGATCAGGAGGATTGCGGTTCTGATGGTTCCCAGGCAAACAGTTGGAAAAAAAATTCAGAGCAAAATGGACTGGAGGTGTGGCTCAAGCTGTGGAGCGCCTGGGCAAAGCCCAGAGTTCCAACCCATCTTACCAAAAACTTTATCAAAGTAGTACATGAACAAGGTTTAAAAATCAAATGGTAAAGAAAGTCTTATAAGCAAAGGGGTTTTCCTGTCTTAACCTTTCACATTGCCACCCTTTTCCCCTGAGGCAACTATAGTTAACCAATAATAATATCTTTTTGTGTATGTAGTGCTGGGGTTTGAACTCAGTGCCTCACACTTGCTTGGGGGGCACTCTACCCCTTGAGCCACTTCCCCAGCCCCTTTTTTGTGTTGGGTATTTTCAAGATAGGGTCTCCAGAACTGTTTGCCCCACCTGGCCTTAAACCTCAATCATCCTGATCCTTGCCTCCCAAATAGCTTGGATTAAGGGCATGAAGCCACTGGCACCCAGCATACTACATAATATCTTAATGCCTAGTTCTCCTTGATATAACAATTTGACTTTTTTAATTTGCTGTTGTTTCACCTTCCTACTTACAATATCTTAGCACTTCATTAGAAATTTTTCAAAAAGTCATAGTTATTGTGTAATATATAAATGTTATGAAACTATCTTGGACTTTTTTCATGAATAATTTCTAGCTAATGTTTCTTAGCTGAATTTAATTTAGGCATCTGTTTTTGGTGAAGTGGTTAGAATTACAAATACTGTCTTTACGGGTCAGCATCAAATATAATTATGATTTCACTTTAAGGCATGTGGGATTTAAAAAGGAACAATGAAAATTATGAAATTATGAATGTTTCTTGGATGTTAAGTCCACTGCACCAGGCATAAGTGATTTGCTTAGAAATCAGAGGCATACTTTTCTTTCTTAATTTGGCTTAATAAAAGATTTCATTTATATCAAATGATACTTCTTTATAATGCTTGGGAGAAATGGGATGATGCTATGTAATTCTGCAGCTTTGATAGTATATGTCTGTTTTTTCTTCCCATAGGCAATTATTTCCAGTCAGAAGGAAACCAGGGCCTGACATTCTCACCATCTTTCTACCTGCCATGATCAAGTGCTTGTCAGCTGAAGTACAAGCCAAGTTGCGTTCTGGTTTGGCCATATGTTCCTTAGGTCAATGTATTGAGGAACTTACCCTCAATAGTATTGATGCTGAAGCAAAATGTGTGGCTGTCAGGGTGAATATGGAAACCTTCCAAGTTCAAGTGATCGACAATGGATTTGGGATGGGGGGTGATGATTTAGACAAGGTGGGAAATCGTTATTTCACTAGTAAGTGCAATTCAGTACAGGACTTGGAGAACCCAAGGTTTTATGGTTTCCGAGGGGAGGCATTGGCAAGTATAGCTAACATGGCCAGTGCTGTGGAAATTTCATCCAAGAAAAACAGGACAATGAAAACTTTTGTGAAACTGTTTCAGAATGGAAAAGCCCTGAATGCTTGCGAGGCTGATTTGACTAGACCAAGTCCAGGAACAACAGTAACAGTATATAACCTGTTTTACCGGTTACCTGTAAGGAGGAAATGCATGGATCCTAGACTGGAATTTGAGACCATTAGGCAGAGAATAGAAGCTCTCTCACTCATGCACCCTTCCATTTCTTTCTCTTTGAGAAATGATGTTTCTGGTTCCATGGTTCTTCAGCTCACTAAAACCAAAGACATATGTTCCCGATTTTGTCAAATTTATGGATTGGGAAAGTCCCAAAAGTTAAGAGAAATACAATTTAAATATAAAGAGTTCGAGCTTAGTGGCTATATCAGCTCTGAGGCACACTATAATAAGAATATGCAGTTTTTGTTTGTGAACAGAAGATTAGTTTTAAGGACAAAGTTGCATAAACTCATTGACTTTTTATTAAGAAAAGAAAGTAGTATATGCAAACCAAAGAATGGCTCTGCCAGTAGGCAAATGAATTCAAGTCCTCGGCATCGGTCTACCCTAGAACTCCATGGAATATATGTAATCAACGTGCAGTGCCAGTTCTGTGAGTATGATGTGTGCATGGAGCCAGCAAAAACTCTGATTGAGTTTCAGAACTGGGATACTCTGTTGGTTTGTATTCAGGAAGGAATGAAAATGTTTTTAAAGAAAGAAAAACTATTTGTAGAATTATCAGGTGAGGATATTAAGGAATTTAGTGAAGATAATGATTTTAGTTTATTTGGTGCTACTCTTCAGAAGCATGTGTTCTCTCATGAGAAGAGTGACCAGGGCAGTTTCAAAGAAGCATGTAATAATATTTTGAATTCCTATGAAATGTTTAATTTACAATCAAAAGCTGTGAAAAGAAAAGCTACTATAGAAAATGTAAACACACAGAATTCTAGGGAATCAGAAGCTATCAGAAAAAAGACAAATGACTCATTTTTATACCATTATGATGACCCAGGCCATAGTAAGATGACAGAGTCATCTCTACACAATAAAAACAACTCTTGCTTAGAATCAAGAATGTTGGAGCAAGGGACAATTGAAGCATCAGAATCAGAAGAAAATGAGAAACATAAAAAGTCTTGCTTAGAATCCAATGCTTTAGAAAGTTCTTCTGCAACCAGTCCAAAAATGTTTTCAAACCCTTTTCAGACACATCACTTTGAAAAGAGTAGGACAGACCTACAAATACAGAAAGTAAGTACTACTGTTAATAGCACAGCTACCAACAAGCTGAAAAATAATCGAATTCAGAATCAACTAGAGAAATTTAAAGATGCTACTGAAATGGGATGCCAACTTCTTCCTTTTGAGACATTGAGAGTACATGGTGCTCAGAGAAAGAAAGAGAGGAAAAGAGAGCCCAGTAGTTGTGGAAGAATAAATGTTTTTAGTTATGGACAAGTTAAGTTATGTTCCACTGGTTTTATAACTCATGTGGTACAAAATGAGCAAACTAAATCAACTGAAGCAGAACATTCATTTAAACATTATGTTCAACCTGGCCCTGCAAGTACCCAAGAAACATTTGGAAATAGAACACATCATTCAGTTGAGACTCCACGCAGCAAAGACTTAACTGGCACTTTAAATAAAGAATCTGCTCAACTGCCCAACAAAAATTTTTGCAGAACAAATAGAAGTTATGAGCTAGAGAACAAATCAATAGCAACTGATGAAAACTTTGCTCTTTTTCAGGAAGGTGGTAAAGAATCTCACACAGGTTGCTTATTACCTGATGTATCCTCTTTCCCTTGGTATAGACATGTTGCAAATGGTAATAAGAAAACAGATAAGTTGGTTGGTTCCTCCAAACCCATAGTCCGTAAGAAGATAAGCTTGTCTTCACAACTAGGATCTTTAGAGAAATTTAAGAGGCAATATGGGAAGGTTAAAAATAATTTGGATGTAGAAGTAGAGGAAAAGAACATGGAAGTCAGTACCAGTCTCAGTCCTCAGGTTGAACCGGACATTTCACTCAAAGATAAGAACCATGTAGACAAATTTGATGATTATAAAATCACCGCTATGAAGCATAGTGATTCAAATGGTGGTTGCCAACCAGTAGGTCACATCCTGTACTCAGAGAAGTTTACATTCTCTATGGAAGATCACTTGGAACAGCAAATGCCCTGTTTGAGAGAAAGTCCTATAACTTTAACAGAATTATTGAACTGTAACAGAAACCCTTCAGATGTTGAGAACTCACCTGAATCACTAGCCTCTAAATTATCCAGAATGAAGGGTTCTGGGGAAACGACTCAAGCAATGGAGGAGACAAGTCATTTTAGTGAGCTTCCAAATTCAGATTCCAGTAGGAAAGACAGTGACTTGTGCAGTGGGTTAACCCTAGAAAAAACTGAGAGTGCCATCCTCCCAATGTCAGGTTCCACCACACAGGATCATTCCTTCAATAAAGGTAGTAAAATATATTTTAACAATACAGTGGAGAACAATGTGATACCAGAAACGGTATCACCCTGTAATGATTCCAAAATTATTAGTAAAGATTCTGATGTTCTTATCAGAGCTTCAGAGCAACAGATGGGAAGTCCTCATTCTCCCAGTAGAATGATAATGAGTCATGTAGAAGATACCACAGCTGAGCAAAATGGAATTTGTTTCCATAGCGAGGAATCTAAAGCAAGAGCTTGTTGGGAAAATGAAGAATCAAATACATGTTCTTTGGATTGGCAGCAGCATTTTGATGTAGCCCTGGGCAAAATGGTTTACATCAACAAAACAACTGGACTTAGCACATTTGTTGCTCCAACCATGGATGTTCAGACTGCTTGTATTCAAGACCTGACAACTGTGGCTGTGGATGTCCTACTTGGGAATGGTAAGTATATAGTGTGCACTGCCCTGAAATGCTTTCGAAGATGAGAATAATGACCAAGCAACAGGGTAATCATTCAAACAGATGATTTCAGTAGAGCATTTGAAGCCTGATTTTAAAAATACATATTTTGTGGTATATGAAGATTCTCTAGGTCCAACACTTTAAATATAGAAATATACAATGAAAGACTGATACAGAATGTAAGTGCACATCTATATGTCAGTGGTGTATGTATGTGCAAGAGAGGGGGCAACAATTTGTTTTAGTGGAAATGGTACTATTAATAGCTGAGAACCACAGTGCTTCCCTACTCTACCTTCCCTCCTTAAACACATACCTCCCCCAGAAATTTCTCTTTAAAGGCATGAAAGCTGCTGTCTGTGGCACCCAGGCCAAGGGCTAAAATGATTCCATAATTATCATAGACTTTCCAATAAAATCTATATTTCAGTACAGTACTATTTTTATGAACATTTTTCCCAGAAAATGAGACTTGATCATAAATTTTTCAAGTATACAGTTTCCTAACTATACTTTTCAAATGCACTTTATTATAATGTATATGATAATACATTTGATCTGTTTTTGGTATAAGATGATGTTCAGCAGGACAATAATGTGACTTTTTGATCATACTACAAGGCTCCAATGGTGCCTAGACTAGGACTCTAGGTTCTCAGTTCTCCATCAACATTGAAAGTGGCATTCTTTTGGCAGTGTGCTAAGAACCAGATGTTGAAAGATGGTAACGCTGGTTCCCATCTGGCTGTAATCTTGGCTTTGTACTAGGAAGATGAACATTAAATCTGTAGCCATATTAAAAGTCTTGAATGCTGAATGTAAATTGTATGACTATAGTTGCAAGTCAACCTATAATTTCTCTTTAGGATTAATAGCTCTAGTTGGAGACTCTGATTTATTTCAGGTTAAATAAGACCTTTATTTTTTAATGTTTTTCAGGGTTTTTTTTCCTTGTGAACAAAATCATGCTTGTAACTTTCAAAGTATTCGATAGGAGGGGAAAAGCCCTTTACTTTCTGTGTTGCTCTTGAGACTGTCAAGTTGCTCTTAAGGCATCTTGGTGTGCTTTTCAGTCTAGGTTGTTTTCTGTCCTGGTTTGTAATGAATGCTTATTAGAGGCACATCTAAGGCATCTTCCTGAAATGCAACTGCTTCTGACATGGTGCCAAAAAAATAACTGGATTACATTAAACTATGAAATGGTAGTTATCAAAACAAAGGGGAAAGTCTTAGCTGCTATACTCAATATAAACATCTACTCCTGTAAATAAATCTAGCTGTTTAAAACACTTCAATCCACTTAACTTTCTGGATTAGCATATTTTGTGGTGAACATCTGAGGATCATGTAAACTCATAATTTCCAAATGAAAAATATTTTTGATATAGAAACAAGTTCCATGAAAAGATGGCTCCTTAGTACCCTCCATTCACATGGATCTTACCTTTCTGGAAATGGCTTATGTACATACAGTAGGATATAAGGACATGGGTGAACCATACATGAAAATGTTACATTCAAAAAAAATTATTGTGAGAAATTTATTGTACAGAAGAGATCTGTAAAGGTAATTTTAAGTAGTGTCAAAACCCCAAGCCCTGGACATCTTTTCTTTAGAAGTTTTTTTTTTTTTGTGGTGCTGAGGATCTAACCTTGGGTCTTGCACATGTAGGCAAGAACTTTACCACTGAGCTACATCCCAGACTTTTAAAAATATCCTTAACTCAGTCCTTTCTATTATCAGTTACATAACTTTATTTTACCCCATGCCTTAATTCTTAATCTTTCTCTTCAGTTTTTGTCCAACATATTTACCTTTTTGAAATAATGGCTTCATGATTTACTCCTGTTCAAGACTGTCAAAATCAGCATTTTTTTTTTTTTTTTTTTTTTTGTAGTATTGGGGTTTGAATTCAGGGCCTCACACTTGCTAGGCAGGAGCTCTACCATTTGAGCTACTACACTAGCCTCAGTGTCATTTTTAAAACTCAAATCTGATCATCCTTCAGAGACTTGGAAGAATTTAGGCCAAATATTATCAGACTTTGTTGGGAGTGTGAATTGAGAACCTTTCGTTTGTTCATCTTTTCATGTATTTATCTAACCTTTGTTGCTTGTCACACTATACTAAGTAAGTGTTGCATTGCAAATCAACTGGCTTTACTTTCAGCATTTCATAGTCTATTAGAGGAGACAGCTATGTTATTTACTATCATATAATAAAAAGAATGTTATAGTGGAGACACATTTTGGGGATAAGAGACATCATGTAAGTTTGTAAGTTAGGGATTTGTGAAGGTTGCACCAAATTGTAGGTGACCATTAAGTACAAACTATACATCTAACACAAGTTTTCTCTGGGTAACTGTGCATTGTAGGATATTTAGCAGCATCTCTGGCCTTTATCTGCTAGATTCCAATAGCACCACTCACCCAAGGAGTGACAGTGGAATATGTCTGAAGACATTGACAAATGTCCTCCCATACATAACTCACCCCCCCCACACACACACCCATTGAGAATCTTTGTAACCTAGGTCTTTATTCTGTCTGGTATAGATGGGTAAGGACACAACACATTTGTATAGATACCTAAGTTAGCAGGTTAATTTCATTAAAGAGATGATTATCCATATAATGTTTGGTAGTCTGCCTTATGTCTTCATTCAGTTTGTGGAGAAAGAGATTTTATGTAATTTTAACTTTTAATTTATTTGTTGAATTCAAATTTCTAGGTTTTCGTTTTTTTATATTTAGGGTCTCAGTACAGATGTCATCCTTTTAGAAGTGACCTTATTCTTCCTTTCCTTCCAAGACCTCAGGAAAAGAGGACTGTGCTGAGACAGAGTAACAGAGGTGGGGGCAACAATAGGGATTGTGGGGACACCTAGTATACATTGTACCACCTTCTGCAGAAAACAAAGCAGGGTTGCATCATTAACTTTGATCAGTGCCAGCTGTGCCTTCCTAGCACTTCCCCTCGGCCCCATTTAACAGCAGAATTAAGTCATTCAGTGCATGCATTTAGATAAGAAATTACTTTTCCAGATTTGAGGTCAGACTATGCATAGTCTGTGGTATCTTGTGATTGAGGAAATGTTTCTTATTTTTAAGGATTGGAGTTCCACTCCATATTGCAATAGTTTGATCTAAACAAAACTCTTAAAAAAGCTACAGACATCTATTATCTTGTCTTTCCAAAAATAGATAAGGTTTATTTTTACCTAAAGGGAATGAGTCTGCTAAATTTTTTGGATTTTTATTTATTTATTTATTTTTATGGGAATGGAGTTTGAACTCAGGGCTTCATGCTTGCAAAGTAGATGCTCTCCTGCTTGAGCCACACCCCCAGCTCATGTTTGTTTATTTTTTGAGACAGGTTCTCTGTAGTGTAGGCTGGCCTCAAATTCAGGATCCTCCTGCCTCAGCCTCCCAAGTAGTGGGATTACAGGTGTGTACCACCATGCCCAACGAGGCTACTGATTTCAACTATAGTTTCTTCTGCATGTGTATTCTGAAATATCTCTGGTAACAGTTTGTAGAAAAGCAATATTGTCAGAAGATACAGTCATCAGCTCTAGTTTAAAAAGTAACATCAGAACAATTTAGAGCTACTGTATAACAAATTGAACATTTGTAGTGTGTGGAAACCATGTATCTGATGTTTGTTGTTGAGGCTGCAGCCAAACAGGAGAGGCTCTTCGCCTGCTTGTTTGTCTGTGGTACTGGGGATTGAATACAGGGTACGTTGGGTAAGTGCTCTACACTGAGCTACATCTCCAACCCTTTTTAAAACATTTTGAGACAGGGACTCACTAAGTTGCCCAGGCTGGCCTCAAACTTCTGACCACGCCTGGCTCCTTGTGGTTCTTGATGCCAGCTTACTTGTCCTTTTTGTCCTAGATGCTGTTGGTAGTGAATCACTTCAGTCTTTGTTTTCAGAATGGGACAATCCAGTATTTGCCCGTTACCCAGAGGTAAGTCTACAACACTTTTTCTTTTCCTGTCATTTTTTAATTTGAACTTCATCTATGCTGGGTGTAGGCATGACTACTAATTTGTAATTATGAATGGAAACTAGGTATGCTTCCAAATAATTAATTTGGAAATTAATGTTTCCATTAATGAGTAGAGATAAGGAAGTCAGCATTTTGGAAGCTCAGGCATTTTGAATTAAACATGTATAATCAGTGTGCAAATAGTGAATGTATTTACCCTGACTCACAGCTTTAGTAAAATATTCAGGATGGTGATAATAAAACCATTACCACTAGGCAAAGTAGGGAGTCTTCTATTGGAGGGACAGTTTGTCACTGGACCTGGGTGCGTGTGCTGTCCTCAGAGTGTTGTAACAAAATGTACTGAGTTAATGAGAGCAGGTAATGGACTAGCATTTACCAAGGACTTGATGATGAAGTGTACACAAATTGGTTTTTTTTGGCAATTTTGATTATAAACAAAACTTGCTAGTTAAGATAATTATTCTTGGAGGCTTTTGTCTTTTCCTTTTTCTTTTTTTCCTTTTTTTTTTTTTTTGCAGTACCACAAAAAGAGGCTTGAACTCAGGGCCTTCACCTTGAGCCACTCCACCAGCTCTATTTTTGTGAAGAGTTTTTTGAGATAGGGTCTTGAGGCACTGTTTGCCCAGGGTGGCTTTGAACCATGATCCTCCTGATCTCTGCCTCCTGCGGCTGGCTCTTAGAGCCTTTTGAATCTGTAAATTCCTTGAATTCAACCTACCTCTGGTAGGTTATATGAAAGTGAATGTTTTTAAAGGGCTTTGGGATTCTTGGTAAAAACAGTTCTGCAAACATAAAAAATTAAAATGCAAATGATGTTTTGCTGGGTCTTTCTAGGTTGCTGTTGATGTAAGCAGTGGCCAGGCTGAGAGCTTAGCTGTTAAAATTCACAACATCTTGTATCCCTATCGTTTCACCAAAGAAATGATTCATTCAGTGCAGGTAAAACTTGACTTTGAAATCCAGGTACAGCTTAAGCTACACTAACTTTTGTGAAATTCTATTATTTAATGATAGAGACCATGTTGGTCAAGGCACATGAGGTTTTTGTTGTTGCTGTTTTGTTTTTGTTGTTTTTATGTTAATCTTACTGGAAATTTTATCATCAGAAGAAAAGCAAAGGATTAATTATAATTGCAGAAATGTCCTGGTCTGTCTTCCTCTGTGGTCTCCCTCCATTCCTGTCCTCTGACCACTCTACTTGCCCATTCTTTTATCCTTCCTAAGACTCCCTCAGATTCAGTAGCACCTTACCTCAGCTTTGATATGACTGTTGTAGCATAAAATAAAGTAAGGTTTTGTCTCTATCAGATCAGTCTTGTTAATTTTTATTTGGTGTTGTACCACTTATCTGAATGTGTGGCAGGTTCTCCAGCAAGTGGATAACAAGTTTATTGCCTGTTTAATGAGCACTAAGATGGAAGAGAATGGCAGAGCAGGTAAGAATGGAGGTTAGCTTTAATCAATAAACCAGTTGATCTCCTGATAACCTTCTTTTAAAGTTACTTTTGGGCCCGCATCAGTGGCTCACAGATGTAATCCCAGCTACTTGGGAGGCCAAGATTGGGAGGATTGCCATTCCAGCCCAGCCTGGGCAAATAGTTCTCGAGATCCCATCTCCAAAATAACCAAAGCAAAGTGGACTGGAGGTATGGTTCAGGTGGTAGAGCACCTGCTTTTCAAGTGTGAGCCCTGAGTTCAAGCCCCAGTCTCACCAAAAATATAAAATAAATACAAATAAAGTCACTTTTGATATACAATGGAATTTCAGTGAAAACTGATCTAAATTAAGAATATTATGAATATTATGAAACAAGTTTTAAAGTACATTAGTTTTAGAAACATACACACACACACATACATAAAATATACATTAAACTATTAACAGTAGTTGCCTTGGGAGTGAAAATGAGTGTAGGCAAAGGGAAATTTCATCTTTCACTTTTTTTTTTTTTTTTTCAATAATGGGGTTTGAACTCAGGGCCTACACCTTGAGCCACTCCACCAGCCTTATTTTTTGTGAAGGGTTTTTCCACTATTTGCCCAGGCTGACTTTGAACCATGATCCTCCTGATCTCTGCTCCTGATTAGCTAGGATTACAGGCTGAGCCACCAGTGCCTTGGCTACATTTACTTTTTAAAATATTTTCATATTGTTGACCTTTATTTGGGGGGATGTACTGGGGTTTGAACTCAGGGCCTCACACTTGCTAGGCAAGCACTCTACCATTTGAGCCACTCCACCAGCCCTTTTTTGTGTTAGGTATTTTCAAGACAGGGTCTCACAAACTATTTGTCTGAGCTGACTTCCAACTGTGATCCTCCTGATCTCTACCTCCAAGTAGCTAGGATGACAGACATGAGCCACTGGCACCCGGCATGTAGTTAACTTTTTAATAATGTTTTCATGTTTTCCCTCTGTAACATTAGGAGGATTATATAATGGATTCTGCTAGATTTATCAAGAGTTATACAGAATTGCTTGGTGACCTGCTTTAATAAAACAGTAACAGTTTGTAAATAACATTAACTCATTCAACAAATATTGTTTGAGTGCCTATTGTATGCCAGGCACTATACCTGGTCCTAGGGATACAGTGATGGGAAAAGATAGATGTGCAGAAAAGACATAATTATACAAACATAAAATTTCAACTATATCTCTTATGGAGGGGAAATAGAATGGAGTAGAAGATGCTATAAGAACCCATACTGGGAGATTTAGTTTTGTTAGGGAGCCCAGGAAAGGTTCTTGGTAAAATGAGGTCTAAAGTATCATTATGTCAAATAAGGGACTGAATAACATATGCAACTTGTGATTTCCTCCCCTTCAGCTAGCAGAAGCAGGGCAGTAAAGTGGAGATGAGGCTAGAGAAATAGCTAGGAGTCAATTTTAAATGCCGGTTACCAGCTTTGCTTTATTCTAACAACCAACTGGAAACAATTGAAGGTTGGGGTTTTTTTTCTCTTCATTCTGTTTTTTCTTCTGTTGTTTATTTTTGTTTTTCAATGTATTTGAGGTTTGAACTCAGAGTCTCCCACTTGCTAGGCAGGCCTCCCCCGCCCCCCTTTTGTTTTTTATTTTTTTGACTTTGGTGGTGTTTTAGGGGTATATGCCACACCATACTACATTTTTAAAAGATTGCTCTGGTTGCAGTGTGGAGCATGGACTATGAGCTGGAGCTCCAGGAACTCCAGAGAGACTGTTCAGAGAATATTACAATATCTAAGAAATGGTTGGTTAGCTGGAACCATAGTGGTCTAGGGAGAAGTGAACATATTGGGAAAATGCTCAGGAGATAGTGTCATTGGGGCTTGGAGGTAAACCAAACATGACTCCTAGTTTTTTGACCTCCATAACTGAGTGTATGATGTTGCAAGACCAGATTGGAGATGGAGCAAGTTGGAGGGTAAACATCGTAAGTTTAATTGAAATTTTCTTTGAAGTATTCAAGAAGAAATGGCAAGAATGTTTGGATGTTACAGGTGTGAACTAGAGTGTTCTGACCTGGTGATACAAATTTGAGTTGTTAGTGTAAAGTTGGTCATTGAATCTAGAATACTTCTAGCATTTGAGTAGAAAACTGTGACCCAGCAAAAGAGATTGTGAAGGAATGGCAAGAGAAATGGGGAAAACAGAAGAATGTTATATTGCAAGGCTAGGACTTCATGCCAAATGCTGCTGAGATGTTTAGTAAGATGAGAACTGTTCAGTTTTGTGACATTGGTGATCAGAGAGAGCTGTTTCAAAGAAGAGATGGGACAAGATGCTGATGGAAACTTTAAAGAGAGACTCAGAAATCTGAGATAAGGAAGAAAGGGACTAGAAGAAGGTAAGTGTGCACATGAGAAAAGACTGTCTTTTTTAAAGGAGAAAATCTTAAGGTGGGTGCCAGTGGCTCACGCATATAATCCTAGCTACTCAGGTGGCAGAGATTAGGAGGATTGGGTTCAAAGCCAGCCCAGGCAAATAGTTCACAAGGTCCTATCTTGGAAAAAAAAAAACCTTCACAAAAAGGGCTGGTAGAGTGACTCAAGGTGTAGGCCATGAGTTCAAACCCATTACTGCTATAAATAAATAAATAATAGAATCTTGAGCAGAATTGTAATTGTCTGCCGTGTCTACATTTCACTTTCTGTAGTTTCAGTTACCTATAGTCAGCCAAGATCAGAAAACATTAAACATAAAATTCCAGAAATTAACAATTCTTAAGTTTTAAATTTCACACATTTTGAGTGGTATGATAAATCTTACACCATCCTGTCCCACCCAGGATGTGAATTATCCCTTTGTCCAGTGTGTCCATGCTATGTATATTACCTGCCTAACAGTCATTTAATAACTGTTTATATTATTAGATTATTACATTGATTATCATGGTATCACAGTGCTGGTATTCAAGCAACCTTTATTTTACTTAATAATGGTTTCAAAGCACAAAAGTAGTAACACTGGCAATTTTATTACAGTATATTGTTGCAGTTGTTCTGTTTTATTATTGTTAATCTTTTACTGTACCTAATGTATAAATTAAACTGTATCAAAGGCTTATATGAATAGAAAAAAATCTCTTTAGGGTTTGATATTATCTAAAGTTCCAGGCATCCACCGAGGTCCTAGAATGGGTCCCCTCAGGGAGAAGAGATTGTTGTCCAAACAATGCTTGATAGTGCAAGGTTCTTCAAAAGGCCAAGTAGCCTGAAACCTGAGTGGAAGTAGAGGGTTGGCTGCAGATTCCTAGACCTGAAGAAAAGTGCTTCCAAAGTTGAAAGCAGTCAGTCCTCTGTATTTTGAAACCTTCCCCTTTACCTTGTTTAGTGATGTCTAGTAGATCAAAGGCAAATTAAAGTTCTGTCAGAATTATCATAAATATGGGATCAGTGGTCAAATTCCCATAGTTTTACTAGTTCAGAAAATTAATAGATTTTTTGTTAAGTTTTGATTAGTTGGAATTCTTTCTTGCTTTTGTTTGGTTTGTTTTTGTGCTATTAGGGACTAAACCCAGAGCCTCATGCTTGCACTCTCCCACTTGAGCCACACCCTAAATTTTTAATAATGGCACTCAAGATGAGTGTAAGCACAAAATCTGTGAATGTTCAAAGAAGCAAAAGGGACTATTTAAATTTCTCTTGAGATTTCATACTATTATTGGATTAGTTAGATGAAGTCAAAGAGTATTCTTAGTATTCTTTTCTGAAAAGAAACCAGAAAGCCACAAGTACAAGAGTACTCTTAGTAAATACATTTTTCTTCCTTCCTTCTCTTCCTTTCTTCCCTCCCTCCCCCTTTCTTTCTTCCCTCGCTCTCTCCCCCTTTCTTCTCTCCCTCCCTCCCCCTTCCTCCCTTCTTTTCCCTTTCTTTCCTCCCTCCCTCCCTTCCCAGTCCTCCCCTCCTCTCCCCTGCCCTCCCCTCCCCTTCCCTTCCTTGACTAGAGTTTGAACTCACACTGCCAAAGCAGGCATTCTATCATTTGAGCCACACCTCCAGTCCCTTTTCTCTGGTTGTTTTGGAGATGGGGTCTCATGAACTGTTTACCTGAGCTGGCCTTAAACTTCTGACCTCAGTCTTCCAAGTAGCTAGGATTACAGTCATGAGCCACCTGTACCCAGCTGATAGTTGTGTGGTTTTTTGTTTGTTTGTTTGTTTGTTTGTTTGCGGTACTGGGGCTTGAACTTAGGGCCTTCACTTTGAGCCTCTTTGCCAGTCCTATTTTTTGTGGTGGGTATTTTCGAGATAGGGTCTTGGGAACTATTTGTCTAGGCTGGCTTCGAACCGTGATCCACCTGATCTCTGCCTCCTGAGTAGCTAGGATTACAGGCGTGAGCCACTGGTGCCTGGCAGTTGTGTATTTTTAATGGACATATATATTACTCTTTTAAATTACAGTGAAACTAATGTTACATATTGGCATTTTATGTTGCATATTTTTGTCTACAATATAATACAGTTATATCACCCTAAGGAATAAGAATTCATTTCTTTATTCAAAATTTATATTGAATGCCTACAAGAATTTCTGTCCTCATGAAGCTTCTATTCTATTCTGCTGGAATATCAAAAATACAACTTCTGACATTAGTAAATTACCTTCTATCTTCTGCTTCATTCAAGAAATGAAAAATGGGGCTGGCAGAGTGACTCAAGTGGTAGAGTGCCTGCCTGCCTAGCAAGCATGAGACCCTGAATTCAAACCCCAGTACCACAAAAAAAAAAAAAAAGATGTCATAAACACTATGTAGACAATGAGATGATAAATGGCCATTCTCCCAGTCAGGTATAGCATGATTTCAGAGGGTCCCTGACTCTTGGCAATTCACGCTGGGTCTGGTTTCAAGTTTGAGGTCACTCCCTCAGAGTTTATGATTTATTCCATTGTTTTGCCCATTACAGGATGTTCAGTATTCACTGCAACCAGCTGTAATTCCTCCTACCCTCAAAGGAATTTAATATTTAACATTTTAGGGACGATTCCTGTGGTTGGACATACTGTCAGAAACTTTATTTCCTTTTTTTCTTTAAGTCTTGCCATGAGTTTGTCAGAATTTAACAGTGTCCTAGAAAAAATTTTTAATCTTTCGGTAGAAATAGGAAAAAATTGGCATTATCTATTTTGATCAAATTCAAGAGATTTCATTTCAGTGTAACACCAGTAAAAATAAACCTCAAGATGTAGGCCAAAAGCAATAACATTTCAATCTTAAATGGTATACTAAATGTCATCAAGAATCATCCTCTGTCCATGAGGAGATTTCTCTATAGGTGTGACTACCAGATGTTCTGTGTCCTGGCTTTTACTTGATGGTCCAAAGTTAGAACTGCAGAACCCATGTTCCACCACTAACCTGCATTAGAATCTGCATTTGAATAAGCTCCAGGTTATCCCTTCACCTAGGAGAGTTTGGGAAGCCCCAGTCCTGTGGGGTTCAAACTGCAGCCTATGGGCACATCTAGCCAGTGCCTATCTGTTTACAGCCAAGGAGCTAAGAATGGTTTTTATAACCTTAAATGGTTGGGGACAAAACAAAAGAAGAAAATTTCTTGACACAGTAAAATTATATGGAATTCTTAGTTCAGTGTCCATAAATAAAGTTTTATTGGAACACAGCTACAATAGTCACATATTGTTGTGGCTGCTTTGGCTCAGAATGAATAATTGAGTAGTCATGACAGAAACTATTTGGCCCAAAAAACCTAAAATATTTCTCCTCTGTCTTTCATGGAAAAAATTTCCTGGCCTCTGATCTAAAGTATAAAAGAAGTATATTCCTCATGAGTTTCCAAACAGTAGCAAACCAAGGTCCACCGATTATAATAATGTGTTTTCTAATAATTCTAAATTATATTAAAGTTGAATTAATAAAGCAAAGCCAGTATTTGAACATTAGAAATGTAGGGCTTTAATCTTTTTTATAAATGAAATATTAATAAACCAAAGACTTTTTGATAAATTTTCAAAAATACCATTTTCACCGTAATATTTTATGAAATAAAAGAATTATTTCTCTATATTTTCTCTTATGCTGATGTTGTTAAGTAGATTAAATTAGCTTTTTCCCTCCCCTCACACAACATGGTTATTCTAATTTTGATCCGAGAATTTGAAACTCTGGTAATCCTTGGTGGTTTTGTAGGTGGAAACCTGCTAATCTTGGTGGATCAGCATGCTGCCCATGAGCGTGTCCGTTTAGAGCAGCTCATTACTGGTAAGAATCTGTCTGCAACTAGAAAAAATTGAGACTCACCAGCAGGACTGATACTCCTGAAAGAGTTTTTCTCACTGTGACTGTGAGGGAAGATGCATTGTATGCTTAAAAATTTAAGAGCTAGGCACAGGGGCTCACACTTAATCCCAGCTATTTGGGAGGTGGAAATCACTTGTACGCCAGCTAGGGCAAAAAGGTAGAGAGATCCTATCTCAACCAACAAGCTGGGCATAAAAGTATATGCCTGTAATCCCAACTACAAGTGAGGCCCGAGGTAGGAGGATCACAATTCAAGGCCCCAATCAAAACCACAAGATCCTTGCTGGGCATGAGCCAGTGGCTCACACCTGTAATCCTAGCTACTCAGGAGGCAGAGATCAGGAAGATTGCTGTTTGGAGCTAGCCCAGGCAAATAGTTCTTGAGACCCTATCTCAAAAACACACTTCACAAAAAAGTGCTGGTGGAGTAACTCACCATGAAGGCCCTGGTGGCTCAAAGTGAAGGCGCTGAGTTTAAGCCCCAGTACTGAAAAAAAAAAAAGCCAAAAAACCCATAAGATCCTACCTGAAAAATAACTGAAGTGAATAATAGAATCCAAAGTCTAGAACTGAACATTAAACACACTACTGAGCAGTGAAATACTTTTAACATGGCCTTCCCTTACCATGCTTCATTTTAACTGAGTTAGAAGCCTTTCCTTCTTTATTCTTAACCCACTTATCTTTCTTCCAACAGACTCTTATGAGAAGCAACAACCACAAGGCTCTGGTCGAAAAAAATTACTGTCTTCCACCATTATTCCCCCACTAGAGGTAACAGTGACGGTGGAACAAAGGAGACTCTTACGGTTAGTACCTCCAGGAAGGTATGATGGCAACAGTATAAATTCTCAAAATAATTCTGTGAGGTCTTTGCAGAAGAGCTGTTCCATTGTCCAGAAGAGGAAACGGAGACCAAGAAATTTTTCATGGTTTGTTCTACATTATAACAGTGATTAAGTGGTAGACCAGGCACTCAAAGGCTGGTCTTTCAGTCCAAATTCAGCTTTTTTCATTATCATTATATCACAGCTATTGAGTATAGGATAAAATTTCCTGATAATTTTTTCCAGCAGTTGGCTTAGAATACCCTTCCCATTTCTTGGAACAGTCAAGGGCTTATGCTGTGCTGTTTCTGAAAGCAAAGTTAGCACAGTAATTGCTTCCATTCTTCTTTGTCTTGGTTCATTCTAGATTCTTCCTTACATAATTTTATTAGGAAGAAAGTAAAACACTAGATGCAAGGAAGTGGCAGGTCATTTGGTGATTAATAACAAGATTGGATATTTTCCCACTTCTGGGCAGCATAAATGATTGAAAATGAAAGAGAATTGCCTCAGTTTATTTCAGGTTTGGGAATATGCTACTGCTAATACATCTTTTTCCCTGGGGCATAATTTATATTAGAGGCAGATTCATTTGTTTATATCCCCCATTAATCAGGACTTCTCAGTTCTGGTGTTGTTACCTCCCTGCTTTAATGCTGATTCAAAACATTCTCAGACCTGTTCTTTGTGCCAAATTCCCTTAAATACCGACAAGAAATTATCAGTTCCTCAGTTAAGAGTACACATTTAGGAAAAAGATTTGGAAACAAATTGATTCTCTCAATGGAAAAAAATAAAGGTTACTCTACAGTAGTCACTCAAATGCTACTGGGCTCTATGTGTACTTTGTCTTTTCCTATATCCTCTGAAGCACTGCCACATGTTACCAGGGCTGATCTCTCTCTCATGTTTTATGCTTTGGGGCCATTAGGAAGTAAAATTAGGGTTACTTGAGCACAAAGGAGTTATATGATAAAGGAGATGGCTGCTAAGTGACTTAACAGGTGTGTGGCCTAGGCAGTGTGGATCCGTTGGAGAAAGGACAGCATGCAATTTCAAGTTTATTTGCTAGGCATGTAACTCAATGGTAGAGTGCTTAGCATACATGTGATCCCAGGTTCAGTTCCCAACATTTAAAAGAAAAAAAGAAAAGAAACCATTTACTTCTAAAATTTTCCATTTACTATTTCTAGGGGAGTACTGGGGTTTGAACTCAGGGCCTTGTGTTTGCTAGGAATGCACTCTACCACTTGAACCACACCCCAGCCTCCCCTTCATTTAGTTTTTTTTTCTTTTCTGAAGTTCTAGGGTTTGAACTCGGGGCCTACACCTTCAGCCACTCCACCAGCCCTTTTTTGTGATTTTTTTTTTTTTAAGATAGGGACTGGCTTTGAACTATGACCTTCCTGATCTTTGCCTCCTGAGTAGCTAGGATTACAGGTGTGAGCTACTGGCGCCCGGCTTCAATTTTTTAATCACACAGTCCACTGTGAGTAACTAAAACCATGGACAAGGGGGAACTACCATTCAAAATGGAAATTTGATAAAACAATACAAGCTTGAAAGCTTAAGGCAGCTTTTAAGAAACTATCAAGTATTTGGAACTAGTTCTGAAATGTGAGTGAAATTATACTTTTTACATCTGAGGCTATCTCCTTAGGTGTTACCACAAAAATCTAGAAGATCTGGGCCTTGGATTTATCTTTCCAGACACTAGTAATTCTCTGGTCCTTGTGGGGAAAGTACCGCTCTGTTTTGTAGAAAGAGAAGCCAATGAACTTCGAAGAGGAAGATCTACTGTGACCAAGAGTATTGTGGAGGTAAGACATAGCTTCCACTGTTGAAATTGGTGAATAACAATGGCCTCACATTTTGTCTAGAGATTCTCTACCTGCATCTTTATTCAACACATTTTTGTTATTTACCATATATTATATCTACAGAAGTTTTCTTTCCAGCTGTGCCTGTTTTTAGTCACTAAGGTTTCTATTCCCTTCTTGCTTATTTTCTCTACTTGGAGCACAGGCAAATGCACATCAACTCAGTCTACCATTTGTCTAGAAATTCAAGGTATTTTTAGTAATGTCTAAAATAAAAATCAGAATATAGATTGGATAAGCCATGGGATAGGCTGATCTGGGAGAGACTGGAGGCAGGGTGAGTAGTTGGGAGGTTGTTCCCCTGGTGGAAATAAGAGAGGATGAGACCCTGACTATGTCAGGAGTAGTGGGAATGGAAAGGAGGGATATATTTGAGATTTAATTAGGGAGGCAGAATCAAGAAGTCCTGATGAACAATAAAATTAAATCTAAAAGGAATAAAGGAGTAAAGAGGGCTGGCAGGGTGACTCAAGAGGTAAGAGCGCCTGCCTAAGCAAGTATGAGGCCATGAGTTCAAATCCCAGTGCTGCCAAAAAATAATTAATAAAGGAAAAAAAGATACGGAATAGTATTCTGAGGGTTCCAGCTTGATGACAGGAAGGTAATGGAGCCATTGACAGAGAAAAGAAATGAAGGAGAAAGAGTTCCCTGGGGGGGGGAAATAGATTACAATGTCCATGCATAGGACACATTTGGCCTTGAGGTAAAGATAGCTGGTGAGTAGGCATACCATGGATCTTGCACCTGGAAAGAAATCTGTGCTGTACATATCTATTTCAGCGTTAACAGCATGTGCACTTTCAGAATATCAGAAGCCAGAGAAGGCCTTGGAAGAACTGAGTTTGATCCAGAGAGAATATGAAAAGGAAGGGAGAAAACAAAAGGTGGAGCCTATGCAACACCGTTAAGAGTGTATATGTTTTGGCAAAGGTCAGGAAAGCAACTGGTAAAAGAGGAAACTGTAAAGATGATTGAGAATATTTGAGGAAGGAATAAATCCAAGAAAAAGTAAAATACTAAAACTAAGGAAAGCTGTAAGCAAAAGCAGAATAGTCAATAATAGCCGTAATGTAAAGGCTTAAAAGTTGGAGTTGGATGCCATTAGATACATTGGTTATTCTGGACGATCATTCCTGGGGGATGGAGTCTGGCAGAAGACAGAGTGCAGTGGATCAGGAGTAAGCAAAGTGGGTGGAAAGGAGGCCAGGTCTAGATGCCCCCTTTCAAGAACTCAGGCCAAGTGATGTGCAGCTGTAGTCCTAGCACTCAGGACACTGAGGCAGGAGAACTGCAAGTTTCAAGCCAGCTTGGAATACCAGGTTTTTTGAGAAATCCTGTCTGAAAAAAACAAGGGCTGGGGATGTAGCTTAGTGGTAAGAATGCTTACCTAGTATGTGCAAGGCCCTGTGTTTGATCCCCAGCACCACAAAACAAAACTCTTAACAAACAAAAGAACTCTGGCTACATACCAGAAGGGAGATTTGTGTGATAAGTAAAGATTAGGGGTGGTTGAGAAGTGTAGGGCAGGAGAGAAGGCTGAGGAAGCATTTTTGTTTGCTTTCAGACCAGAGACTTGAGCATGTTTGTAGGCTAAGGGTGAGAAGGCATTCAAGAATTCAAGAGCAAGAGGCAGTTGACAATGTCAGCTTTTGGATTACCTTGATTTTACCCTTTCTGAAATCACCTTTGATCCAATAGCTTTGGCTTTTCTGTCAGCAGAGCTCTTTTCTCTCCACAGAGCTTATTTCTTCTAAGACTCTTGCTTAAAATTGTCTTCAATCCAAAAGATAGGATCTGTTAGACTCTTTCATCATAATTCAATCTCTAAAAATTTAACCAGAAAATTATAATAAAACTTTCCCTGAATTAACTTCAAAAACTACTGTTAAGGAGTTTATTTCAAATTAAAACAAAGCTTATGGTTTCAGAAAAATTGTAACTATGCTGTCAGTCTGATCAAGAGAGAATTTGTTGATTTTGGAAGAAGCTGGAACAATTTGGTGTTTTGAAGAGGAAGCTACTTGAATCCTAGCACTTGGAGATCACTGATACGTCCTTATAGGAAGTTCTGTGTTCTATCCTGATGAATGAGCCTTTTAAACATTACTTAAGTTATCTAACATTAATTGAACCACTGAAATATGAAGTGAACTGAGAATAAAATCCTTCTTCCTTACTGGGCCTATGGACTGAACTTTTACAGCCCCGGATATACAAGAGAGAATAGCAAAGAGGTTAGGTTTGATTTCTATCCGTACTAAGCTTTGTTTGTGGGTCAGCAGGTATTATGAGATGTCTTTAGTTTAGGTTTGTTTAGGAAAATATAGATACATTTAAAATGTATAGCTGGGTGTGGTGGTACACATCTCTAATCCCAGCACTCAGGAGGCTGGGGCAAGAGGATCAGGAGTTTACAGCCAACCTAGGCTACCCAGGGAAACCCCTGTCTCAAAATTTAAAACAGAGAACAAAGTATATACAATGTGGTGTTTTCCACCCAGTTCTTGGTAATTGCTCATTTATAAACGTGACAGACTAGAATATATAGGAAGGAGGGGAGATAATTTCTGAGTCTGATTTAAAAAGAAAATCTCCCTGTTATAATCTTAGGAAACTGATTTTTATATAGCCATTTCCATCAGTAAAGAAAGAAGTTCTGTGGTTTTGTGTGTGTGTGTGTGTGTGTGTGTGTGTGTGTGTGTGTGTGTGTTGTGTACTTTATTTTGACAGTACTGGGGTTTTGAACTCAAGGCTTCATGCTTTCTAGGCAGGTGTTTTACCATTTAAACCACACCTCTAGCCCCTATGTTTTTTTGGGTTTTTTTTTTTTTTTTTTTTGTGGTACTGGGGCTTGAACCCAGGGCCTTCACCTTGAGCCACTCCACCAGCCCTTTTTTGAGATGGATTTTTTTCGAGATAGGGTCTTGCAAACTATTTGCCTGGGCTGGCAGAGATCACAATCCTTCTGATCTCTGCCTCCTGAGTAGCTAGGATTACAGGTGTGAGCCACCGACACCCAGAAATCCCTGTGTTTTCTTAAAAATAAATCATTAAATGTGCCATATCTCAAAACAGTTTTTACTTCCAGAGGTTAAACAAATTGGTAGCACTAAGTAGTATCAGCTTTGAATTTCTTTTGTAAATTTTAGTATCACAGTGATATAGCTATTGAAAAGGTTACCCCGGAGTCAGGCATTGTGGTACATGCCTGTAATCCCAACACTTGAGAGACAGAGGCTGGAGAATCTCAAATTCAAGGTGAGTATGGGCTACACAGTGAGACCCTGTCTCAAAAAAACAAAAGGCTACCCCAGGGTAAACCCAGATATATGAGGGCAGGGAAGAGAAACTTCTCAACAAAATGCTTTGGAAAATAGGATTTTTGACCTAAAGAGAATCATCCCCCCAACAACAATTTTTAAAAGCCTATTGGCGGTAAAGTGACTATTATGTTTATAATATTTAAACAAGAGACTGAGCACAAAGTGCAGAGTTGTATATTTATCCTCAGCTATGTGTAATATTACACTTGTTCTGGCCAAGATTATAAATACAGACAGACAGCCTTACAACAAATTTGTACGTAGATGGTATGCTACTGATAGGCTTTTCTTCAGGGGCATATTTTAAAGCAGAAAATGGGATATTTTGTAAACAGTCAGAGGGCAAGTACAATGTAACCATGGATTGATGCCTGTTTTCCTTTTGGTTTTGTAGGAATTTATTCGAGAACAAGTAGAGGTATGTGTTTCTCTAATTTTGGGGTATTACACAGAGCTGCCACACACAAAAGGCCTCATTGTCTGATTTCCTTCTTCTATTAATAACACAGCTGCTCCAAACCACAGGAGGCATCCAAGGGACACTGCCATTGACTGTCCAAAAGGTGCTGGCCTCCCAAGCCTGCCATGGTAAGCTCTGCACAGCCAGCCAGTGAGTCCTATTACTGTGTGCTGAGCACTGGCCAGTCACAGTGATTGTGAAAGAGTCAAAAGGTACTTTTCTGCTCACCTCTTTTTTTTTTTTTTTTCGCCTGCCCACTCCAGCTGAAAACTTCCATAGCTAAGCCACCACATGCCTGCCTACCCTGACCCAGGCTAGAAGACCCCCATATCCTAGCTAACTAAATCCCCAAGAGCCCTTCATGCTTTGTTCCCACACCAAGCCCAGGTGTGGAATTGAGAGAAGCTTCCCAGCTCAATGCCTGACACAGTTAGTTTTTCTGCCTGAGTTGCTTTTCCCTAGCTTAGCAGTTATCCCACAGCTGCCACATCTAAGCCTGTGCCACTCCACTCACAGTGCCCAGGACACCCAGCCCCAAGGAGAGCCACCTCCTATTACAGGGCACCTTAGAATGGTTCCCTTGATTTTTCTGGAGGTTTTAGTTCCCTGACTACAAAATGACTATGGCTTCAGAGTAGGGATCTGCCATTCCCCTTTGTTAAATAAGAAAGTGAATGTACCTAAAAAATTACCTTTCAAGCTGGGCATCTGTGGCTTATGTCTGTAATCCTAGCTAAAATCAGGAATATCGTGGTTCGAAGCCAACCCTGCAAATAGTTGCGAGACCCTATCTCAAAAATACCCAACACAAAAAGGGCTGATAGAATGGTTCAAGTGGTAAGAGTGCCTGCCTAGCAAGCGTGAAGCCCTAAGTTCAAGTCCTGGTGTTGAAAAAAACATAAAAATATTCTGCCAAAACCGCCTTCCCTGACTTCCTAAACTGGGTTTGGTCTTCCTGTTATAGACATTAAACATTATTTGTTTAATGTTTGTCTCCCCATTAGACAATAAGCTCCATGAGGGTAGAGCTCATTCACTGCCTGGCATAGCTCCTAATACAATGTTTACACTTAGTATATATTTATTGATTGAGTGAATTAATGTGGGAATAAAAGGAAGTTCTAACAGTATGTGAATTTAAATTAGAAAGATTGTGATGGAAATTAGAAAAAGGAAGTAAATAAAACGGGCATTGTAAGGAACCAGTCAGAGATTGCTATTGGACAATCCATGGATGGAAGATGACTTCAACTTCACAAGCCCATAAGTAGGAAAAATATTTCCCTTATGTCTTTAAGAAAAACCCTAGCCAGGCGCTGGTGGCTCACACCTGTAATCGTAGCTATTCAAGAGGCAGAGAACAGGAGGATTGCAGTTTCAAGCCTACACAGGCAAAATAGTTCATAAGACCCTATCTCCAAAAACCCATCACAAAAAGGGTTGGTGGAGTGGCTCAAGGTGTAGGCACACACAAAAACCCTGAAAGGAAGATCCTAATAAGCTAAGGAATGCCTCCTACAAGGATCAGAGATAACCACTCCATAAGAAAAAGCCTAGGGGGCTGGGATGTAGCTCGGTGGTACAGCGCTTGCCTAGCATGCGTGAGGCCCTGGGTTCGATCCCAGCACCAAAAAAGAAAAGACAAAAAAAAGAAAAAGCCTAGGACTGGAGGTGTGGCTCAAGCAGTAGAGCTCCTGCTTTGCAAGTGTGTAGCCCTGAGTTCAAACCCCAATAAAATAAGAAACTAAGGAAAAGCCAAGAGACAGGAGGTCAGTCTTGAGGCCTTAGTTTCATCTACGGCTGTAAGTACCCATTTCAAGCAGTATTAAAGCCACATTAAAGAATTCTAAGAAATGTGTTACTTTTTCCAGATATTTGGCTCTGACCCAGGGTCGTATTGGTTTCCTACCATGTACACCATAACCTTCTGGTTTCTTTCTTCATTTAGGGGCCATTAAGTTTAATGATGACCTGAGCCTAGAGGAGAGTTCTCGCCTTATAGAAGCTCTGTCCTGGTGCCAGCTGCCCTTCCAGTGTGCTCATGGGAGACCTTCCATGCTGCCATTAGCTGATCTGGACCACTTGGACCAGGAAAAACAGGTAGCGATGAATAAGAGGAGCAGGAAGGAACAAAGTTTATCTTTTTCTTTTCCAGCTCTGCTATCCAAATATAATCTGTCTTAATCCTTTCTAAAATAATGAGCATTTTGAAAAGAGCACTGGAAGTCTCGATTTAAAGCCTCACCCATCTTGTCTTCCAGCTCACATTCAAAATGGAGCTTTGACTAAACTATCAGAGATTATCCAAATGATGACTTTGTATTTTTAAACTTAACACATATACAGAGTTACATATCCTGAACATCAGTTGCCCATGGTCTCTAGGTTTGATAAGATGCAGTGCTTCCTAGAGGTACAAAAAGCTGGTTGAAACACAGCAAACTCACTGTTGGCAGAATATAGCCTGAACATCCAGTTCTTTAATAGTATATGTTGGAAACAATTACCTGTGACTGTAGCCAGACAGATCTAAGGATCTCTTGAGCCGCAATTTGAAGATCATCAGGCAGGGAACCACACATTACTCAGCAGCCTATGAACAACAGTGTACATAGTACAATAAAGGTGGTTTAAGATAAGAACATTTTCTATTTTTGCTACAATCTTGCTATAATCTTTTTTTGTTTTTTTTGTGGTAATGGGGTTTGAACTCTGGACCCACACCTCAAGCCACTCCACCAGTCCTTTTTTGTTTTTGTTTTTATCTATATATTTATTTATTTTATTTATTCATATGTGCATACATTGTTTGGGCTATTTCTCCCCCCACCCCCCCCACCCCCTTCCTCTCCCAAACCTGTCCTTTTTTGTGATGGGTTTTTTTGAGGTAGGGTCTTGTAAACTATTTGCCCAGGTGGCTTGGAACCATGATCCTCCTGCTCTCTGCCTCCTGAGCAGCTAGGATTACATGCGAGCCACCAGCGCCTGGCTCTTGTTATAATCTTAAATGAAACAGACACGTGTGCATAAAAACGTCCATGTTACTGCTTTCCAGATCTTTTCTTTTGGTTATCCTTCCTGCTAAAGACTGTAAAGGCATTTCTTACATGCAGTTTTCAGGTAGTCATATATTCTGATTCATCCAGTTGATTTTACTGTACTTAAAACTCTCTGTCACCAGGCACCCATGACTCAGGCCTGTACTCCTACTCTCAGGAGGCAGAGATCAGGTGGATCACCTTTAGAAGCCAGCCCCAGGCAAATAGTTCTTGAAAATATCCAACACAAAACACAGCTTATGGAGTGGCTCAAGTGCTTGCCTAGCAAGCGTGAGGCCCTAAGTTCAAACCCCAGTGTCACAAAAAAAAAAAAACCACTTTGTTGCCAGTGATAGTGTCGCACATCTGACCCCTGATGCAGGACTGCTGCTACTTCCAGTTAGCCTGTATTGGCATAGTGAGACTCTGTCTGGAAAGGAAGGAACGAAGGGAGGGAAGAAGGAAAGGAAGGAAGAAAAGGAAAAAATGAGTTAAAACTTTATTTCGCCAGGCACTGGTGGCTCACGCCTGTAATCCTAGCTACTCAGGAGACAGAGATCAGGAGGATCATGGTTCGAAGCAGCTGGGCAAAATAGTTCAAGACCCTATCTCGAAAAACTCATTCAACAAAAAAGGGCTGGTGGAGTGCCTCAAGGTATAGGTCCTGAGTTCAAACCCAGTATCACAAAAAACAAAACCACAAAAAACCCAACTCTAATTTCACATGACAAAAAAAAAAAAAAAGAGAGAGAAATTCTATCCCAATTACTGAAGGGAATCTAGACTTAAAACTTGCATTCTCACTAATCCTAAAGAACTCCCTGTAATATTCTCTGAATCCAGAAATTAGAAACCTAAACAGATTTGGAGAGCCACACTTGGGAACACTTCTATGCTACAGGGTTTTCCTATCACTAATTGGAGTTATTCTCTTTCTTCCCATAGATAAAACCCAATCTTGCTAAACTTCGCAAAATGGCCCAGGCATGGCGTCTCTTTGGAAAAGCAGAAGGCTGTGATACGAGGCAGAGCCTGCAGCAATCCATGCCTCCCTGTGAGCCGCCATAAGAACAGACTTACTGATCTGTACGCAACCAAAGGGATTGACTGTGTGCTTCTGAGCAGAGAGCATGAGTGGCACACAGCAGCACAGCCGAGTCAGCACTGTGCACCATGTGCTGCTTCTCATGTCTTTTCTTCGGCAGATGGTCTCTTTGGCTGAGTAGCCACCTGGAATTCAAGCCATAGTTCATTTATCTGCATCCATGGACACAGGAGGTTCTGGTAATAATATCCACTTTTGTAACTTACCTAATGATAAATATCATGATTGGTTGGTAGGTTGGCTTATGTTTGAAGAGTGTGGTTTTCATTTTTGTGCAATTTTTTTACAGCCTCCCAATTTGCCTTATGTGGTAGGCTGGTGGTTAACCCCAAGGGCAGAGTCTGCCCTCTTTGACCCCCATAACCTCCACTCTTCACCATATTTTTGTTCCTTCTGTCCCTCAGTCTTTACTTCTTTCTACTGCTTCTTACATTTTTGAATTGCAGGCTTAAAGTTTTTTCTGCTCTGCATAAAAACATTCCCTGAACTGTCTACCTGCAGGACTTTGCTTAAATTATTTTAGGGGATTAAAAACTGTTGCAAGCTGGGCATGGTGGGTGCCACATCTATAATCACAGCACTCAGGAGACTGAAGCAGGATTGTGAGTTTGAAGGCCCACGCTGTTCTCAAAAAAAAAAAAAAAAGTAAATTAATAAAGAAACTATTGATAAAAAGAAACATGAACAAAGATAAGAAGAGAGAAAATTTAAGACCTTTTCCTTTTTTTTTTGTTGAGTTTTGTTTATTGCTTTTTAAAAACAGACTAATGTTCATATCCCTGAACCAGTAAAATGGCAAAAATACTACAAGCTTGTTTTTTAAATAATTTCTTTGTACTTCATAAAGTGCTTTCTTTATGTAAAACATTATAATCATTCAAAATGCAGCGTTTATTCTTTTAGCCTAACTCAGATATTGTTCCACACTACTTTTCTTTCAGGAGACAAAGGTTTTTGGTCTCTTTCAAAATTGCATTTGGTTTTATTTCATTATGCTAGTCTAATGGCCTTATAATTTACTTGGGACCAAGACTGAATCTTTCTGCAATCTATGCTCATTTATGTCACCCTTAATCTGTTTCATTTTTTCCAACAGGACTCAAATAATTAAAAAACAGCTGTTAATATTTATTGCAATTGGTGCAGTTTAATGTTGTACCATCTTGGTTAAGAATGTTGCGATGGAGACTCTCTTCCTTAATCATTTTCTGACCAGCCTGCTTCAAATTGGGCCTTCTCAATGAAATTTATTTTTCTCATTTTTTAATATAAGAAACAAATGTAGCTGTGGGAGAAAGTTTGGTTGTGCTAGCTGTCCTGGAGTGAATGAATCTCAGGAATGAAAGTGCTGCCTTCATGAGCAATGGGCCTGAGGGGCAGCTGTGGGAGTTGCTGAACTCACTTTTCAGGGATCCTTGTATGTAACGTCATTGGGACTGAAGAACAGGCCACCTCCGTCTAAAATGGCCTTGCCGCTTACAAATCCACACAAATGGGGCTTGAAGACTGGGAGCCATGACCTTAAATATAGAAGTGGGGCTTTTCAGGGGATTTGTAAGGCTGTACTTGAACTGCTTCCCAGGGCGTGCTGGTCGTGACTCAGCTCAGCGCTGAAGCTGCAGGGTGGCCAAATACCCCAGGAATTTGAAAAAATCCTTTTGGTCAGACCAATTTGGTGTGGTTTCAGAATGTTAAACAATACTCTTAACTAGACTGAATGGCTGAGATTTCAGAAAGTTTTACCTTCTACATAATCCCAAACTACTGGTTTTTCTTGAGAGTAGCAAGAGGATTAAAAAAGTTCTCATGAATTTATGTCTTTTTGCTAGCCTGACTCAAGGCAGTTGTAAGAGATAATTAATCCTATTTTAAATAATTAAAACTCAGTAGCATGCATCAGCATAAAAAAACACAATTAGCTGAAAAATCTAATACGCACTCACACTCATTTATTGCTTATTAGGGTTTTTATTTTGCTCTAACTCAGGTGCCATAAGAACCTCTTAACTAGACTTGATGGCTTGAGATTTCAGAAAGGTTTTACTCTACATAATCCCAAACTAACTGTTTTCTTGAGAGTAGCAGAGGATTAAAAAAAAGTTCTCGATGAATTATGTCTTCTTGCGCTAGCCTGACTCAAGCAGTTGTAAGAGATAATTATCCGATTTTAATAATTTAAAACTCAGTAGCATTGCCATCAGCATAAAAAAAAAACACATTAGCTGAAAAATCTAATAGATAACTTTTATTGCTTATTAGGGTTTTATTTGTGCTCTTAACTCAGGTTGCCATTAAGAACAAAGATACGTTTATTTTCTAATGTTGATAGTAATTTTTGACACCTGTATTTGGTAATTTTAAGATTTATAAAAATAACGTCTCACATTCCTTACCTCATTTGAATTTGACCAATTGGTGCAATAAGGTGGTGTTATTCTTGTTTTTACAAAGAAAGAAAACTAAGATTGAAAATATTAAGTGGTTTTGTCTAAGACCATACAAGATAGTAATTGAATACAGCTGAAAAGTGTTGTCCAAGTTTTCCTGACTTCAGTAACAGAATAGTTAGCATTTATTGGAACTGTGTACTCGGTGCTTTGTTACACTCTACTGTTTCTTCTTTTACTGTGTGTTTGTGCACAAAGCAGCTGCTGGACGAAACCCAGGGCTTTCATGAATGCTTAAGCATTAGCCCGCCACCATTAAACCACACCTAGCTCGGTATATACACTATTCTCTAATCCCTTTTTTTTTTTTTTGGATATTGGGTTTTGAACTCAGGGCCATTGTACTGCTAAGCTCTTGGCACTCTCCTGCTTGAGTCATGCCTCCAGCCCTCTACTTACTATTTCTAATCAATCCTCCTTGGGAAAGTTAGCCTCCCTTTTTTTTTTTTTTTTTTTACAGTGAAAGTTTCTGATTGTTGGACACTGAGCTCTTGTAGCTAAGAGAACAAGAATTCAGAATCTGGGACCTGTGAGACTTCAAATTGCCATATTCCCTCCCACTATTACCCCACACTGTCATATATAAATTTTGTTTAGACAAGTACTGGGGTTTACACTTTAGGGCCTCATGCTTCCTTGGCAGGCATTCTTATCATTGAAGCCACTCCTCCAGCCCTTTTTTTATGTGTTGGGTATTTAATTATTTTTGTGGTAACTGGGAATACCACCAGTCCATTTGCTCTTGGTTATTGTTTGGAGATGGGGTCTCCTGAACTATTTGCCTGAGCCTTGAACGTGATCCTCGTAATTTCAGCCTCCCAAAATAGCTAGGCTTATTAGGTATGCACCAGTGCCCGCTCATCGTTAATATTTTTGTAATTTATTAGGAATTCATTATTTTGTTAAATCTAGTGGTTCAACTGTTACATTTCTTGTTGCGTGGCAGGCATTAGTAATTTCCAAACAAAAATTGCAATGTGATATAAATGTAGCCATTCTCCAGAGCGCCATTTTTCTATTTAGTGAGGGAGATAAGGAAACCAAAGGTGGAAATATGGTAAACTTCCTCCAAGTGGATAGGTCACTGAGCCCTGCTTTAGCTCACTATTACTGAGATGAGAAGGAGAAACAGTACCTACTATAATTATGACTGTGGATGGCAGCAGTAGCTGGTATCAGAAAAGCTTAAGGCAAAGTGCAGACTAGGCTACAATGAGGGCAAAAGGAGCGGCTCTGGCCAGGATCACAACTGAGCTGGATCTGGAACTCAGTGAGCAGAGAGAATGGAGAGGTTCCAGCAAACAGGCAAAATGGGCAGCACAAAGTGAAAAAAAGCCAAGACGGGGCAGGAAGGGGCTTAAGCCAAGTTCAGATATTTGCTGAGTGCAGTTTCCAAAGCCCCTGACAGGGCAGTACAACAAAGCTTAAGGTACAGCCTGGCACACACACACAGAGTTAGTAACAGCACAGTGGCACACACATGTAAATTCCAGTACTCAGGAGTCGAAGCAGGATGATCTCAAGTTCTCTATGTAACCTGGGCTGCATAGAGAGATGCTGTCCTCTCAGAGAAACAGAACCAACTGGTACATTCGCCACTGCACTTCACACCTGCTTGTATCCTTTCTCAGCCACCATTGCTCATCAAATGCAAGACAGTGAAAAGGTGGGGCCAGACAGGAAAAGGATACTCTGCACCCAATAAACCTGTTTTCCTTCTTCACCTCTCTGTTGGCTCACTGCTTCAGTAAATAGTGCATCCCATCAAACTGTATTGACTCAGAGGTTGTGGGGAATATAAGAAGGAAGGTTGTCATATAACTTGTTACTTTCAAACCTTGGGTCATGTTCACCCCATACCCATTTACACCATGCTCAACCTCATCCAGACTCTTCTGATGTTCAGACAACCTGATGAAGCCACGGGGAACTGAGGGTCTTACCTGTCGGAATGCACTGAAGGAGTGGGCTGGTATGACACGAAAGCAGTCTGGACACAGCCATGCCTAACTTTAGCCTTACAACTTGCTCTTGTTTACTTCAAAAGCAAGACTGAAGACTGTCCAGTGTCCAGTAATGGTCAAAAAAAAAAAAAAAAAGCTGGGGACTGGTGGGTCACACCTGTAATTCTAGCTACTCAGGAGGCAAAGATAAGGAGGATTTTAGTTTGAAGCCAGCCCAAATAGTTTTCAAGGCCCTATCTAAAAAATACCCAACATAAAAAAGGGCTGGCGGAGTGGGCTCAAGCAGTAAGAGAGCCTAGCAAGTGTGAGGCCTTGAGTTCAAACCCCAGTGCTACAAGAAAGAAAAAAGGCAGTCTGGAATTAGCTACTGCTATTAGCTATATCTTTATTCAACATTACATTACTTTTAACTGCGGAATTTTGTATATAAATAATGAATTTATGAATCATGTCAAGTTTTTTTTCCTCTACCACTAAGTAACATCTTTCTTCCCTAGGCAGGTCTTAATTCTTTTTTCCCCCATTTATTATTTGGTACTTTTATTAGCAATATATTCATTGTACAGAGGGGATTCATTGGTACAACTCTGAATAACCTTACATTATATGTTGGTTAGGTCACCCTCCACCATCTCCCCGGCCAACCACCTATGCAGGTCTTAATTCTAAAATGTACCATGCCTGAAGGCAAATAAAAAAAACAAAGAATCCTTCTCAACATTTACTAGAAACATCCAGCAAGCGCTCCTCCAAGTGCAGTGCCCTGCATTGTGAGTGGCTGAAGACTGAAAGCCCAGACCGAAGCTCTTTATTAACAATAACTGCTTAGCCACTGCACAGTATCCTGGAAAAGCTATTTGGTGAATAAAAAACAAGTCAAGGGCTAGGGTTATAGCTAAGTGGCAAAGCACTTGCCTATCATGCACAAAGCCCTTAGTTTCATCCCCACCATCTCTAGTAATATGTAATAATAATTATTATGACAAGGAAAAGCAGGTCAGATATAAACCATTTCCAAACCCCATTTCAAAATAGTTCTTTTGGTCGGCACCAATGGCTCTCGCCTAAAATCCTAGCTTCTCAGGAGGCAGAGATCAAGAGGATCGTGGTTTGAAGCCAGCCTGGGCAAATAGTTTGCGAGACCCTATCTCAAAAACACCATCACAAAAAAAAGGGCTGGTGGAGTGGCTCAAGGTGAAGGCCCCGAGTTCAAACCCCAGTACTGCACACGCACACAAAAAAATAGCTCTTTTGCTTAGTTAGTTAGGGGCATGTCTACAGAGGGAGGTTTTGCAAGGACAGGTGGACAGTGTGGTGCCTTTATAAGTTCATCGCCATCTGGTACCATCCATGGCAGAGCAGTATAGTGTTAGTAAGGCCATACAGCTCAATAATGGAGCTGTGTGATAGGCAGCCTTTGTTAACCCAAAGACTGATGCAAGATTGTTCTGGAAAATGGTTTTGAAGCACATCTGTGAAATTTCAAGGGTACCAGTATTTATATTCTTTGAGGTATCACTTTACACTAACTTTTTCTTGGTAGAGTATTTTTTCAAAGACTTCTCTTCTGAGGCTAAATTAAGAATTTCTGTTCCTTATTTGAGTTCCAAGAATTGTGCCTTTCCTGCCCTCCGCCCAACTTGGAAGACAGAAACCGTGGGAAAAAGTGCATTCGGTTATCTAATTTGGTTTATTTGGCATATTCAGGAAGACTTTCATATTCATGGAATCTTATTTCTGTCAATTCCCTCCAAGCTAAAAGTATTTTTCTGGGTTCTGTGTACAAAGTAGGGGTGGGAGGTGGGCACAACGAAGGCAGTATATAGTGAGTCCATGGAACTCCTTTCATACTCTTCAGTTCAGTTTCTCCTTCCAACATTTGCACCTCCTCAAATAGGAGAAGTAGAAAAGGGAGAAGGAGGCTTGGGGAGGTTTCCTTTAGGTCATGAAGAGTCTATGATTCCTGCAGTTCTGTTTTAGGCACTGGAAGAGTTGCCCAGATAGCTTCTACCCTTCTACCCTCATCCATCTCAGTAATGCCTGGGAAGGATGGTGGTGCTAATTTTACACACTAAGATGCACAAAGGGTAGGTATCATGAAACATTTCTATAGCCAGAAACAGATTTAAAGTCCTTGACTCACTGTTGTTCTTCCTCCAAACCACACGATTGTACCCAAGTGAATTGCTGTTAGAATTGGTGCTTTCAGAGAAGACAATTGCTCATAATTGGTAGCCATCAAGCACTTCACTGAAAAAGCGTGGGGTCTCATATGGTTTAGGAGGCCTGAGTGAGTCAGGCTCTTCTGAGTCACACAACTTTTAGATCAGTCTAAAAACTGACCCTTTTTGGTCTTACCTTCCCTGTCCCCCAAAGAATACTAAGAAGCCTAAAGCAAAGACCTCTCTAATAGTTATCAGTAGAGGTCTTTCCCTCATAACCTGTCACAACTATTGTCTACCAAAGTGTGGTTACCAAATCCCTCAGGTTATGTGTGCTATGCAGATTCCTAGGCTTCCTCCCTCTACTCAGGTACTGCCACTGAGGTAGGCCAGTCTTTGTGACAAGCATCCCAGCAGTCTGCTGTTTTGGACCACTAGGTCCTAAACATAAAAGTTCATTCAGATCACCTAGGGAGACTTTTCAGTTAAAAAATGTAAATTACAGCAAGGTGCAGGTGGCTCATGCCTGTAATCATAGCTACTCAGGAGGTAAAGATCAGGAGGATTGCGGTTCGAAGCCAGCCTAGGCAAATAGTTTGCGAGACCGTATCTTGAAAAAAACCATCACAAAAATAGGGCTGGTGGAGTGGCACAAGGTATAGATGCTGAGTTCAAACTCCAGTACCACAAAAAAAAAAGTAAATTATGCCACATGTTGGTGCCCATGCCTGTAATACTAGCTACTTAATGAGGCTGAAATAAGAAGGATCACAGTTTGAAGCCAGCCCCAAGCAAATAGTTTACAAGACCCCCATCTCCAAAATAACCAGAGCAAAATGGACTGGGAGTGTGGCTCAAGCAGTAGAGTGCCTGCTTTGCAAGCACAAAGCCGAGTTCACACTCCATCCCACAAAAAAAAAAAGTAAATTACTAAGTAGTAAATTCTAGAATGGAACAGATAGCAACACATTAAATAAAATTAGAAGATATCCCCCAGCTTGGCACTCTCTGGTGTTTTTCTTCCTATGTGTGTACACATAATTTTGATTTCATGGAATAGGGCCACATCGTGCATATTACTATATAGCCTGGATTTTTCCCCCAGCTTGTTTTTAATTAACAGAATATAAAACAGACCTCCTTCACCTCAGCAAATGTGAGGCCTAAGGTTAAACGCCAGTACCACCAAAAAGAAAAAAGGACAATGTGCCTACCTACTGGGCTTAGGCAGATGGCACATCTGAGTTAAATGGACATGGCAGGAAGTTTTCTGGGGCTTCCCATCTAACCTAATAATAGGAGCCAAGTACGCCATTTGAGAACGTGGCTCAGGAGTTTTCAGAAAAGCAAGAAAGGTGAATTTGTTAAGTGTGCTATCTCCAGATTTTTTAAAAATTCAAAAAAATTAACTAATTCAAATTAAATGCCCTCAAGCCACACTGGAAGCCTCAGATGCATTGTACACATAATATTCCAGTCTAAATGTGGCCTCCACATAACTGCTACAGTGAATGTTCTTGTCTGCGTCTTTGTTGTACATGTACAAACATAATCCAAGAAGTGCAGGTTCCAAATCATCTTCTAAAACAATGTGCCAACTTCTAGTCCTGTTAAAAGACACGTGAGGGAAGCTTTAAACTGATTCCTGCCTCTTCCCTCCCCTCACAATCAGATCCAGTTGGCCCCAGATGGAACCCAAAACGGTTATTGAAGTTCTCAGGTGATTCTGATGATCAGAAGTCTTGAAACCAGGCCTAAATTACTAAAAGATGTTTAGGGCCATTTTCATTGAATTATAAAAAGAAACTGTTAATACTTTTATTTGTACTCCTTCGTTTTAGACTTTTCTAATTACAGCCCTTTATGAAAACACGAAAAGGGCCCTTGATTCAGTTCAGAGAGCGCAGGACAATAAATAAACTTAGAAACCTTCCAGTAGCTTTTATTGGCACAGCCTAGAAGGTGCAGGAGCCACTTCTGAGCAAAAAATCTGTATCCCAGAAAGGTAGTCAGTATCATGCCTAACACACCACTGAACCAGAAAGTTGTTCATGAAACAGATGCAGCCAGGTCACTAAGACGCTCCAAAATCAATAGGCTAAATCCTGACGCACTGTTAAAAGCAAGAAACAGTCCGGGATGTGTGCCTGATCAGAGGATGATGACTGACTGTGCAGGCAGGATCATATCAAGGCTTTTTAGGTTGATTCTGTCCACCCCTACTGCTAGGATAGGTTACAGCAGCAGCACTGAGTCTCTGCTCCACTCTGGATCTGCTTAGGATGAGGGATGGTCAGAAGACATGATCCTCAGGATGGTAGAGCTCACTCATCAGGCGGTAGATATAGGAAGGTGCGTTCCCACCGATGTTGGAGATGAAGAGGGTGATAAGCTCCGGGGGAACACCGGGCAGTGAACACTGACCTTCTCCAGAATGTTCCCTGCAAGGCAATCACACGTGCTCAAGATAGAGCTAAGAATTCTTCTCTAATAAGTAGCAGATAAAAATCTATGCTCAATAATGTCAGCATGTTGGGAGCTGGTGGCTCACACCTGTAACACTAGCTACTCAGGAGGCAGAGATCAGGAGGATCATGGTTCAAAGTCAGCCCCAGGCAAATAGTTCTTGGGACCCTATCTCAAAAACACTCATTACAAAACAGGGCTGGTGGAGAGGCTCAAGCACTAAGAGAGCCTGCCTGGCAAGCGTGAGGCCCTGAGTTTAAACCCCCCGTACCATCTTAAAAAAATGCAGGCATACTACCTTCCAGGAAGGGAAACTGGAAAACTGCACACTAGACGGGATGACTACAAAAAATGATTCTCCCTGCTTAAAACTCTCAATGGCTGAGGCAGGAGGACTGCAAATTTGAGACCAGTGTGGGTTACACAGCAAGACCCTGTCTCAAAAACAAAACAATGAGCCTACCACTCCCACCTTCTACGTGTCGGGGGAGTATGTGCTCCTTCCTCTATTTTGCCTTCTCCCTACTTTGTCCTGCTTTGCTAAATAAATCTTTGCTGGCCATCCAAAACAAAACAAAACAAAATTCTCCAATGCCTTTGCACAGTCTTTAGAAGAAAACTCAAACTGAAGATTGCAACCTTCAAAATCTGGCCCCTTCTCACCATACCACACTAACTGTGATTTGTACCACACTCCCTCACGCTCACTGCTCTCCAGCCACATGGCCATCTTTTTTCCAGCTGGCTAAGCACATACCCATCTCAGGCCCTTGCACCAGTGCCTAGAAAACTCTTTCCCCAATCCTCACATAGTGGGTCTATTCATTTAGGACTCAGTAGTGACGTCGTCTCATTAAGACTGTGGCCAATCTTAAGTAGTCCCTCAGCCACTTTCACATCGCTCTTCCTTGTTTTCTTCCTGAAACATCCCAGGACCTGACATTTTCTTCTGTTATCTGCAGTAGAATGTAGCTCTGTAAGAGCAGGGCCTATCTCCATTCATTGTTATATCCCTTGTGCCTAGATATAGTGTGTACTCAACAGGTATTTCTTAAAGACCAGGTGCTGGTGGATCACACCTATAATCCTAGCTACTCAAGAGGGAGAGATTAGGAGGACTGTAGTTCAAAGCCAGCCTGGATAAACAGTTTGTCAGACCCAATCTTGAAAAATACCCAATGCAAAACCGGGCTGGTAGAGGGTTTCAAGTGGCAGAGTGCCTGCCTAGCAAGCAAAGGAAAAAAAACAAAAAAACCAGCATGTTTAAATAAAAGGATGAAGTTATTCAACTTCCAAGAAGAATGCAGATCCCACGTCCCGCACTCTGCTCTCAGAGGGTTATATATGGCCAGCTGAACTGCTGATGAGGCAGCAGGTTCCCTGAGAAGAGCTGCTGCCTTCAGAAGAAGCCAGTGAAAAGGAACCCCATACAAGGGTGGCCAGGTTAGAGGCAAGTTTGTTTTGTTTTGTTTTTTAGCAGTACTGGTTTGAACTCAGGGCCTCATATTTGCTAGGCAGGCGCTCTACCACTTGAGCCACTCTGCCAGCCCAAAAGTGTAGCCCAGGCTGGCCTCAAATTTGTGATCCTCCTGCCTCATCCTCTTCACCTTTTGATGACCAGCATGGACAGACCAGTGAGGCAAGTTTCCAAGGGCAACATTTCAGCTCCCGCTTCCTTTTAGCAGCCAAGTCACCAAAATGACTCCCTACAGCAACTGACAACAAGTCCATTTCCCCACTCAGTTGTTGCCTACATTTCAAATAAAATACAAAGCCAAACCCAACCAATTTTGACTGATCCAACCACCATAGCCCCAACACAACTCAGCGAATTTGTTCGCCTCAGAACAAATTAACATGGACTTAGCTCAGGTTCTCCAGCACTCTATGCTGCTAAACAGTCCTCACAAGTATAATTAAAAAAGACACACACACACACACACACAGAGAAAAACACAACCTGACCGCATTCAATCCTATTGGCAGTCAAAAGAACAAAAAGATCGGACATACAACATACACACACAAAACTTCTGTACCTTCTGTGAAAGGCAGGACTTCTTCAGGAGCCACAAACTTGTGAAATGAATCTTCTTCACTGGGGAACTAGAAAAGAGAAAAAAGTTTTTTTAAAAAAAGAGACCTAGAAATTCTACTTCTAGATACCTACTCAAGAGAAATGAAAATATATGTCCATTCAGAACACATACACAAATGGTTAAAGCAGCACTATTTCCAAAAGCCAAAAGGTATAACCAACACAAATGCCATCAATAAATGAGTGAATAAATAAACTGTGGTATATCCAGTTAAGAGTATGATTCAGCCTTAAAAAGAGAAGAAATTCTGACACATTACAACATAAATCTTAAAAAACTTTCTAAGTGAAAGAAATCAGACACAAAATGTTGAATAATATATGATTCTTTTTATATAAAAAAATTCCAAATTGGCAAATCCAGAGACAGAAAGCAGATTAGTGGTTACTAGGACATGGGGAGAAGGAGGAATAGGGAGTGATTATTTAATGGGTACAAGGTGTTTTTCTAGGATGACAAAATGTTTTGAAGCTAGAGTGAAGGCTGCCCAATGCTGTAAATCTACTAAATACCACTAAACTGTATATTTTAAACTGATTAATTGTATATCATGTGAATTTCACTTCTATTAAAAAATAGAGACCTTTAAATAGGTTGTTTTCAATGTAAATCACTTCTCTCACTGCTTGTATTCAGGCTGCAGAGGACAGGCCCTAGAATAATGACAAATAAAACTAATAGTAGTTTCACCTGTTTGGCATTTTCCAAATGGTTAGGATGATGGGGTGTGGTAGCAATTGTACGCAAAGGCTTTTCCCTATTCCTGAGATTGTTTTTTGTTTGTATGTTTGTTTAATGGTACTAGGGGTTGAACTCAGGGCCTCATGCTTGCTAGACAGCTACTCTACCACTTGAGCCACTCCATCAGCCCTATGGCCTGACATTTTAATTCTGGTACCCTAAAGCTGGCAGGTTACAACTATCAATTGTGTTTCCTGGTTCAAAACTTCTGTGGCTCTTTTGAGCCTTCACTGGATCTAATCCATTAAGTAAGCATGGATAAAAAGAGGTCCTAGAGTAAGTAGGTTCAAGGCCCAGGGTTCAAGCCTACACTTCAGCTTTCTTCTGTTGGCTACCACGTAGAGACAGACAAATAGACATACCTGTGGAGAAAGTTTAAACATGGGTGCACACACGATGAGTGGGGTGGAATGGTGTTTTGCTGCCAGTGCCAGAGTGTGAGTTCCTGTCACAGCTCTCAGGGCACCATTGGCCAGGATGGTCTTGGTGCCAATGATCACCTTCAGGACAGGAAGAAAAATGTGAGCCATCTTGAGGGCAGAGCCCTAAAAGGGCCATTGGCCACAACAAGGGTGAATGTGCAGGCCTCCATCTTTTTTTTTTTTTTTTTTTTTTTTTTTTTCATTTTTCTTTTATTATTCATATGTGCATACAAGGCTTGGTTTATTTCTCCCCCCTGCCCCCACCCCCTCCCTTACCACCCACTCCACCCCTCCCGCTCCCCCCCTCAATACCCAGCAGAAACTATTTTGCCCTTATCTCTAATTTTGTTGTAGAGAGAGTATAAGCAATAATAGGAAGGAACAAGGGGTTTTGCTGGTTGAGATAAGGATAGCTATACAGGGCATTGACTCACATTGATTTCCTGTGCGTGGGTGTTACCTTCTAGGTTAATTCTTTTTATCTAACCTTTTCTCTAGTTCCTGGTCCCCTTTTCCTATTGGCCTCAGTTGCTTTAAGGTATCTGCTTTAGTTTCTCTGCATTAAGGGCAACAAATGCTAGCTAGTTTTTTAGGTGTCTTACCTATCCTCACCCCTCCCTTGTGTGCTCTCGCTTTTATCATGTGCTCATAGTCCAATCCCCTTGTTGTGTTTGCCCTTGATCTAATGTCCACATATGAGGGAGAACATACGATTTTTGGTCTTTTGAGCCAGGCTAACCTCACTCAGAATGATGTTCTCCAATTCCATCCATTTACCAGCGAATGATAACATTTCGTTCTTCTTCATGGCTGCATAAAATTCCATTGTGTATAGATACCACATTTTCTTAATCCATTCGTCAGTGCTGGGGCATCTTGGCTGTTTCCATAACTTGGCTATTGTGAATAGTGCCGCAATAAACATGGATGTGCAGGTGCCTCTGGAGTAACAGTCTTTTGGGTATATCCCCAAGAGTGGTATTGCTGGATCAAATGGTAGATCGATGTCCAGCTTTTTAAGTAGCCTCCAAATTTTTTTCCAGAGTGGTTGTACTAGTCTACATTCCCACCAACAGTGTAAGAGGGTTCCTTTTTCCCCGCATCCTCGCCAACACCTGTTGTTGGTGGTGTTGCTGATGATGGCTATTCTAACAGGGGTGAGGTGGAATCTTAGTGTGGTTTTAATTTGCATTTCCTTTATTGCTAGAGATGGTGAGCATTTTTTCATGTGTTTTCTGGCCATTTGAATTTCTTCTTTTGAGAAAGTTCTGTTTAGTTCACTGCCCATTTCTTTATTGGTTCATTAGTTTTGGGAGAATTTAGTTTTTTAAGTTCCCTGTATATTCTGGTTATCAGTCCTTTGTCTGATGTATAATTGGCAAATATTTTCTCCCACTCTGTGGGTGTTCTCTTCAGTTTAGAGACCATTTCTTTTGATGAACAGAAGCTTTTTAGTTTTATGAGGTCCCATTTATCTATGCTATCTCTTAGTTGCTGTGCTGCTGGGGTTTCATTGAGAAAGTTCTTACCTATACCTACTAACTCCAGAGTATTTCCTACTCTTTCTTGTATCAACTTAAGAGTTTGGGGTCTGATATTAAGATCCTTGATCCATTTTGAGTTAATCTTGGTATAGGGTGATATACATGGATCTAGTTTCAGTTTTTTGCAGACTGCTAACCAGTTTTCCCAGCAGTTTTTGTTGAAGAGGCTGCTATTTCTCCATCGTATATTTTTAGCTCCTTTGTCAAAGATAAGTTGCTTATAGTTGTGTGGCTTCGTATCTGGATCCTCTATTCTGTTCCACTGGTCTTCATGTCTGTTTTTGTGCCAGTACCATGCTGTTTTTATTGTTATTGCTTTGTAATATAGTTTGAAGTCAGGTATTGTGATACCTCCTGCATTGTTCTTTTGACTGAGTATTGCCTTGGCTATTCGTGCAGGCCTCCATCTTGACATGTTGCCAACTCACAGACCAGCAGAGGGAAAGGGATCCTACGCTGGGTACAATTAAGGTCTACCTTTCCCAAGGAAAGAATGAATGTAGCATGGGACAGGAAACTGCAGTACCTACTGCTCTTCATCCTGTCTTTTCTGGAAACTGTATACCCTATCTCCTGAGAAGCCAGGAGCCTTTTTCATTCACCACCCATCCTTGCCACACTCATTAAGGCAGTTATCCAGTACCAATCCTTAGCAGCTAACACTCTTAAGTGTCATTCTACTTCATTCTCTTTATGCTTTAGCCAATTTAAAGGCTACTCCAAGTGAGGGACAGTGATACAGATAAGAGGAAAAAAAATTAGTTAATGGATTAAAAAGGTCGTTAAGTATATACTTTCAAAGGGTGCCTATACTTTCTTCTCTTACCATGGACATTAAAAGAGGCCAATATTTTAGAAGTATAATCTGCATAAATTCAACACAGTAACTCCAAAGACACTCACCTTGTTGACTCTTGACATAACAGCAAATATGGCAGCATCAGTCATAACAGTTGTCTCAATACCTGCTTTGGACAAATTGACGGCCATTTCATGACCCTGCAATAGGAGGGAAAGGCTGATGCTGGGAGAGAGTAAGAGAGAATGAAAAGAGCTCTCAAATATAAGTGGATACGGGGAATCCTGTGATCCATGTACATCCAACACACGGTTTCCAAAAGATAATTCACTTTTCTGCTGTGATGGGTATACTCTAGTGCACTGCAGGGAAGCTAATATATATATATATGTGTGTGTATGTATATATGTATGCATCACTCCACAGCAACACAAGAGGAGCCACAAAACTGGAAATACAACTCACTTGCAAAATCAAGCAGCTGACAAGACACCTCCTGGCTCATTATTTTATAACTTCCTATATCCTTATATATTTCTTTTTTGAGACCTATTATTTACTTAAGACCAAGCAACAGTCATTCCCAAGGTAACTTACCCTATTTGATGTCTTAAAAAAAAAAAAATTCATCTCTTCTTAGACCTAGCAGTTCACCTTCTCCTAGCTCCACCTTATTCCTTCTTCCTTTTTCTTAGAAACTCCAGCAGTCCCACTTACCTGGCAGAAAGGAGCACACTCTGCCACAATGACATGGAACTTCCTCTTTCGGGCAGCTTCTTTGAGGAAGGCCTCAACTGTTCTGGAGAAGCCAATGGTCATGATCACTTCATTGGAGTGGATGTGCTCTAGGGCTTGGGCTGCGATGTTCTCTGTTGTGCCTTCTGCAAGAACAGTTTTGCGAGGGAAATATGAAACTGCCATGCTGCATCACAGATAGACTTATCAACAGTTTGGAAAGGGATGTCTTGTACTTCACATACTCTGTCCACCTGGTAGACCCTGGTACCACAGGGTTAATGGCCTCAAAGTGATGCCTCAGTTTCTTAAAAGCCCCACTCCTCTGGGGCTCCAAGTTCTCAGCATGCCCTCTTTCCCAGAAGCACCTGTACTCATCAGCTACCTTCCTGCCACTACACCAGCTCCTTACAGTTGCTCTAGAAGACAAGGAGTTCAGGGAAGAAATGACAATATGAGAAATTCTAAAGTGCTGACTGTAGGATAAATAGATCTCCCCCAGCAAGAGAAGTCTTCCTCCAAAAGATGGTCACAACACCTCCATCTGAGAAAGGGAGGCAAAAGAAGAAAAACTGTGGGGGAGGGGTGGAATTTGGAAACATCAGTTTATGGCACAGATAGCACCTAGCTTTTTTCCTCCTCTGAGGAACTCTGATTATACTGAAAATCTACAGATCTTTTGGATCACGAAGACAGAAGAATGGAGGTAGCATATGTGTGTGTGTAAAAATTCACAGGAAGTTTAGTGAAGGAGGGTATACCATATGTCATTTTAGGGAGTTCATTTTCTTTAAAATGAAAGTAAAGCTCTGTCCTAATAGTCTCTGCACAGTGAATTTGCGGCAGTCTATAAAGGATGGGTTTGAAAAAAAGAAACAGTAGAAGGTTTAGTCCTGCTGCTTGTTCTATCCATTCCTGTCAGGATGGAGGACAAGCCTACTGGAACCAGAGAACTGCTAATCTTTCCCATATTCGCTGATTAACAACTTTCAGGAGCTCCTGTTTCCTCACATGCCTGTGACATGTCCTGTCCACTCAGCAGGGAGATCTCTTACCCAGCTCTACTAGCAGCTCATTAATCGCCTCAATGATGTTGGACTTAAGTTGGGGATAGTAGAGGCTGAAATCCTCGCTCAGGCCTCCGGAGGTCAGGAGTTTGTGCAGGGACTCCTGCTGATCGCTCTCGTCGCTGCGTCCGTGCAGTCTATGGAGACAAGACCCAAAGAGGGAAGTGAAGAGGATGTGTGGTCAGGTGAGCAACAGCAGCTACTCGGCAACAACAGAGGCTCTGAACACTGAGAGAAGACACGCAACAAGCGTCCCTGGCTCCCAACCCGGAGTCCAGGCCTCGCGTGAGCCGACCTGCCGTACTCCTCCCGGATGATTTTGAGCACTCTCCGCACCATGTTGCCCACGGTAGTCTCGGAGGGCTGCGCAGCCGTCATCCTCCTGCCTTCTCTGCGGATCAACTCCATCAGCTCCCCTGCAGCCCAAGAGAGACAGGGTGAGTGGGGCCAACGAGCGGTGAGGTTCGAGCGAGTTTTAGCCTCTGGAACTAAAAGGAGCTGAGGACCAGAGTGCAACAAGGCCGTTCTCACCCGCGTTGCTCCAGTGGTGGTCCGTGATGATTCGGCGCAGCAGCCCCAGGGTCTCCCGAGCCATGTCCTCGCTGCGCCGCCCACCGCCCCGCTTCAGGGTCTCCACAAAGCTCTCGATCCTCTCAGACAAATCTGAACTCTTCGCTGCGGCACCCGGCATCTCCAAAGCTGCCTCCTGACGCGCGGAAACACACACCTGGAAGGCCGCAGGTTTCACTTCCGGGGCGGCGAGGCTGACTTCCGCTCCACAAGAGAAAACTCCAGTAAGAGGCAGTAGGCCCGCCCCCTCCATCTGCTGGGGCCAATCAGAGAAGGACCTTTGGTTAGTCACATTAAAAAAGAGCATCCGCGCGTCTCTGGGAAATGAAGGCCGGAAATGCCCTTTCAGGTTGGCTAGGACGCCGCCGGTCTACCGCACGTCTTGTTGCTATGGGAACAGCAAGTCTCTGTGCTCCAGTGTAACCACTCTACGCTAAGCTGGAAAAGGTGTCGCCCTCCTTCCTGGCCCTGCAGCTCGGTAGCCGCCCCGTGACCTGACAGACGAGCTGAGTGAGCGTCCAGAGCCCGCTCTGGGCAGACGCCCCATTACAGTGCTGTCGCAATGCATCATGCATGATACTGTGTGCCTCTCTCTCCAACAGATTCGACTTCCTGAGGACAGGAATCATTTTTTTTTTTTTTTTTGCCTTTTTCACGGCCTGGCACCGTAAAAGAAGAGAGAGGAATCAGGGATACGATTACCCGCCAATGAAGAGATACAAATTAGAATCTAATATGGGAACAAAGATGACATCCTCCAATTAGATTTCTGCTCCTACAAAGACTGGAGAGTACATAAAACATAGTAACAGGTATCATTTAAAGCTTACTAGGTACTGAGCACTGTGTTTGAATTCTTACACAACTCAGGTAGGTACTCTTAGTCCCATTTCACAGATTGGGAAACACAACCACAATATTTAAGCAGTTTGGGAGGGAATGAGTTCACACTTAAATTCAGGTCTAGAATCTTTGTGTAATAGGAATTTCTATTTCCTTAAGATAAACTCAATGTTGGATCCCAAGTCACACACATTTTGAAGACTTTTACGGTTGACAAATTGCCCTCCAGGAAGATGACATCACTATCAAAATCACACAAAAAGTGTGATTTTTTTATAGTACAAAAAAGAGAAAACTAGGGACCAAAATCTCATGAACCAAAAGTCTTCAACAATTACTAGCAAATCAAGTCCAATAATACATAACGGAATAATACATACAAAGTGGAATTTAGATGTAGAATGAAAAGATGGTTCAATATTTGGAGATCAATGTAAAACATCATATTGACAATCTTAAGTCACATTATCATATCAACTGATACAAGAAGAAGCATTTGACAAAATTCAAGGTTCATTACTCATTAAAAAAAAAAACTAAGATGTGAACTTGCTAAAGAACAACTATAATTATGCACCCAAAACCATACTTTATGGCAGAAGACTGCTTTCTCCTAAAATCAGGGATAAGATAAAGATATCTACTGTCATCATTCCTATTTAACATCGTGCTCAAAGTCCTAGCCATTGTGATATGATAAGAAAAAATATATATAAATATATAAAAATAACATTTTTAAGCCGTGACAGTGGTTCATGCCTGTAATCCTAGCTGCTCAGAAGGCAGAGACTGAGAGAATCACAGTTCAAAGCCAGTCCCCAGGCAAATAGTTCATGAGACCCTATCTCAAAAATACCCAACACAAAAGAGGTCTAGAGAAGTGGCTCAAGGGGTAAGAGTCCCTGCCTAGCAAGCGTGAGACCCTGAATTCAAACCCAGTGCCACCAATAAAGAAAAATAGCATTTTGTATATTTTTATATTTACAATTCCCAAACAACCTATTGTTTACTTTTGCTTGTTTTTGAATTTGTTTTTACAAATGGTATCATAATGTTATTTTCTACAACTTGCATTTTTCTTTTTTTGGCTATACTGGGGTTTGAAATCAGGGTTTCCTGCTTTCTAGGTAGGAGCTCTATTGCTTTAATTAGTTCTCAGGTAGGGTCTCAAATTTTTGCCTAGGACTGGCCTTAGATGGAGACTCTCCTACCTGCAACACCCTGAATAGCTGTGTTTATAGACATTCACCACCATGCCTAGCTTATTTGTTGAGATGGTGGTCCCGATAATTTTTTGCCCTGGCTGGTCTTGAACTATGATCCTCTAAATCTCTGCCTCCCAAGTAGCTGGAATTACAAGTATGAGATATCGTGCCTAGCTCACTTACCTTTTTCATTCAGCATGACATTCCTAAAATCCATTGATGTTGTTACATATATCTGTAGTTCTTGTCTTTGCACTACTGCATAATATTCTGTCCTGTGATTATATCACAATTTATGCATTCGTTTTTCTTTGATAGACGTTTGGGTTGTCTCCAGTTCTTTTTTTTGCAGTACTGGGGATTGAACTCAGGACCTGTACCCTGAGCCACTCCACCAGCCCCCCATTTTTTTGTGATGGGTTTTTTCAAAATAGGGTCTTGCAGACTATTTGCCCAGGCTGGCTTTGAACCGATTCTTCTGATCTCTGCCTCCTGAGTAGCTAGGATTACAGGCATGAGCCACTGGCGCCCAGCTGCTTCCAGTCTGGGGGGGGGGGCGGAGGGGAGGTTGCGAATGAATACAAACTATTCCTTTTTTTGTGTGTGTGGAACTGGGGTTTGAACTTAGGGTTTTGCACTTGCAAAGCAGGTGCTCTACTGGTCGAGCCACACCTCCAGTCCATTTTGTTCTCATTATTTCTTGAAGATGAAGTCTCGCAAACTGTTTGCCTGGGCTGGCCTCAAAGTTCAATCCTCTGGATCTCAGCCTCCCAAGTAGCTAGAATTACTGGCATGAACCACCCGCACCTGGCTTTGTGTAGGATTTATTACTCTGCACTTTATCTGTTTGCTGCTATTATGGATAATTATTCTTTTCCATCATTGCAAACTTGATAGAAAATCAACTCCTTTAATTTGCATTTTTATTTATGAATCATTATAAACATTTAAAATGTTTATTAACTATTTGCATTTCTTCTCATGTTTTTTGCCCATTTTTTCTAATGTGATGTGTGGCAGACATTCTTGTTGCCCATCCAATATCCATTTTTTTCTTTCTTGTTAACAGAACTCATTTTGTTTGGTTTTTACCTACAGAGTAAACCCTGATTGGCTGAAAACAATCATGGTAATTCCATTCTCCTTTGGTTTTACAAATGGTGTAGATAAGCCATTTTCTACCTGCAGGATTTGATTGAGATCTGTTTTGAACTTCCTGGAAAGGTTCCCTGCTCTCAAGGAAATAGAGAAGACTACTTAGTTTCTTCCGTTTCTGATTTTGAATGTTATGCCTGGAGTTACTGCAGCTATCTTGTAGCCATGAGGTCTCAAGATTGGAGATAAAGTTAACTGCTAAGGATAGAAGAACAGAGAACCAGAAAGAACCTAAGCTTTTCATAATATCAACACTTCATGAGTAATTTACATATATTAACTCTTGTTACAGCAATCTTGAAGTAGATACTATTGATACAGCCATTTTCTTTTTCTCTTTTTAAAATTGGCATATATTAATTGTATAAGTGATTTTATTGTGATATTTCTCCATATACATATAAATGTACTTTGATTAAATTCACCCCCTTTATTATACTTTCTGATCCCCCCTTTTAAACAAATTTATCTTTTTCTAGTTGATTTGTGAGACATATCTATATTAAGGATACCAACTCTTTGGATGTCATTCGTCTTGTAATATTAATGTTTTCTTACATGCCTATGAAGTACTTTAATCATGTTTACCTCCCTTCACCTTCCCAACCCCACTGGCCCCCCGCCAAAAAAGACCCTCTCTTTTTACACTCGTGTCATCTTTTTTTTCAGGCGTACATTCCACATAGGAGAGAGGTCATGCAATTGTTTTTCCCAGTCTGGCTTATTTCACTTAACACTTACTACTTTCTGCAAATGACATAATTTTTTCTTCTTTATGGAAGACAGCCATTTACAGAAGAGGAAAGTGAAGCATAAGTAGAATGAGTAGCTTGTTCAGTGTCATCATATACCTGGTAAGCGGAAGAACTAGGTTGTAAGCCCAGTAGGCTGGCTTCAGAGCCTGCGCATTTGGTCTGTCTACTGTGGTGTCTTTTATTACAGTCAGTGTGTAAAATCAGCAAAGCTAGAAGTTGCCCTGCCTTTAAACTTGTATGAAATGATACAATCCTCTAATGATTGTATGACTTTAAGTGGAGTTTCTGTCACTTGCAGCCCTAAGGTCTTCATCTTGGATATTGTTCTTTTTCTAGTTGATGTGTGAGACATCCGTTTATTAAGGATACCAGCCCTTTGGATGTCATATTTCTGTGGCAAAATTACTATTTTTGCAAACATTGCTTCAGTTCTCATATATTGCTATGGAGTGTTTGAAGCAACTTGGGATAATTTCAGAAAGCGTAGCAAAAGAATTTATTTTATTTTTATTTATTTTTTGCAATTTACTTTTTTTTCTTTTTTTATTATATTCATATGTGCCATAGCAAAAGAATTTAAATTGTTCACTCATACTCTTCAAACCTTCATGTCCATGACTAGAAATTTATCTTAAAGAGGGCTGGTGGTAGAGCACATGCCTAGAAAGTGGTAGAGCACATGCCTAGAAAGCGTGAGGCCTGGAGTTCAAACCCTAGTACCGCCAAAAAAGAAAAAATAATTCACAATAATATTTTTCCTGTTATAAGACAAAAAGAAACAAATCTAAATATTTAAAATTAGGAGAGAGCCAGGCACCAGTGGCTCATGCCACTGCAGAGATCAGGAGGGTCAAGGTTTGAAGCCAGCCTGGGGCAAATAGTTTGAGAGATCCTACCTTGAAAATACCCAATATAATAAAGGACTGGCAAAGTGGCTCAAATGGTAGAGTGTCTGCCTGAGACCGTGAGTTCAAACCCCAGTGTTGCAAAAAAAAAAAAAAAAATTAGGAGATTGATTCAGGACATTATAGTACGGCCATACAATGGAATATCAATTGGTAGAACCCTTTTCTGACATGCCTAGCAAGCACAAGGCCCTGAGCTCAAACCCCAGTAGAGCCAAAACAGAAAAAAGAGTTGTTAACAATATATTAACTTTTTGTTGGTGGGATGTGTGTGTGTGCATGTGTGTGTTGCTAGGGATTGAACTCAGAGTCTCAAAGCTCTCT